ATTTTTTTTTTTCCTGTTCTGGTTTGTCGTTAAACCTCTGATCCTTGTCAATCAATACAATTTTTTATCTCTTTACTCCCAGTTTGAGTCTTATGCAAACCTGCTGTTTTATTTCCAAGCTGTACATTAGGCTTCTCAATTTCATTGACAATGACAAAACTGTAATATCTGTTGTTCTTAAATAGTCATTAATCAAGTAGCATCCCAGGCGTATCGTGTTTTTAAACATGATAACATTGTCAAAGCAGCTTATAGCAGTTTCTTTCTGTTATTTTTTCTAAGAAAGTGGATACAGTGTTAATTAAACCCTTTCCCCAGAGTGTAGTCTATCTAGTTGTTTATCTTCATGCTGATTCATTGTAGAAATTTAAGGTTATTGGTTTTCTTGGGGCTAAAAGAAAATCCTTAAAGGCATGTTGAATGATTTGTTTTCATTAAGAAGTATATAGCATATTGACCGTGCCATATGCAGCTTGGGACAATAAGTGACAGGTTCAAACTGTTAAATCTGAGCTGGTATATCTCCTTCAGCCCCTTTAGCTTCATCATTCACTCCACAGCGTGCACGATTAAGAGCTGACGGAGTTATGGATCTGCATCCTGTGGCATGGATAAGCCTTTTAAATTGATTTTCAACAACTTGCAAGACTTATTAGCATGACTCGTACATATCTATTCCTTATGTGTTTTTAAGTAAGGAGGACTCTTAAAATGACTGGAGTTACATCATGAAATAATGGTTTAACAAGTTGTGGTCACATGATAAAACCAGGTCATTTCAGCAGTTTCTTCTAGTTATCATTGTCTGTACTTTGAGTGCAACAATGACAAATATATGTGCATAAATATATGTGTGTATTTTTAAATGCATGCTTAGCATATAAGCTTCAACTCTTAGCTCATGTACTTCCCATCGCTTTTGTGTGAGTCACAAACTTCTCCTCCAAGGTCATTGATAATATTAACAATAGTAATTCTTCTGTGACACAGGTTCTATTCACGCCTTTCCAGAAACAGATGAATGCAGGCTTCCCAATTATATATCTTAATAAGTTTACAATTATACAGTACCGTGATCTGATGGTACTGAAGTCAAGAAACAGAAGATGACAACAAAGGTTTGTTAATCTGCACACATGAGCCATTTAAGCCATACAGATCTGAGTAAATAACATCAACAGCTCACCATGTAGGGGTTACACTGGGGTTTCACCTTTTTTATAAAGGTTTGATTTTCGCAGCAAAATGCAATATGCAAAGAAAAATGAAATTGGCAAATATTTAAACTATGTAAACTTGTTTAACTGCATCCTTAGATAAAAGGATTTAAGATTGAGATTTAACAATAGAGATCATGAAACGCCACCATCACTGTCTGACCATCACCCCCCCTCCAGAAACAAAAAACAAACAACAACAACAAAAAAAACACAGGTTTTTAAATGGTGCATCCTGTACTTTGTACATAGTTGTATATTGGTGGAATTGTGCAGTGCAGAAAGGGAAACCTTGTTTGTGTCAAGTAGACAGACCATTTTGGTGCGATACAAAGCCAACACATCCTAATAGGACCACTTGTGTTCCTCATGTAAATAAGATACCGTAATTGAAAGTCAAGAGAAAGTCAAGATCACAGAGCTTCTCTGTCAAAACATCGTGCTGCACTCCCTTCCCTTATTCACTGCTTGTCCACATGAAAGTAGACATGCAAAAGTAGAGAATTGGTGTGTTTGTGTGTTCAAAAATGCTGATGTTTCACCTTCAGGCCATTTCAGCTACATTTACAGTCATTGTTATCAAATGGCACAAAGTACCTATAATTTTATTTGGCCTGAAGGAAGAAGGAGGATCACAGCCGTAGCGACAGGCAGGAGGGTTGTTCTGCATAGATAAAGAGCACTCAACTGTCTCTTCATACATCAGTGGAGGACGCATTCACCTCATGATGGCAGCTGTGATGTCATGTGGTCAGACAGATTTATGATACTAAAGGAATCTATGTCTCAAAGTTGTTTTGAGGATATGCCGGCAGTTATCATACCCTCAGGCTATTGTAAATATCACATGCAAGAACTTTAACAGATTAAAAAAAAGTTTTTCCGTTGTTTCATTTTTAAATATTGATAACCACTTTCAGATTTCAAACTTTAAGGCCTCATACCTTCTGCCTGTATTTTGAATTAAATATCTAAAATGACAGTATTCTTGTGTTCAGGATTTTTTTGTTGTTGTTCACAGTGTATTTTCTAGCATAAGAAACGATATTATTATTATTGGATAGGAGGAAGATCTTTCCTTTGTTTTTCAGCTTTCAGCATTACATTATTCCTTAATACAGTGGCTCTCAAAACTGTTGACAGTCCTGCAAACTTTTTCAGTTCTTATTGGAACATGTGTCTTCTAAATGCAGCATGAATTATAAGAAATCGTATTTGCCAAAAATAAAACATATAAAATAAATAGGAATATTTGTAAGAATTGTCTTACTTGCATCATTCAGCTTAAACTTCAATTTGAAGAGAGATAAGAAAATGAAAAAAAAAGATCTTCTTCCTCAGTCATTTCTTTTAAAAGACCTAAATAAATCAAATAGGAAGTACTAAATACAGCACATAAAATGTCTCTGAAAGGAGACATGACAAATAATTAAAAAAAAGTTTCTACAATACAAAGTACAGTAACTCCTCTTTTTTCATATAAAGATTTGTGAGGTTTACACAAAAACAATGCATCAAATAAAAACAGAAACAATAACAGTTCAACATGGTGACAGGATTGTGATCCTTAAAGACATAAGCTGACAGTTAAAAATAATTTGCACATTGTTGAGACCCACTCTATTATTTGCTCCCTCCTTATGAAGTTTTGTTCCATATCTGTCGATTTTTGCTGCTTTGTTAAACATAAACATCTATTCTGTCAATAATGAAAGGCTTTAATCTCATATACTTTATAAGTAAAGGCTTCTCTAACAAAGTTGTTTATAGAAAAAAATAATGTCATGGTATGCATGAAATTTTATACATTTTTTTGGCCAGATGTATTTCTTACAGTGTTGATCTTTTAGACTTTGAACATAAGTAAAATTTAACTCATGATCATTTTTCATACAGCTATAAATGTTTTATTGTGCTATTTGCTCTCATCAGGGACTGAGGGTGGATGCAGGAAGGAATTTAGGGCCCAGGGTTGTGTCTGTCAGACTCCTTCTTCATGTAAGGATTAGCAGACAAAAGCCTCATACCCTCTAGCAGTGACTTAAGTAGATCAAAACAGTTAAGCTTGCTCTTGTAATGTAACTATATTTGTTTTCTTCTGTGTTCTCTGGTTTCTCTTCCATTTCAATTTCTAACATAAAATCTTGATGCTGTTTAAAACATAATCATCACTATTATTGTTATCATTAAAACTAGGGCCTTCTTAGACAATGCTAAACTAAGCCGAGATGAAAAACTTCTTACGTAAGCTAAATTATCATTTATATGTATCACATTTAAGAATAGGAAACAGAGGTGTACTCACCAATCACAAATATGGTAATCAGATTTCACAATGAAATCTCACCCTTGATATAAATACTGTACAAATATATGTTAAATCATACTGATTTTATTCGAATGAATACGTTTCCTAAATGAATTCATGACTCATTAATCCTTAGTAAACACTTGTTTATGACAATCAAATTGAAGTATAGCGACTGTAAAACCTCTTCACTTGTAAAGTGGAAATTACCAGCACATTGTGCTAAAGTGCTTTTGTCGTGGTAAAGAAGAGTAACATGGTTGATCCACAGATTATCCTGACCTGCTACTTAGGCAGGACAGTTAAAGTGTCATCTCCTGGTTCCAGTAAATCATGCACTCACTGGCATAGACTACAGATCAAATGAGTAAACTTTCTGTGTCAGAACACAGCTGCACAGCGCCCTACTGGCTGCTATCTTTGACTGACTGCTAGCTATCATCTGATAAAATCAAACATTAACGTTCATTTTAAAAACAACAGGTTTAAATGGTGATTTTCTAAAAAAAACAAATATGTTGCAGCATTGAGTTAGCTACAAATACAACAGGAGAGAACGCTTAACAATGCACTATTTAACATATAATTCGTGGAGTTAAATTGTGGAACAAACTAAATGAGAACCTAAAGCAATGCCCAAACATATTCCTTTTCAAAAAATGTACAAAGAAATTATTTTCAGAAGGTATAGAGAAGCATTGTAGAAAGTTTTGTTTGTGTTTTTTTGTTTTGTTTATTTGTATATATGTATGAAGGTATATGTGTATAAACATTTATGTATGTATGTGTAGGTAGGTGTGTATATATATATATATATATGGATATATATAGCAATATAATTATAAATATTGTAAATTGAAGAAATACAAAAATTAAAGGGGTAGGAGTACATAAGTTTTACTTCTTCCTATTCCTTTCCGCACATGTAATAGTGGTATATTAACTCAGGAAAGAAAGGTTTGAGTTCCGGGGCGAACATCTTTTCCATTGTCTTTACTTACCTACTTTTATCAACAATCATTCTGGATAAAATTGGTATTTACAAATACTAATATCTACATAAATCGATTATTTAATACGTTTTTATTAAAATAGTTATTTATATGATTTCACTGAAGACTCCTAGATGACTTGCAGAGACAGATCACACGGATGACACATCCCATGAAACACAAAATCTAGTTATGGAAAGAAATTAATTGAATTCTGTACTTATCATAATTAATGTTAGTATTTTAATGTTAAAATTGTAAATGTTTTGAATATTCCACTTGAGAGTATTACTGTTGACAGTGGCCACAGGGGTGGCCAGTGATTGGCTAATGGTGGCCATGGCCACCACTGGCCCCCCATCTTGCTCCGCCTCTGACTCCTGGCGCCCCTGGAACATTTGGTCTAGAATCGCCACTGCGCTCTCTCTCTCTCCATCTTCTCCCCCACCCTGCATGTGATCCGCCCATCCCCTCCTGCCAGCTGCCACTGATCACGCTGATGCTGCGGAGGAGGAGAGAAAGGCAGCCCGCTGTCCAATGACAGCGCTGGATGCTGGAAGAGGCTGCTGGGCTTGAATGGAGGCGACGAGATGCCATCTAGAATGACCAAGGAGGCCAATTGACATCTAAAAAGGTATATCTGTACATGTTGGTAATGTTACCGCTAAAATGATTATATATATGACCTAGGAAGGAATGGAGACTGAAATACGTGAGGTATCCTCTGGCGTTTTTTTGTGCGCGTTTTTTCTGAGCGACACGCCGGGGTAAAAAAAAAAAAAAAAAAAGAAAGGCATAGGCTGTGTCCATTTAACCAAATCATTCCCTGCTCGTTTAATAGAAACAGAACATTATAATCCAGATTATTCCTTACGATGTTGGAGGCGCTGACAGGAGGCGGTCTATTCCTTAGAAATAAAGGTTTTCCTCCACACGGCAGGTTATAGTCTCATTTCAGACGGACATGTAGGCCCGGTGAGCTGTCAACTGCTCGGTCCTGCCCTCCTAATCTTTATAAGTCAGTCTGCACATCTAAGCTGATAACATATTGCAATTTATAGGGGTTCAATCTTTTAGCAGAATGGATGGGCCAATTTGGAGATATTAATATCTGAGCTTAGTAGTCTGTGGGAAGCATGGGGGCGTCAAGCTCTGTAGTAGAATGCTTGATGAGGAGGCTGGATGGCTTGCATTTTCTCTTTAATAGAAATATATTCACTAAGCAAGATGTCCTTACCTTTACTCGCTCTCCAATAACTCCATATATGATGTTTTTTTTTTTATAAGATGGTTTTTGAAATGTCATGTCTGCCTCATTAAACAGCTGGATTTTTCTGCCTGTAGAGAAATCTTTGTTTCAGGACATCTGTATCCTCTCTGGTGTTTCCGCTCCACTGCTCTGCCAGAGATCATTTCCAAATTGCCTTCACTAAAGCATTTGTTGATCAGTTGTGCTGCAGCTCTCCCACCCCTCCAATGCAGAGAAATAGGGTGCAAAAGAAAGAAATAAAAGAACATTGTGATCCGGGTCAAAAATCAAAGCAGTGCAGATTCAGGGGTGTTTTGTTAAACTGGACAAGTGGATAAAGAAATGGTTGATGGGGCTCAAGAGCTCCAGGGTATCACAGTATTGAGCATGTCCTTTACAGGTTGAATAGGGCCCTGTTGTTAGTCATGTAGTTGGTTTCAGAATTTTTTTTACAATTTCTTTTTACTATGATTTTCAAAGTTGTATTCATAGAGTCATCTTTAATAGTTTTTTTTTTTGCTTATTAGTAAATATTCAGAATCTGATTTAAATGGAAGGCACTGCTCACTGCTACTAATGCTTCTATGATCAAACTGTTGTCAGTTTTCACTGTGAAAAGTATAATTGCATTTGATAGCCTGCCTGTAAAAAATAGTCATGTTATTTTATACAGTTACATTTTGCAAATAGCAAACAATTTTACATATAATGTTTGCTAAAAGGGGAAAGTAACAGGCAAACTGCTGCCAGTTAGAAATCGAAGCAGTACATCAGAGTAGTAAAACATTACTTTCCAATGGGTGCCAGCTTCTCTGTTTAGCCCTGCAGTATTCATCATTAGTAGATTATTTCTATAATGATCCTTTTACCATTGATAGGGAAATAAAAGTACCATTGAGAAACAGTAATAATACAAAAACAACTATTCCAATTCATACATTTATACAGAGATAATACATTAGAAGTTTTACATTCATTTAGGTTTGTAAAATGAAGCTTTTATGTCAGTAAAGTTCATCATAATAGAGTCATTTTATGAAAAGAACAAAAAGGATACTTGTAAACTACAGCACCCTCTCTACTAAATGCAAGCAGGAGTAAATGTCAATAGTTTAGCTTTTTTATCTATTTTGGTAAAAATACTGTCATTCATCTCATAAAAACTTGACCGAATTAAAAGCTTTTACCTGAGTTTATTTATTCAATGTGGAAGAAATACATAACAAAAAGGGATACGACATGGAGTTACAGCTGCTATCTTTAACATAGGGGGAAAAAAATGCTACAATGTACAGTATAGGGCTTCTACTAATGATTATTTTGCAAATTGATTAAGCTCTTGATTGTTTTTTCTATTAATCGATTAATAATCGGATAGCCAAAGGTTCCGCACAGATATTTTACTATATCAAACCAGTTGAAACTAAAACTTTTCCACTTAAGGGGTTCTAGATAGAGCATATTGAGAGATGAAAACATTTTATTTTTATCCTAAATGCACAATGTTTATATATTTTTTACAATTTTGATATAATTACTGCTCTAAGTGGGTTGCTCTGTGAGCTAAAGACATGTTTTACAGTATCAATACTCCATTTAACGATTACTCGATTATTAAATTAGTTGACGACTATTTCAATAATCGATGAATCACTATTAATCTGATGAATTGTTTCAGCCCTAGAACGGTGAAAAGCATAGTAGCCAATTTAAAAGGAGATCTTCAAAGTGTACCGCTAAAAAACCCATGAGGATCATGGACTCTAGAAATGTCCATAAAACCCATTAGATGTTATCTAGCTACATAATGAAAACAGCTACCTATTTCTGCTGAATGTTTTCATTGTGCTCATTTAGGGGAGATAGCAATCAATCAGATAAAATTTTCTATTATAGAATCCATTTCATATTGAACCAAAGACACAAAAAATACTTTATATAGAATAAAGATGGCAGGAAAATAAACATTAATTCATTAAAATCTGCATTTAATTAAAATATCTGGTATAAACAATAAAGAAAATCAATATTAAAAACAATACAAAGCCAAATTTAATGTGCATTCAAACTAAAGCTGTAATTCTACCAAAATAGAGCTAAATTTGGAATAAATATTTGATTTCTTAAAGTAAGATATGCGCTAGTTGAAGCACAAAAGATCAGTATTAGGTTTACTTAAAAAATAATAATAATAATTTTGCCAATTATTTCTTACTCCTTACAAAATCCACAGAAATGCTTTAGAGTAATAGCCAAATTACTTAAATGATTAATATGTGGGCACATCTCATATGAGCTTTGGGTGCAAGTTGCCCCAGGAAACCCTCAGAAATAAAAAGACATGGTACATGAGGTGAAGATATCCTTCAATGAACCTCAACACAGATAAATCTTTCATTTTCAGATCATGTTACTGCAAACAAACACATTTATTGCAAGGCTCTTTACACATGTCTCTGTGTGACACAGTTAAAAGTGTTGTAGGCATGTCCCACATTACCGGATAGAATAATTTTACACAACTTATTTACGCCAAAGCAGGAAAGCTTTAAAACTGTTGGCTTAATATGAGGTCTGTAGTTTATATTTGTTGTGGTAAGGAAAGGAAATTCTAAAGGCAAAAACGGTGGCCTGACTCCCTGAATCAATGATTCATCACCGGTGAGGCAGACAAAAGCTGACAAACACACCCGACATGCTGCTTGAAATGTGAACTGATTTATCTACACTACTAGTGGATCAAAAGCCCAACACTGTTAAGCTTCTGAAGTGAGCCACCAGCTGACTGATCTTAAACTGGATGTTGGTTTTACTGTTTTTACTACTTTTCAGAGTGAAATATTTCTCCACCAGACCTCCCCGCTCTAGTCTGGCTGCTTTTTCTTAAAACTCTGATCTGCTGATTCTAACATATATTTTTAAAACAATAAAACATTTTTCATTTATATTTATAGTTTCTGTTTTTGAACAATACACCAAAAAGCAAAGGAATTAGAAGATTGTTTACTTGCGTGTACAGTATCTATTGTTTTTATTTGTATTTTTGAAATAACTGTTATAGTTGATTTTGGAATATTTACAGAAATAATCAATTGTCGTTTTGATGCATTTTATAGATAAAAAATATTCAGATTTTCACAGACATATCACAGATCAGAACTTATCCAGATAAAGTTGTTTTATCCCAGTTTTTGGACCATTCTTTGGTCTCATGGTTCCTACGCTTACTGTTCAGCTGACCTACGCTTCAGCATTTCCATGTCTCTGCTCTCGCAATGTTATTTGCCTTACAGATGGCTGTAACTTTGTTGTTATTCCCTTCACATGACACATTCGTGGGTACAGCTCAGTGATGCTGTCATCTGCATTTTGAGAATTTCAACCTTCTGTTCATCTGTCCATTAAATTGAAACTAAATGACCAAGAAACTATAATTCACTCACACCATGTTGCTGTATTTTGTCATATTTTTTTTAAAATTCATTTTATGCGAGATGATAGGTGTTAGCCCAGGCAGAAACACCATGGCAACCAAATCTAAGAGGTGTCACCATGATGAGCGATAGATGAAAAAATCTACATGTGCTTCATTAACCTCCTTTTTAACCCAATTGATATATTTGTATTTTTCATTGTCAGGCAGTTTAGGAAATGAACATCCCTAGATAGTGTCTTTTTCTTTGACGTTTGTGTTAAATAGCTCTCTGTTTTCACCCTAAAAATATCGACCACAGTGAAATAATGAGGTTTTCAGTTTAAATAAATCACAGCCTGTGATAGATCTGGAGATAAATTAAAACCAGAGCACGGCATTAAATGGTCCAGCCATTATTCAATCATTAAAAATTTATTCTGCTTTAGGATTTATGTATTTTCATAGCATGAATACCTTTATCATATATAAACTGCTTTTTTAAACTCTTTTAGACATAAAAAGCCCACTAAAGTCCTAGCTTAGCTGCTAGGCCAATTATCTTTAAAAACATTTTCCAAATAAATTTGGTGGCTTGTGATTTTTTTGGTGTATAACAGCAACATATGAGTCTAAGGTCAGAGACACATTTAGTTCAGTCCTCCTTACAATCATACTTTGAGCTGAGTTGAAGCCTGCCAGTAAATATTTACCAGTTAGTTTATGAGAAAAGACAGTGCTACAGAAACGTTGCTGTATTTCATGTGCAATAAGTGCATCTGTCAGGACTATTGATCTTTACTTGATTTTGTTGCCCTGTTTTCTTGCTTGTATTTGTATGCAAAATTAACTTTTTAAGGACTTCATATAAATGTTTTTATCACAGCAGCATAATCTTATACTGAAATTTGTGCACATTGTTTTTCGATGGGGGAATTTCTATTACTTTACTCTTTTTTTGGTCAATATGATAAAGCAAAACACTAACATTTTTTGAGCACCCATAGAGGGCCTAGGCATGACTATGCATGGTTCTAAAAACACTTCAGGTTCTCTCTTATGTTCTCTTCTCTTCACCTTATTCCAGAGTTTGGTCTTGGACCAATTCCTTGCTGTTTAATGTTGTTAATGTTATTATTATTATTATTATTATTATTATGACTTTTATTCTGTAGAAAATGATCCAATTTTAGCTTTCTCATAAAATTCCCATTTCTAATGACCAGAGATTCTATAACAAGACTTTTAGTGTATTTACTATAAAAACTAGCCCACAGCACCACAGTTTTTCTCTCCTGCCTTAACAGCGGGTCGGGGATGTTTTTACTAATGTTAATCCTTTGTTTCAAGTCAAGCCTACCTGCTGTGTTTGTTGCCAAAAATGTCATAGTCTCGTCTGGATAAGGTACACCGGTACAGGTAAAGCTCTAGCAGAAGTTATCAAACCTTTCATGTTTAATGTTTAAGGTATTCTGTAAAGCTTTCCCTTATTACTATCCTTCCTCACATCTGCAGAGTGCATGGTAGGAACATAGCATTTGTCCTCATCCAACCCTTTCCACCCTGTTGTGTTGTTTTATTATTTAAAAAAAAATATTTTAAGTAAATGCTCATAAAATAAATTTGCAACCTTTCTGTGTAAGAAACTATTTTTGCTGTAATTATTTGCAGAAATATAAATATACAGACATCTGATTTTCTTTCAAGGCACATTCCTCGTCTTTCTTATTTCAAGGATTGACTCATATAAATATAAAATAAATATAATTAACAATAATACATAAATCTAATTAACAAAGTAAATTGACGAACAACACCTCACAGAAAGCAGTGATCAGCTTAAAATTATGCGTGAGACTGCTTATTTGGATATTACTGGATATCTGTACTTTAAGGAACTCATTAACTCGTATTTTATTTATGCAGTCCTTCTGAAATTGTCTTTAAATTAATCTAATCAATAAATAGAGCTCCACCCCCCACCCTTTTTATTCCATAAAGGTATGCCTGAGAATTTGACTTGTTTGTATCCACAATCGTGTGGATTTAATGTAAGCAACATTATCAGTTTTCCCTGGTTCATTTACCATTGTTTCATAGTCAAAATAGGTAAAAAGTTACATAAGCAGAAACACGTAGTGACTGCCTGCAGGAGAGTCCATGATTGTTGGAATCTTCCCTTTAGGTAGAATAGAGACAGGGTGAAGCTAATATTTCCTTACAGTATTGGTGTCAATGCAGAAGGAAGACCAGACTGGTGCTTTGTGGAGAGCAAGTTCATGTGGGGATTTCTGATTTGAACAATGAGCCAACATGAAAATACCAAGCCGCTAACAATGTTGATTTTCCTGCAGGTTTAAACTGAAGCAAAATACACATATTTTAACATGAAAAACTCAAATTTCCATGTGAAAACTCCCTTAGAACAGAGATGATTAACAATTAGATTCATTATAGGTGTTTTAAACTACTGAGCTCTTTAGTGATTGTTTAACTTTCTGTATATCATCATACTTTTATACAATAAAAGTAAATAAATAAGTATTAGCCTGACACTAGTGTTGATTTTAGGAAATTCCTGCAGGCAAATTCAAACGAGAGCAGCAGGTGTAATTAGAGCAGCTTGCCTATATGGAGGTATATGATCTTAAGTTTGTTTGTTTTTTAGTGGAATGTTTTGTTTATCAAATTTCATTTGTCTGACAGATGCTTATCCCCTGTTTCCTCAGATCTGACTTTGATGTGTCCTAAGCCACGATTCAGACATGAAATAAGTCATCCATGTTTGGCTGAAAAAAGTCAGAGCAATCTCATTTGAGCACGCCCCTGTTAAAGGACCCTCTGGTGGCTACTCCTCTGAATCACGGGACATGTACGGCAGTGCCAGAGCTGTAGGTCATGTAGAGAGCAGTCCTGTACGGTCCCCGCGCCTTCCAAGGTCTCCCAGACTGGGCCATCGAAGGGCACACAGCGGGAGCGGGGGTGGTGCGGGGGGCAAGACCCTCTCCATGGAGAACATCCAATCACTCAACGCTGCCTATGCTACTTCAGGGCCCATGTACCTGAGTGACCACGAGGGCGTGGGCTCCACTGCCACCTACCCAAAAGGCACCATGACTCTGGGTCGCGCCACCAGCCGGGCCATGTATGGGGGCCGCGTCACAGCCATGGGCAGCAGCCCCAATATTGCTTCAGTGGGGCTGCCTCATGCTGACCTTCTGTCTTACAGTGACCTGGGCTCCCTCTCCATGCTGCACGCCCACCACCACCAGGGGGTGCCCTCGGCTCTGCTCAGGCAGGCCATGCGGGGCAGTGGTGGCGAGCTGCTGGAGATGCAGGCCCAGCTCAGGGAGATGCAGAGGGAAAATGAGATGCTGCGGCGAGAGCTCGACGTGAAGGAGAGTAAGTTGGGATCTTCCACCAACAGCATTAAGAGCTTCTGGAGCCCCGAGTTAAAGAAGGAAAGGATCATGAGGAAAGAGGAGGCGGCTCGCACGTCCATCCTGAAGGAGCAGATGAGGGTCACTCATGAGGAGAATCAGGTGAGAGCACTCCTCTCTCAGCTGTCATAATCCAGTTATTACTGCAGTGAATTTCATTTGCTTCTTTTTTCCCCCACCCATTTAGCTCTGTTCTGATCTCTGCTTTCACCTACCTGTTTTTTTTTTTGTTCTTGCAAAAAGACACAGCCATCATCACCAGGAAATTTTATAAAATGAATGCAGTCAGATCTGTTTTTTACAGATTAATAAAACCTTTCTGGAAAGGCGTTTTATGCACACAAACATTTTTTCATCTGCCGATGATTTTGCATCATCTTAGAAAGTACAAGCACTTCAACTAAAAACCAACAGAGCTGAAATCTGAGCCTTCAGTTATTTATGGCTCAGAGGAAAGTACGATGACGATGACGACAGGTGTATTGAACCCAATGCAGTCTGGCCCCATTATTGCTTAATTTTTGTTTATTTTCACTGGTTCAGCAGATTGGCCCCAGGGGCAGAGATGTCAAAAGCTTTTTTTTTTTTTTTTTTTTTTTTTTTTTTTTTTTTACTTACCTCAGTGTAGGGGTGTAGTCATGGCCCAGTTAAATCACTTACTGACAGGAATAGGCACAGGGCCCAGAGACAAATGTCAAGGACGCTCAAACACTCCCTATCTGTTCTTCCATTACTTTCTCTTCAAATGGTCTGACTTACATCATCTCTCAGTGTTTACTTTGGTTCATATAAGCATTAAAATTTACTGTAGGATTTGTTGTCTTTTTGTCTATTTTGATTACCGGTAAATGTCCAAATGTAAAAGAAGCTGGACATCAGTTTCATTCCATGTCAGACTCCCTCGTAGGATTGTTAGTAGTCAGATATTAAATGGTGCAGGCAGAATGTTCAGCCTTTGGTTCAGTGGGATCCTCAAGCTGGAAAGAGAAATGCACAACTTACAGAGATTGTGTAGATCTGAATAAATCAACACTATGACCACTATCCTGAACAATTTTTGTAACTGTTTAAAGGCTAAGTTTGGATAAGCTCATCTTGCAGGGCAGTTTGTTTTCTATCCTTTTGTTTTCATGTACTAAAAATAAATTATAAGTCCCAGCATAATGCTGTCTGAACATTCTTCACAATGAAATGTGTTGATCCTCTCATCAGTGTTTGAAAAAATAGCAGGGATTTGCTGCTGTAGCAGCACTTAAAAAACAGGATGTCTTAAAACAAGATTTAAGTGATGTGCTCATATTTCCCAGTTTTAGCTTAAATGTAGGCGGCACTGTTTTAGGTCATTTAATACAGAAAGCAGGACATTAAAATAACTAAGGATGATACAAATGCATGGATAAAAACTTCAGCATTTTCAAATGATAAAGCTTCTCTAAAGTTGGCAATGTTTCTTAGTTCTGGTTACCTCTTTTATACGAGACTCAAAGGAGAGCTTCGAATCAAACCACACACACAATTTTCTTTCATTAGTCCCTGCTTGTAATGACATTGTTATCAAGTTTTATGATGAAGTTATTAGACAAGATAAGAAATGTTCAAGTCCAATGAGCATCATGTACTAGAACCGTCCAGTGAAAGTCCATGCTTACTTTCTTGCCTCAAACATTTGAGGTAAGAAGTCTGATGTTCACACATCCCATCCCGTAGAGCCTATCCATTCTAATGTGGCTCTTAAGTACTTTTTTAGGGAATCATTGTAAACAATATAGCCTCTATCAGTGCAAAACTAGTAGAGATGTACCACAAAGTACTTCTAAATATAATTGTGGTAACAACTTGTGGCACGTTAACCTTTCCAAATTGTAAGAAAGGTAATAAACATGCATTATTTTAACCTCCAAATCACAATTTTGTGCTACTTTATGTTGATCTTTCAAAAAATCAGAATAAACTCATTTTTCTTTATGCTTGAAATGTGAAAAGTAACGGAACGTTCAGGGGGTATAAATACTTGTGCAAGGATTTTACTGTATAGTCTGGGTGTGGATGTCTCGGAACAGTACACTTAGCTAGCAGTCACCTATTCATCACCAAAGGTCTTTTCGTTATTCTCTTTAAATCCATCCTTTGCACACATCAGGATGAATGTTGAGGCTGAACAGGCTGTGTCACTGACAGGAACAAAGCTATTCTTCTTTTCACATTTATAGATGAAGAGCTGATAAATCCCAGTTCTGACATTTTTAGTTAGGACTCATAGAGTTTAGGAGCTGAAAGTGTCCTGCAGATTCTGAAAGGTGTTCACAGAGGGTTTCCATGGCATCATTGTTTAATCGCAGGGAGGACTCAGTGTTTGCTCTCGTCCTATGTTGTGATATTTATATTCCTCCTCTGAAAGGTTTCATTAACATGGTATGACAGTTAATAAAAGGCAGATGTTTGTTGCTATAATTGGTCTATTCCGACTTGATTTCTGGGCTCTGAAGCGTGCATAAGTGTATATTTAAGGTCGAATGCTTTGGTCACACCCACTGGGCTTACTGACTGATGAGCAAATTGCTTCATAAATAATGCAGGAATTTCAGGCCAGTCATTGTGTCTGCCCTCTAGCACAACTTTTTACAATTGCATCAGGTGCCTTAGGCCACTGTTAGTTTTAGCAAAATGTCATGCATCATTTATCGTGGGAAAATTTAGGATCAGAGTATATATATATATATATATATATATATATATATATATATATATATACAACATTTTTAAAATGTTCTAATATATCATTCATTCATTAAGGCCTTTGAAGTTGGGTTTTTATTTTCTGGAGAAATAATAGCCATAGCCTGCAGAGCCTACATCTAAACAGTGAAGGTGATGGCTAGTGGTAGTGATTAGCATGTGACTGTTTGGTGTGTTGGATCTTTATTTTGGGGGGCAGCGGATCTTGTTTTTGTTGAATTGAGCAAAATTTTTGTTGTCATGCCAAAGCTGCATGGGAGCTGCTGGAGGCGAGTGTGTGAGCTAGTGCATAGCATATCTGACTGAGTCATAGCCGCTGCTACTCAGCTGTCCAGTCAGCCCTAATCAACGGTTTTAACAAAAATAGAGCTCACCCCAATTCCTCTGCACATACATACAAACTTAAAGTAAAGCATGATGTATCCCACAGAAATTTTAACAGTTGCTATATTTGTGTCTTTTTAAGTGATATGGTGTGTAAGAATTAAGATTTTATTAGAGGTTATTGTACTGATGGAGTATGCAGCCCTTTCATAAAACAAATCTGTGTACCTCTTTTTTTTCTCAGCATTTTATTGTCATTACACTGTCACATGTACAAAGCAATGAAATTAACTCTCTGCATTTAACCCGTCCCCTTGGGGAGCAGTGGGCTGCCACTGTGGGGTGCCTGGGGAGCAGTGTGGGGTTAAGGGCTTTGCTCAGGGACCCAGAGTGGGGTTTTGAACTCAGACCCTCAGGATTCCAAGCGCAATCCTCCAACCACTAGGCCGCCACTCCCCAGCTCATTCCTGCCAGCTGGGATATAAACCCAGGCTTCCTGTTTGCAGGTGACTTACCACTTGAGCTAGCCAGCTGCTAGAGGTGAATTCACAGGTATTTATTGACTCACATTGTGAATAATGTAACTGAAAAAACTTGCTGCATATCAGTGCTGTATGTTTACCTAACTATTCTTTAGACTAAGCTAATGAAATCAGATGCATATGATAAGCAGGACTCTTTTACAACCTAAAATTTTTGAGTCCGTACAGCGCCTTGAAAGTTATTTACAAAGAGCAAGGTGCCTGTTATAGCTAAGAGGGATTTAGTATTTTTTTGTATTTCATTTGAAAATAATCATATACAAAATCATGATTTTTGTAGCTTGTTACAGAATAGAATAGAATTCAGAATTCAACTTTTTTGTCATTCCACTGTCACAAGTACAGAGCAACGAAATTAATTCTCTGCATTTAACCCATCCCCTTGGGGAGCAGTGGGCTGCCATTGTGAGGCGCCCGGGGAGCAGTGTGGGGTTAAGGGTCTTGCTCAGGGACCCAGAGTGGCAGTCTGTGGGAGTGGGGGATCGAACTCACAACCTCAGGATTCAAAGCCCAATGGCCTAACCACTAGGCCGCCACTCCCCATGCCCGAGCAACATCTCTCACAACATTTATATATCAAACTAATGCCTATACTGCAGGAATGTATGATGGAAACACTGCAAAAACCATCTAAAAATGAGAACAAATGTCTTAAGTGTATTTACCATTACTTTGAGTAGGTTAATTAGATAATTTGCCAATGGAATGAGTATTTTTAGTTTTAAAATAAAATAAATACATAATATGCACTTGAAATAAGACAATGTAATTGTGTTTTCTTATTTTAAATGTAAATTGTCTTGTTCCATTGGCAAAGTGTCTCAATTACCTCCTGAATTCAAGACAAAAAGCACTTATTGCAAGAAAAAATGACTTATTTAGCTTTCAATTTTTTGCAGTGAAGCTAGTGGTTTTGAAACAGTGAATTTTTCATGCCGTGGTATACCTAAACCTAATTACTGGCTGATGCCTATTTGTTTATTGTTTTTGGACCAATAATTTACTTTCAAAAGATACACGTCTTTTCTTGGTATGATCTTTTAATGGGTGGGCAGACCACAAACAATTTATGTGGTTGCTGTCCCATGCAAACACTTTCCAACATTTCCCTTGTGACCCCACATGTCAAGTAGCTGCTTGGTAGAACCAGTTGCTCTCATGCTAACCCACAAACCAAGCTCTATCAAGTGCTGCTAATGTTTTCTAATCACACAGTAAACAGCATCATAAGAACACATTTCTGAATGAAATGCAAGTAAAACAAAGAGAATAATACCAGTCTATAAAGATATTTTAGTCATTTAGACATTTGCTGAGTCCGCCATCATGACACACTAACTCAGAGATTAGGAAGGGCGTAAACAGCAGGATGCTACAGCTAAAGAGCTCTGGAGCTGCTCATTTTGTCTTAGAAAAACATTCTTATCATAGAAAGTCTAAGAGAATGTAACATATACAAGGCAGATGGTCTGATGGTTTATTCTGGAGCAGGGGCCGTCATCTAATTGCTTAAGTACCAAAATAATATTTTAAGGCATTAAGGAGTCCAGCCTTTATTATGCATGTATCTAGCAATGGCCTGTTTGTTTAAGATATTTAAAATGATGCTGTATTAAGTAGCTGGGATGTGATGGGTCATTTAACTTTTTCATATTTGATTGAGTGTAGGGAAGATCGTATTGTGACAACCTGGAAATGAAAAATTAAATGTTTCAATTTACTATAAAGGCAAGATAAGGTAATAAAACTCCTTACAGGACTAAATGCTACAGTATTGTACAGCCCCTTCTAATATAATCCATTCCTCTCAAATTCCTCTAGTCACATAGCAAACAAGAACTTTGATAATCCTTTTGAATTTTATTTCATGGACCTTTATGGAGTAGCATATTAACAGTATATAAGAAGACTGCTGACAGATGGATTTTCTTTTTACGCCTACAACTCTGAAATGTGTTGAATATTAGATAAACAAAGCAAAAGTCAATACTTTGTTATGTCACTCTAAATGCATTTTAGCATGTTTTTACCCATTTCTCTTTGCACAACAGGTCAAACTCAGAATTAGAGTGATATCTGAGCATCAGTTGTCAATTCTTACCACAGATCTTAATTCAGATTTAAGGCTGAACATGCAGGGTAAGAGTACTTTAGCACGAGGGCAAAAATCCATTGCCCAACATCTCTTTTTGCTCACTAAACACTGTATTCCTAATGCTAAGCAAGCTTGTTTTCTTGTATCTCATCCGTAAAATGCAGATTTGTATAGTAGACAACAAATAAAAACTCTGCTTTAAACTTTCCTACAACTTAATCTTGCTAAAAGAGATTATAACCCTAAGAAGCATGTCCTGGTAAAATGAATGTGAAATTAAGGTATATTACATTTAATATTGATCATTTTTCAAGGCACTGGCTTTTATTTACAGTAAAAGGTACTGGATACAAATGCAAAGACTTAGTGTGCATTTTTATATTTTATTTTACATTTTTATATACTTACACAAAAAATCTTGAAAACCAAGTTTAATTTTCCTCTGAAACTGTATTTGTCTGCTAATATGTGTTGGTCACATTTAATGTAAAAAAAAATCCTAAGTTTCTGATTTTAAACATTGAGGAACATTTCGAGGGGTTTAATATTATTTGCACACCCTGGAAAAGAATAAACTTTTTATTTAACACCCATTTCTTTATACAGCACAAGGTTACAGGCACTCTAATGCAATGATGGGATTATGGACTATCACTTTCAGATACTTGAGATAATTGAGCTTTTGACATTTATTCCAAAAAGACAGTTTGTTAGACAATCTGATTTTGAGACATTACTGAAGAACTAAACAGAGGCATAATAATTCCTTCTGTTGTTTTCCCCCCAAACAGAGTAATGCATCAGCTAAGATACAACATTTTGTGAATGCTTTAATATGGCAGAAGCCAGTGTGTATAACTAACCTCAGAAGGACTCTCTGAGTCTGCAGCACAAGATTTATGACAGCCAGTTACAGCTGGCTGGTCGAGGTGTCAGTAAGATAAGGAAGCAGAGCAGCTCAACATTTCTGCTTAGTGCTTGGAAACTTTGGTCTCTTACTGTCACGGTGTTCGTTAAAAGAAAGAAACGTCTTCTTATAAGAAATAGTAACCAAAACACCAGTATAAGCTGAGTCATAACCAGCTCACACAAACAGCTACACGTCAGCTATGATGTGAAGGAACAAGATGAATGGTTGTTTAGTGATTTTAAGTCACAGGTCAATTATGCAAATTGTTTCACTGAATTGTTTCCTGTAGTTTGGGCTCCCAGACAGCAGCTTACTGATCAGTAAAGAAGGGAGAGTTAGAAATCAGAAAGACAAAGTTCAGAATAGAGGAAAGCATTTGATATTTCTTCTCAAGGTGTGCAAACGTTTCATCAAATTCGACTACATAAGCATGACTTGCTTTGTATAAAGCTAGATAAAAAACTAGATAAAAATAGATCTATGAAAATGGGTTCTTGCATTTTTATTCTTTTGCAAAACTTTTGCTCTAAATTTTGGGTTCATGTTTGGACTTCATAATCTTTTTCTATTCATTTTTTTAAAGGATTTATCTGTTGGAATCTTTACTTTATGATCACATATGTATCTTTGTGATGAGAGTTGAAGCAGGAGCTGCACTATGTAAAAAACGATTCTTAAGCGTCTTCGTGCTGTGTCACTGTCGTTCTACAAAAGGCCAATGACTCAGAGAGGGGGTGTTTGACTGAAACAGCATGTCATGGCAGCAGTCAGCAGAAAATCCATCAGATGTCCATGCTAATGCAAACACTGCCCCCTGATGGTTAATCACTCACATGGCAAATATTTTAAAATGGTCAGACTTTAACAATGATTCTTTTTTTAAATGTCCTGCTGCTTATTCTCCTATTACCTGTAGAATAAGTAAGATTTATACCCCTTGATCACACTGTGATTTAAGTATGCTTCAATTTAATTTGCTGTTAATCCACTTGTTGTTTTAGGGACACACAAAAAGGAAGATTATTTCATTCAGTTGTTGCTTTTACTAATCTCTACTATTAGGGCTTCTACCAGTCATCACACATTGATATCAACCTGAGATTATACATTTTATTTTCATGGTTTATTTTAAACTCCTTAACCTACTAGATAATTTTTACAATGTCTTTCCAGAAAGGTAAATCAACTTAATATATGAAAACCTTTGTACAAGAGTAATTTTATTCCTGGCAGATACTTTTGCTTTTTATGAAAAATATGAATAATATACTATTATAAAACTGATTTGTATATATATATAATATAGATGGATATACATAGATGGAATGAAAACAAATACATCTAAAAAGCATAATGTTTTGCACTTTTTTCTTGCTTTAACATGGCATAATGTTTTAAATAAAGACATTTGGTTGTAAAGTTAATTTGCTGACTGCACGGTTGAAAACCCAGCAGCTCTCATTCAAGATTTTTCTACATTTTGTTGACCATCCTTTTCTGTTGCATCAGGCTCTGAAGTTCTGTTTTCACCACACATCTGTTTTTCTGTTCGTTCTGTTCATGCTCAGCACCTGATGGATGCCAGGAGAACCAAGGTTTGTCCCTATGTTTGCACCATATGATGTGTGCATAACATAGAGTCACCTTTTGTGTGTTGTGTATTTTTTCCAGATACCTGACAAGCCCTTTCTCTCCTTGAACCTCCTATAAGAAGTGAACGATTTAGCTCAGTCCCTCAGTCCAACCGTCCTCCTTACCCCTTTAACCCCTATATTTTTAATTTTTAAAACCAAATAAAAAGAAAGTTATTTTGGTGCTCCTTTTAAAATACAAACCCTACCAGTATAGCTCTGGAATGCGGAGGATTTAAGGAGAAAAAATATTCTGGTTCTCTAAAACCTGTATGAGCCATTTTATGTACTTGTATGGATCTCTCTCACTCTCTAGGAGGAAAGTTTTATATTTTTCCAGAAACTAATATCCTTTAACAGTAATACACATGGATAAGAAATGTAATAAAAGTTGAGAGAGTATGATATATCATTAGATAAGGTAATACAGTGCTAACCCTATAGAAACCCCTGGTAAATGTGCATTAAAAGCCTTCAAATAAAGCCATCATATATTTACAGTATAGAGTAGAATAGAATAGGAAATCCGTTTATTGTCCCACAGTAGCATATAAGTACTTCCACAAAATCACTGGTGGTGTTTTCCCTTTTACTTTCTTTGCCTTTAAATGGACAAAAAAAAACAAAAAACACCTTCTGAGTACAAAACATATATTTTTCAGAAAATGGCCACACCAAATCATGAAAATAATCTTATCCAGGCAGTCCCTTTAACATTATTGAGCCAAAGACTATTTACTAATGCAAGGTTACAGGTTTAGAAGAATTCATCTTTAACTTTGTTATCAAGCAGATACTTATTTTATTTTAAGTAACATTTGCTAATGCGATTATAGTCAACAAAACGTTTGATAATTAGGGTATGATAACAACATTAAAGGATGATTAGGTGAAAAGTTCATTAAACCCATTTTTAGTTTCTGAGGTATAAAGATTGTTTTATTAACCCAGCAACAACTAAACAAGACTCTGAAACTAAATTACAAAAAAGTGTCTGTATAATCCCTTCTTTACTTTCACCATAATGTACAGTTATCAGTGTATCAGTTAGTTAGCTGGTCAATCTGCACTTTAAATGAGAAAGCAACAACTTGCTTCCCTTGGTAACAAGAATTAGGTTTACCTTCCTTAAATATAAGAATTGATTTATTATGTTAAAAACATAAAATAAAAAAGCTGGATCAAGTTAATTGGACTAATTGTTTCCAATTGAAGCATTTTTTTTTTGTTTAAGCAACATTCCCTTTTTAGATTTTGCATAAAGTTCAGTAGTAGTTTGAATGCATTTGCTTGCAAATTTCCAAAAGTCTTTTAAGCAAGACAAAACTTAACAGAAAAAAACTATCATGCCTTCTTGTGATGTCAATAAACACAACCATACAAAACTGGGTGCGTACATACTTCACATTTAGACTTGCGTGCTATGTGTTTTGCTATGCCAGCATATAAGTCTGGCCAAGTAGGAAACCGAGTACCAAAAGCTTCATTTTGCAATATATAGTCTGAATGGGTCTGGAGAAAAAGGTGATATGAAAAGGCAACTTATATCCTTTGTTAAGTATGTAGCAGGATTTGTGATGCTGTGGGCTTGTGTCTCCTCCAAATTAGAGGATATAGCGTTATAGACCAGATCCAATACACCATTCTTTTTTAAGTATCTGCTTATAACAACACAAAAGAGGTATTATTCTAAATAGATGACAAAAGGGACTATTTATACTGCTTACTGTGATTCAGTTTCTAACCATTCAAGTCGTGACCAAATATAAAAGCATACATTTCACAGTTATCCTACTTTTGTATATTTTAAATTAAGCCCTTTCTTTAATCTGTCACTGATCTCCATTTTGGTGTTTTTTGTTTTTTTTTTGCAGTCTTTCTTCCTGAAAATACACATTTACACATCTACAGTGAGAAGTCTTTGGTCTCTACAACATATTTACATTGTAACTTATAGTTTGCAGAGTTTTAGGCAATTATGATGATCCTAGCTTAGATACAGAAAAGTATATAGATATTCTTGACCAGAGAGCAAGAGAAGAACAAACATCTGCACAAACTCAGTGCTGCTCACATTATGCACAGTCTGCTTTAGTATGTGGGAGCCCTGAGTAATTACAATAACATACACATACATATCTTTCTTCATACTGTAGCTTGCAGATGGAAGCTCCACACAAACAGTTAAATGCTGACAATTTTTAACAAAATGATTGAGGTATATTTTTTTTACCCGAGTAAAAGTGATCAGAGGAGATTCCGGCCATTTTCAAAGGCTGATTCTAGCTTTTGAACCTCCCAAGCCACACTCAGCTCCCCTGTTTGTCGTCTTTCCTATTTTCAGAATTTTGGGATGTATAGATAACTGTTTGCATTGTTAGACCATCCTTTTACTGAGCATGAAGTGACCACTTTGAGCATAAATAAAAATAAAATCAATAGTCTTTGTGGTTAAACTTACCCAGCTGTTTCAAAATCAACATAGTGGTTTTGAAACATAGTGGTTAGCAACAGAAGAACACAAATTAAAATTGTTTGCGATAACTTTGCACCATGCATATTTCTTTTTAAAATGTAATGTTGTGCATTGTCCTTGTATAAAATCAAGACAAAAAAAAAAAATGGTTTTTAGAGTTAACTAATTACATTTTTCAGACTATGCAGCTTTAATAACATTTTACTTTTGGACTTTGATGTTATTTTTCTATAGTGAAACCCTTCAGAGATTTAAAACATATATGTGATCAGGACCCTTGTGATGAATGTCAAATGGTAAAGAAATAATCAGTTTTGGAGAAATTCTCCCTGTTAATGGCTTCTATAGAAATAATGATTTTCTAATAAAACTGGATATTCTTTTAGACACCCAAATGCTTTAATTTAAGTGGTAATGTTGTTGATGGTTAAAGTCTTCCCAGTTCTTCACATTTGTGTGATTGCATCTTGATGTTATTTTTTACCTAAAATGATACTAGATTTGATGTATTTTTTCTAAATGTGTCGGGTGTTTGTTTGTGTGTGTACGTCCATGTCTTTCCTTTTCTCGTGCAGCATCTCCAGATGACCATCCAGGCTTTACAGGATGAACTGCACACACAGCGAGACCTCAACCACCTGCTTCAGCAGGAGAGCGGGAACCGATCTGGCTCAGAGCATTTCACCACCATCGAGCTGACGGAGGAGAACTTCCGCCGGCTGCAAGCTGAGCACGACAGGCAGGCCAAAGAGCTTTTCCTTCTTAGGAAAACCCTGGAGGAGATGGAGCTAAGAATAGAGACCCAGAAACAAACGCTTGGTGCCAGGGATGAGTCCATTAAGAAGCTGCTGGAGATGCTGCAAAGCAAGGGGCTGCCTCCTGGGCCGGGCAGAGCATCCGAAGAGGAAGAGCAGGAGAGAGCGAGGCGTATTGCTGAAGCAGAAGCCCAGCTTGGACACCTGGAAGTCATTTTGGATCAGAAGGAGAAGGAAAATATCCATTTGCGTGAGGTACAGTTTGACCAAAGCGTATTCACATTTTAATGTCTTTTGTTTGGGTGCCACCAGATGGCAATGCTGAGTATGATAAAGTCAGTGGACTCTTCTCTGCTCCTCTACTACAGTACATGGATTATGTAATGCATGTAGAAAGTCTGCAGATCACATTTATAAATGCAACACGATGAGTGTGAACAGACACAACTTTTACATAGTCATTATGTCCCTCCTGTTTTCATTCTATTGCTTACATTACAGAACAAATAAAAGGTATTCTTTGTTGTTGTTTCGATAAAGGAACTGCACAGAAGAAATCAGCTTCACCAGGATCCCAGTAAAACCAAGGCCCTGCAGACCATCATAGAGATGAAAGTAAGATTTACTACTCACAAGAGCTTACCGTTTATATGAAAGCAAATGTTCATTGGTGTACTTCCATTCTAAGCTTTCTATTGTGATTTCTACTGAGGCTTTTGCTGATGGATGTTCTGCTGAAACTATTGTTGTCGCTGCAATTTGCTGCAGCTGAGTCAATCGTCAGCCCGCTGTCACATCTCTGATTCTCAAACATGGAACTGTGCTGTATCGGCTTTCAAAGCCTTTGTGCTAGCTTGAACAAGAGTGAACATTTCATCCTCTTTGGTTTGCTGAAGAGACATCAAACTGAATCACAATAAGGTTGCATGACAACTAATGGGATCCCCTTTTCAACAATTTGTTTTATTACATGGCTGTCTTCAAACAGACACGGACACTCTGGCCCTACAAGAGCTCTGCAGATTCAAGTAAAAATAACATAAAAATCAAGACAAAATAAATGGATTTTCATGTTTGTAACAATACCTGAACAATTTCAAGGGTTGTGAAAACTATCGTGAAAGGTTCTATAGCAAAAACTGTTGAATGATAAAGATAAAAATAGATGTAAACATGTTTAAAATTAAAAACATAATGATTTTCAGGCCACCCAAACTATATTTTGATTCTTGCTTAAGTTCTTTAATTTGGTTTCATAAATCTGTATTCCACTACTGAACACAAATGTAACTCTGATGCAAAAAAACCATCAGTGTACCCAAAGAAAAAAAAACAAGCAATATAATATCACTATTACAGTGGAGAATATCAGAACACATCAAGCAACTCAATTGCTGTAGACACCCTCAGCCTCACTGCAGAGGCCTGACATCACTTCCTCAAAATAAATCATGACATCATTGCTGAGCTGACACAGCCCCTCTCGCTCGGCTGCAGCCGGCCCAGCCTTCCACAGTCTGGTCATGTGACTCGAGGGCGCTCTGTACCCTGTTGATTATCATACAGGGTGAGGGAAGTCCCGCTTTCTCCTCCTTCTCCTTTGCTGTGTAGGAAGACCCTGTTTCTCCCATCTCTCCCTTTCTCTGTTGATGCTGATGGAGGCTCAAATAATCCTAGCTCCCTCCCTCCCCCTCATCTCCATCCCTCCCGCCTTTCTATTCCTCCTCACTCACCAGAGACGGTGCACCGTATATAGCCTGCCTGCTGCTGCCATGGAAACAGGTGTGGTTGTTTATGACAGTGAGAGGCCAGTATGCAGGGAGATGGAGAGACAGAGGGATGTACAGATGCAGGAAAAGATAACGAGCACAATTCACTGACCAGGTCCGTAGGATAAAATCATTCATCTGCGAAGGTATGGCGCCTCATGTCTGTTGCAGAATTGTCACTTCATTGATGTTCGGCTTGGAAGGTGAGATGCAGCAGCAGGGTGAAGTGCATGCACATGAGCGGCGCTCCATGCATTGACGTTAAATTTCCAATCCTTCATTTTTCATTGCAACTCATCACCCACATTGATCTGCAGAGGGCTGTGGCTGACCCTGCTAAAGGCTTTAAGTTCACAAGTTCACAAAGAAAAAGGAAGGATATGAAAAAAGAGAGCAAGCCAGAAAGAAAAAAGGGTGCTCTATGTACTACTGGAGAGGGAGATGAACCATGGCTAATCTTAAAGACGTAGTATTATTTATTTAAAAGCCGTGAAGCTAAAGCTGGTCTCTGAGTTTCAGTCCAGCGACTGGATTCTGCAGTTTATCTGGGAGTCTCCACAACTGAAGCTACAGCTTTTTACTTTATTTCCTTGTTTTTGCACGCCCCTCTCTTCGTTTTTGAAGGATTAGTCTGTGCTGGATGTTCACACAATATTTTCCAATGGTGATTAATCCTTTGAGCCACTGCAAAGAGCTGGGTAGAACGCTTTTGATTTCACAGACAGATTCTGCAGTTGTTCCGAGCCAAAGCCAAGATCTTCTTCTGTTCATTCTTTATCTCTCTGCATGTCCAGTTTTAGTGTCTGTTCTGTTTCTCTATCTGTCCATATCATTGTGGCTGCATTCAATCTTTGTATTTATTTCTGGAGTCTTGTTTGTAGTGCTAATTTATTTGCAAAATGCACTTAGCGGAAGTACAGGTCTTAGTTTCGAGGATTGACTTCTTTACATGTTTGTGTACAGGATACCAAAATTGCTTCTCTGGAGCGCAACATTCGAGATCTGGAGGATGAGATCCAAATGCTGAAGGCAAACAGCTTACTAAACACAGAGGACCGAGAGGAGGAAATCAAACAGATGGAGGTCTACAAGAACCACTCCAAGTTTATGAAAACCAAGGTAGAGGTCATGTGCATGCAGATTCAGAGGGAAGATTGTGCTTTAATCAGTGCTTTTTCTGCTCGTTTTATGTTCAGTGTAGATGGTCTCTGCAAACAAACCTATCTGAACACATTAAAGGTTTAGAAGGGGATAGTATGGATGTTCTTTACTACACCCAAACAACCACTAAAAAACAAATAACGTGTTCTGAGAAAATAAAATCCCAGGCAGCTTATTACTACTCTTAACACAGAATATATATCAACACTCCTAAGAGTGGATCTTAAAATGCATGGTGGTGGCAGTATTATTCTATGGGGATATTTTTCAGTAGCAGTAAATAACAGTTAATGCAATTGTTGGTACGCCTCTCTTAAAGAAAGACAAACCCTCAACGGCCACAGAAATAACTTGAGTCTGACTAACAATAAGTTAAAAAGTATGTTTTGATAAAATTAATAAAAAAGAAAAAAAAAATGAAAATCAGACATGGCTTTTCAACCATGCTTTAATAGAATGATTAAGCAAAAATAAACTCATGAAACAGGCTTGGAAACTAAGGACATGTTAAAGATGTATCATCTGATTAGCATCACAGGTGTCTTTTAGTTAGCAGCTGGTCCCTAAGCTTTTTACCAAAGCACGCCAGCTGTATATTCACAGACAGAAAAACGAAGCATATCAAGAAAAGAACACTGTTCTTACTGTGAAACATGGAGGGGGCTCTGTTATGCTCTAGGGCTGCTTCGCTTCATCTGACACAGGGTGTCTCTGTAAGGTTCAATGCAATATCAAGACTCGAAGGACTGTGGAGAGAAATGTGCTGCTCACTGTCAGAGACTTTGGTCTCAGTCACAGTTCACTGGTCTTCAACAGGATAATGACCCAAAAGGCACAGCTAAAAACACCAAAGAATGGCTATCAGGAAAACATTGGACCATTCTGAAGTGTCCTTTTATTAGTTCTGACCTAAATCCTATTGAGCATCTTTGGAAGGAGCTGAAACATGCAGTCTGGAAAAGGCTCCTTTTTACACCCAAAACAACTGGAGCAGTTTGTTCATGAGGAGAGGGTCAAGAAACCTGCTGAGAGAAGCAGAAGTCACAGAGAGTTCCAGAGATTGTTTGATTGCAGGAATTGACTCAAAAGGTAGCGCATCAACATATTGAGTTAAGGGTTGCATAATTTTCTGTCCAGTCCTTTGTATGTTTTTTTTTTTATATATAATTATGTTGAAGCATGGTTGAAAAGCAATGTCTTTAATTTGTTCATTTATAATTTTGTTAGATTCCGGTTTATTTATGTGAGCATTAAACAAGAGATACCAACAAATTTGTCCTATGTGTAAGGAAAAGTGATTTTCAAGTTTTCTAATACATTTTTCACAAACTCAAAAAAACTTTTATACATTTTAATTATTTGGTATTGTGTTTAGACTTTTGAGGATTTATTGTAATTCATTTTGGAATAAAATGTTTTAACCACAAATGTGAAAAAGTTCAGCTCTGTGAATATTTTCTGGATGCACCGTGGTGTCTAAACCTATAGGTTTACGTTTAACATATAAAACACAAATCAGTTGCAGGTAGGGCTGGTAGGTCTGTAAATTTTCTTTTCTTCAGTTGTCTGGCAGTTACTTAAAAATTTGTTTGTGTTTGCATTTTATACCCATGAGGAAAAACATTATACTCATGCACAAACATTATCATGCATTCAATTATTTGAATTTCTGTTCAATTATGTAAAAAAGTAAGTAAAAATTAGTAAAAAAAAAAAACTTCTACATTTATTCGTCCTTCCTTATTCTTTTATGGTTGCACAGGTCTATCTCCAAAAGTGAATGGGTGAAAACTTGGTTAGACACTTAGACACAATTCGCCACTCCATCAGAGCACAACACAGAGAGTAAAACAACAATATTTATTTATATTTATACACATAAGCAAACACACCCATTGACTGCTAAGGGTAACCTAAAGATACCAGTAAACCTTAAAGCAGCTTTTTTCGATTTTCGTAGGAAGACAGAGCACTGAGAGAGAAACCATGCACAGGCAGAAAACCAAAGTTTCTGTAATAGTATTCCAGAATTAGTTTCAAACCCAGGATTAGCATGTAATATAATGTAATTGTATTTTAGTTATTGGAATTAATTCATAAGGTATGTACAGTACAGGAAACTGAAAAACAATGAGGCATCAGGGGGAAACACACATGAGGAGCCAAGTAACAATGAGAAACTAGCAATGAGGAACTGCACAGGAGGTGTATATATGGGGTCAGAACAAAGTATGGGCTAATCAGCTGATAGGGAGCAGGTGTGAAAGAATTAACTAGAAGGGAGGTAGGGAAAAGCAGATTGGCACCAGGGGGCAACAGAGAGTAACTCAAAAAATTCAACACGGCTTAAATATAAGACAAAATGGAAAATAAACCAATGACCAACAAAACAGAATGGAAAAAATAACTGGAAACTAAAAAAGAAGTCTAAAATGGGAGAACCATAACAGGTATATGGTTGGCAAAAAATAAACAGTGGTAGAGGGCACCATTACACCTTTTTTCTTGCATGAACTGATCTAAACTCCAAAATGGTAAAGGGATTTAAATGACCACAGCCGGTCAACAGTAGCGTGTGCTTCAGTGTTTTTCTCAGAGGTTTCAAACTGTGTTTACAAAGAGCTCTATATAAAACACTACCAATAACAGAGGAGTTATAGTTGTGTTGCACTATTTTTAAACCTATTTTCATCAATCATGAATAGGAACAATGTATAATATATAACAAATGGAAGGGAGTGAGCTTAAAATGCATTTTTAATAAGAGAAAAAGTATGTTGATGAAGGTGGTGGTCCATTGAAAAGCTCACTGTTCAGCAAGGTTATGTTTTACACAGACACACACATACAGGCATTTTCCAGGTAAAAAGAATATATTGTTGATGTGTGGGGTCAGTCATAAAGTTAAGAGGTTGTTTATATGTGTATTGCACAGATTGACCAACTGAAGCAGGAGCTGTCAAAGAAAGAGTCAGAGCTGCTTGCTCTGCAGACCAAGCTAGAGACGCTCAATAACCAGAACTCGGACTGCAAACAACATATTGAGGTCCTCAAAGAGTCTCTCACTGCCAAAGAGCAACGTGCTGCCATCCTGCAAACAGAGGTAATTCAAAATATTATTTATGTGTTTTCCAACTAAAACTAAATTTCTCTTATTTAGGAAGGACATGATGGATTGCTTTTATTTTAGGTAATTGTTTTCTGAACAATGTTCAGAGAGAACAGTTGGTTTCAAAGTAAGAGGCAAAAGGTTTTTTTTCACTTTATTTCTCTACTGGGCTTGAAAAGTGTGACCTTGACCCAAGTCCTCCATTTGTTTTCCTCAAAGTTCCATCAATTAACAGTATTACTTTTATTTACTTATTAGTTTCAGGGAATGCATCATTAGTTTTAAAAATGTTTATAGTTTGGAGATGATGGTTAGTTTTTTTTTTATCCCAGTTTGAATCCTATATTAACACCAGAAGATCATGGTATGGGTTGCAGCATATGTATTTTTAACCAGAAAAGTAGATTAAAAAGAATTACAATGACAAGAACCTTCAATGTTCTTATATATGTTGCTTAAAATGTTTTTTTTTTTGTCCTGCAATACACTGTCCTTACTTCCCATTCTTGTTCCTAAATGGCCACTAAGTGTGTTTGATGAAATCTACCAATACACACAATCAGTGGTAACATGCACTGCAAAAACAACTTAGAAATTAGTAAAAATGTCTTAAATTAAGTGTATTTACCCTTAATTTGAGTAGGTAAATAAGATGTTTTTTAATGGAATGAGTATATTTCCACCTGAAATAAGATAATTGGATATCATGCACATGAAATAAGACAATACAATTGTTTTTTTCCTATTTAAATAGAAATGATCTTTTTCCATTGGCAGATTAGATATAATTTTTTTTGCAGTGTGAAGTAAATCACACCTTTTATCTTTCCATCATGCACAGCAAATATGATCAAGAATAAATTTGGGAATTGATAAGATTTTCACGATTCCAATTCCCTTATTGATTCTTTTAATTCGATTCCGTTTAATGAAAAGGCATTAGTCTACAATTTTGGGAAATAAACTAATCTCCGCCTGATTCAAATAAACAAGCGTCACCTTTCTCTGGCTCCCTGAACTGCGGAGCACCTTCGTAGCATGTTTCTTTACATCCATTGCAATAGCTAGAATCATGTAAGAATTCCAGGTACCAGTAGTTCTAATTAAACATGCTAACAATGAAGGGCTGGATTAACGAGAAAGACACACTCCTTTAATAACCCCAAAGAGAGGTGGGAAATTGGCTTATTTCCAGAAATGCCTTATGATTTTCTAGGAACAACATTAAGCACTGCCTCGAATCAATAAGAGAATTGTTAAGCGAGCTGCCAAACGGTGCAATGGAATTCGAACACACGGAACCGGTTCTGAACGATTCCCAGTTCCCTTCCCTAATCAAGAAATAAGGAAACATTTCTTAAATAAAATGTATTTACCCTTTATTTAAGTAGGTAAAAAGGATGATTTGCCAATCGAATTAGATTTTTTTAACTCTTAAAATAAGATAGTTAGATAATACACTCTTGAAGTAAGACCATACATTTTTTTTTCATATTTTAAATGTAAATTGTCTTCTTTCATTGGCAAAGTGCCTCACCTCCTCAATTCAAGAAAAATGATCATTTTTGCAGTGTGAGACATGTTAGTTGGAGCAGATGCTCAAAGGATTATATGGTAGCTTTCCTCAAAGGCGGTTGGTCAGAAGAGGGAAAACACACAATCTCACAACAGTTTGAACAGTGGCCAAACTGTGATGGACGGCCGATTCTGGTAGTTTCATGTCAGGTCATTATCTATCAAGTGTTGTGTAAGTAAGAAACAATGGTAGCCATCCAGGTCACATGTGTTCAAAGTTTGCTAAGACATGCTAAGAGTGCAAGATTGCCTTTGTGATCAACATGTAGATGCTGTAGAAGTTATTGCTGATTCTGAGAGGAAGATGTCAGAATAAACTGTGTATTTGAGTTAGTTGCATAGAGGGCTGTTGAGGGATCAGCACTTTATTAAGTGTCAACATGTTATTCCTATATAGCACATAAGAGTATATTGAATATTACTTGTCTTTGGGGGCTTTGTGAACAGCTGTTTTATTAAAATTAAATTTATTTTAAGTTACTCTTATTTTACCTCCAACCATTTGTTTTTTGCACCCTGTGACAAAGATTCAGATTGAAGAATGACAAGGCACCTTTTTTGTGCCTTCAACCAAAAAAACTTGGTAACTATTTTTTAACAAATGTTTGATTAAGCTACCCGACATTTGTCCCAAAAACATAAATCCAACATGGTTTAAAGAAAAAACCCAGCAGCTGTCTCAAGTGACTTTAAGGTGAAAGACCTCAGATTGTCCTTATGAGCACTGTTTGATAAAAGCAGTGGGACTGTCACGTTTGAACCTGTCTGTGATTGTGCCATTCTTCAGGTGGATGCTTTACGCCTGCGTCTGGAGGAAAAGGAATCCTTCCTGAATAAAAAAACTAAACAGCTGCAGGACCTGACCGAGGAGAAGGGAACTCTTGCTGGAGAGATCAGAGACATGAAGGACATGCTGGAGGTTAAGGAAAGGAAGATTAATGTCCTGCAGAAAAAGGTGAGAGGAGAGGAGAAAACCTCAAACAACAGTTGTGAAAGATGAGTGAGAAAAAACATAACTTGGTGCACTTGTTTTGATACCATTTTGCATATTTACAACATCTTGATGAAAACATTTGCAGGGAAGTTGCGACGACTGGATTTGTTGCACATTGCTATTCACAGTTCTGGAATACCCTGACCACCTAATAGAGACCCATACATTCACAAATGTTTGTAACAACAGTCTGCATGCCTAGGTGCTTGATTTGGCTATGAAGTGTTTGGAAAACCTACAATTTCAATGGGCAAGCTAGTACTTTTTTCAGTATAGTGTATGTTGGGAAAAGTACGTGGATGGTCTGGTGCCCTGCGGAACCGGTTTCAATCTTTCGACAGACATGGATTACAGAGATCCATATCATTTGGTAAATCTATTTCCAAGCAGGTAGAAAATTCTTTGAAAACTTCCTTTTGGGGCCATCCTCAATGTACTTTTATTTAAAGGTATTGTAGAGGATTTTCGCAAAGCTTTGAAAATACCTGCCCTCTCCACTTAAAAAAAAAAGCACAACTCATACACGCTCCGTTTAAAAGTTGTTGTTCTTATAGCTGCAACAAGCTTACGGTGCCCAATTGTCCACCCTAACCACTATATAGAGCGGGGACTATATAGTGGACTTTAAAGTGAACTTAGTTAACTTACTTTTCAAACAGATGATTACTGCTCTTTGTTCCCAGTTGGTCCACTGCGTGGTGCCAGCGCCATCTTTGTTATTAGTCACCGCTGTCGGGTAGTGACAGCCTATGGCGACAGCGGGTTGCTGTTACAACAAATAAACAGTACCACTTATTTAGATGATCCACCCAGAAATAAAAGATCATCCTCTTTACCTTTAACATATCTCCATAGCTTAGATTGTAAAATGATACAGCATGTGCTGAGAACACAACTGTACATCTCTGTCACTATATGACAGCAACTTTCAACAACCTTTCTCTTTATCCATATTGTCAATGAGTGCATGTGTCAACATTTCCTCCAACTTCAGTAACTATAATTGATGGGGCTAAGACCATATTTCCTGCTAAGAAAATGGTGATGTTTTGTATACAGATCTATACTTTAATGACCACATAAAGCCAGTTGATTCAGCTTATTGTTATTTTAAAAAGATGGAAAAAGAGTGTCTTGACCAACCCAAGGTATATATAGATCATCTTAAACTAGGTCTTGAATCACAGCATGGCTCCCTGTTCAGGCCATGACCAAATGTACAATTTTCCCGAGCATGGTAAATTATTGACTTGTTAAATTGGCAGTTAGATTTTCATTGAACTTTAAAAGGGTCCTATCCTTGCCTTTTAAATCCTGATTTTATTTATTTATTTTTTATTAGTAATTGTATTAAGCTCTCGTTTAACTGAAATGTAAATCTTTTTTTTTTTTTTTTTTTTTTTTCTTTAATATCCTGCAAAGCACTTTGGATGGCATTGTGTACAGTATGGGGAGCTGCATCAATAAATTTGCCTTTCCTAGGTCAACAAGAAAATGAAAGCTTTTCATTTTAAAGCCAAACAGGTTTGTCTCCTCGATTCCTAAATATTGCTAGCATTGTTTAACCTGACTTGATTAAACACTGTGGTAGCTATTTAAAAAAAGAAAAAAAATCTTCTACTTTCTGAGAGGATTTTGCAAATATCAAAAGTAGAGACTTTTCAATTTCTTGGAATAAATGATTTCTTAACGCCTCTATAGGGAACATAAACATGGAGGCTGTGGTTTTGATTAAAATATTAGAAGTTGAATTTAAAAAGCAAAAGGAAGATTGTTTATATCAATTCATGTGCTTCAAGCCTGAAATATATAAGTGGCCGACAGCCATCAACAGAAAGCTTAAACATACATAATTGCTTTAAGTAAAACATACCAGGAAATTAAGACATTTAGTTAAAGAACTTCAGAGAAAACAATCAAAAAATTGAGTAGTAGCAGTGGTAGTTTGTTTATTATTATACTGGCCATAGTTACTATATCATGACTAGATTATTTAAATTCCTTGAATAGAATTTAAAAAATGAAATAAAAATTCTATGTCAAAGGAAGGAAAAGGATAATTAGAATGTGTATAATTATCAAAACAACCTGGAAATAAACTAGCCAGCGGACAAGATATGGAGGCAAAGGCAAACAATACCAACTACAACATCATGCTGACATGAATGTTAGATGTAATCATAAACTTTTAGAGTTATAGGAAGCATTTTACACACTAGATGTGTCTAATGCATGATTTAATAACTGTTTTTAATAGTTAACATAGTAAGTATTTATTTAAGCCCCTTAACCAAAAATAGCTTGACTATGAGTGCACCGGTTATTTATTTTCCCTTTTTTGAATGTGTAGCTGAAATTTTATGCCATTCTTGGCCCAGCTTTTATATTATGTTTATTTTATTTTTTCTAATGAATCAGATTGAGAACCTGCAGGAGCAGCTGAGGGACAAAGACAAGCAGCTGGGAAACCTTAAGGACAGAATCAAGTCTCTGCAGACCGATTCCAGTAACACAGACACTGCCCTGGCCACCCTGGAGGAGGCACTCTCAGAAAAGGTAGAACACATTACAGGAGTCAAGTTGGACATATGTGACAAAAAAGGTCTGCAGGGTATCTGCAGGGCAGAGAATTGAACCATGATGACTGTGTGACACTATGCACTCGCAACACACATACAGTACATGTTTATTATTTTAATTGTATCTTTATGTCTCACTACATTATGTAAATGATCAATTTTCACAACAGTTAATGTTGGAAAAAAATCCCAATAAAATACCCTGAAGTAGGTTGCTATGCAGTGAAAATGTGCAGACATGTCCAAATGGGAAGAAGTGCTTTAAAAATACAAAATAACTAGATGATATTTTGAGGGAAATTGGCTGTTAAGATATTACTGATCATTTTTCATTCAGTTAATTTAACACACTTACAGGTGTACATCTCTTGCGAAAATGCTGCATGTCTTAATGGTTGAAATCAACAGTTTTTATGAAGTATATATATATATAGTAATTTTGTACTTGCATTTCTTTATTTATGATCTCTATGTTTTTGTTAGGAGAGAATTATTGAGCGATTAAAGGACCAAAGGGAGAGGGAAGACAGAGAGCGTCTGGAAGAAGTGGAGTCCTATAAGAAGGAAAACAAAGAGTTGAAGGAGAAGGTCAACAGCCTGCAGATAGAGCTCACAGAGAAGGAAGTAAGTGTGAGATTGTCTCTGCAAGGGGGTTGGGTTGGATCCAATTGTTTCTTTGTACAGCATCCAACACACCTCTTTGTAAGCACTGTAGTGCATCTACTGTGTGTCTCTTTCACCCACTGTCCTGTGATGCTGTGACATTTTTACACCTGCTGATGTGTACAAGGCAGCTGGATTTAAACATGTGAACATCTATGTTAATTCTCTACCTGCAGTCCAGTCTGATTGATCTCAAAGAGCATGCTTCATCACTGGCGTCTTCTGGACTTAAAAAGGACTCAAAGCTTAAGTCCCTGGAAATTGCCATTGAGCAGAAGAAAGAGGAGTGTAGTAAGTTGGAGACGCAGTTGCAAAAGGTAGGTATATATCCTCCTCTTAGTGTTTGATCACTTATCAACAAGTTTTTAAGAGATGGTTTTATTCTGTTAACAAAACCACTAGCTAAACATTTTTAGGTCACATTTAGACGTAAAGTCAGTTGTGCAGAAATTTTCAGTTTTGAGAGATGCAAGCACTATAAGCACAAATTAGAGCTTCACCATTTTCTGACTTACCTACATGTAAAACTTGAAGTTAAAGTAATCAGCTTAAGACTTAAGATGCATATGATGATAACATTTCGTTTCCTTTGAATTTTTGATTTTTGTTTTGCTATTTTGCACCATTTTGTCAAATTGCAACCACAAGCTATTTTGTTATTTTGTGTGATGAATTAACACGAAGTAGTGCATGACTCTGAAGTGGAATTTAAATAAGGATCCTCTATTAAGCCCATTCACTCTACCACTCCTTCATGAAGTTGTGCCTCCAATTGTCAAGAAACTTAGTATGTATTAAAGTTGCTAACATTAGTGAACCAACAGCATCATGATGACCAAGGACCACAGCAGACAGGTTAGGAAGAAAGAAGTGTGCAGGTCTAAAATAAAGCTAAACAGCTGACAAAGCAATGTTTAGTCCATCATCCACAAACCTACCATGACATGGGGTTCACCTCAACTAACAGACCGGACAGCGAGAGCCATAATTAGAGAAGTCAACAGGTATACTCTAGTATACATACTGCCCAGGAAATCAGAAACCGCTAAAAATATTTGCCTGATGCCCCGTCAGTTTTAAACCAATTCTGGTGACCAAACCATTGCTTTGTACCCCATGAACCCCAGGTTCAACAGTCATTTAGACTCTCCTCTCAAGTCGCCTGGCATAAGCCTTTCTGAGGAAGCTGACAGGTGTGATCCCCCTTGGAACATACCCTCCCACCACCCCAGTCTTCCAGTCCAAGGGCACTATCCCTGGCTGGCACACAGCCTGTCAGCCATGAAAGCTCAACATCTAGAGACTTTAGGTACTTTAGGTGAATATAATCCAAATCCAATCCCTTGCCAGTGAAACCTTTTCTTACCACCGTGGTGAGTTCAGCCTGGGCGATAAGCAAGTATGGCTCCGAGCATGCAGTTTCTGCTTCCGGCAGCTCATGCGGGTCAACTAAATTGAGGAGATCTTCAATTTAGTTCTTCCACTTCCCGACAATCCCCAGTCAAGGTCAGCAGCTCCCTGCTTCCATCAAAACATTTTTGCCAGAATCACTCTGAGGTAGGCCAAACTATAGTATTGTCTGATGTGCCATAATGGTACACTTGGCCCCATGGTACTTACTTGCTGCCTGTGGAGTCTCACAAGCTAGCCAAACGCAACAGTACTACTTTTTCAGTTTGACAAAATCCCTTTACGCTGGTGTCCACCACCTTGTTTGATGATTGCCACCACAAGAGTCACCGTAGAGCTTAAGGCCACTGCTACAGTCAGCCTGCTAAATAATAATGGCAAGTAACACAGTTAATTCGGACTTCATGTCCCCAGCCTAGGCTGGGATATTAAAGAAGCTCTCCTGTAGCTGATTAAATCCTTGACTGAAGGCTCCACCAATTGATTCCAGCTGGGGCTCCGTTCCTCCAGACATTCCCCTAAAGTTATCACTGTAGGGGCATGCTTTTTTCTCACATAGGGGTTGAATTCCCCCACCATAAAGATACAATACCCAAGAAGGGGCACTATCAAGCCCCCAAGACAAGGATGCTAAGAAGGCCCAGTACTCCATACCGCCGCTCATCCCCTAGGCCGAGACATCAGTCAGAGACATCTACCACATCTGAAGGCACAAGAAAGGGACCCTCTTATCCATTCGGGTGAACTTCATGCACGGCTGACCTAGGGGGAGACATAGATACCCACTCGTCTTCCACTTGTCTCCATTTCATTTGTAAAGGAAAAAAAAAGATTGTTTGTGTAACAAATATCCTAATAAAACTCAGTATGTCCTTACTTTGTCAACCATAAAACTTTGCACAGCATTGTCAGGGGTTTATCACATACATGTGAAAAAATGTGCAAAAATACATTTTTTGAAAGCTCTAAATAATAATAAAAAATCATAAGAAAAAGATGTTACAGTTTTTACCCTTCAAATAAACTACAAAATATTACCTTATTTATAATCTTTTTCCTGTTGCTTTATACAGAACCATACGACGGAGTATTAGGGCCACACATGAAGAGAAAAAATATTTTTGCCATGACGAGATTAAACTCGACATGTCGACTTTAAACTCGCCCTGTCGACTTTAAACTCGCCATTTCGAGAATAAAGTTGAAAAGACTGACATGTTCTCAAATTCAGAACTGCGAGCCTGGGTAAGCATAGGGAAAGACGTTACGTTATTATTGGTAGGCCACCGCTTCCTGTGATGATTATACAGTTGCAGCACGTCAAAGACTACCTTCACTCTTAAAACGCAGACTGCAGCTGTGGAGCGCGGTTGCTCTTTTCTCCAAACTTTGGAATGTCGAGATTGAAGTCGCCACGATATATCAACTTTATTCTCGAAATGGCGAGTTTAAAGTCGACAGGGCGAGTTTAAAGTCGACACGTAGAGATTAAACTCAACATGACATTTCAACTTTATTCTCGAAATGTTGAGTTTAATGTCGACATGTCGACTTTAAAGTTGACATGTCGAGTTTAATCTCGTCATGGCAAAAATATTTTTTCTCTTCATGTGTGGCCCTAATACTCCGTCGTAGAACCAAAATATGTTACTGTAGGTACTTTTTTATTTTATTTTATTTAGTTTTTGGAAAGTTGTGTAACTCAGAGCTTGTCCAAACAGAAACATTAATACATAAATCACATCTTTTAAGGATTGTGGCTGTTGTCACTTTTTATGATCTGTTGCAAGCTGCTCTACTTTGTTACAGTGTTTCACAGAATAAAGAATTCCTCTATATCCTTTGTCTCCATAATCCACTGACCATCCCAGAGTCTGCCTGTCTGCAGTTGTCTGTGTTTTGCTGCTGTTAACCTTTAACAACACGTTCAGTGCTGAAACTGTGTTGCTTTGCTATAAAACCTGTATTGTCTCATCCTACTGTAGCTAAATCTAAGCCTTAACAATTAACTCTCCTTGACCCCCTACCCCCACTCCTACCCCTCCTTTCTAATGTCCCTTCTTCATCCTCCCTCTGTTGGCAAAGTAGCAAGCTGAGCAGCTATTCAGTCACATGAACAATCCTGTAAGTTCCTGTCTTGAGGCCTGTGAGGCGCACATTGAAAGCATGAGGACACTGAGAAGTTATTTTAATGTCAGATGGTGATCATGGCGATTCTTACGCAGGCACTGCTTTTCCCCATCGGCATGCATGTTGCCCATTGCGCTGTCCAAATATTATGAACTTCAAACTGAAATAAGATTCCTGTGCATTGTCCTCTTACAGTGTTGTAAGTTTGTGTGTTTATGTGTAAAAACAGTGTGACACAGTGAGATTTTTTGTTCCTTTAATGAATCTTTATTGTAGCCAAAATTACCTCAAAACATCTATTAGGATTTATTCCACCACTTCATATTCAATCTTCTGTATTAGCATTAATTGTTAGGTAGAACTCATTTTTTTGCCTCTTTGATTGTTCCAGTAAACTTCAACATAATTCAAGTTAAAATGTTCTGCACTCTAAGGCTTTTAAGGTATTGTATATAAATGTATAGAACAGAATCAAAACCGCCTAATTAATTTTATTAAAAGAAATATAAATTAAATAATTTGAGTAATGAGACTTCTGATTTTTTTCACTTTGCTGCCCTCTCTGTTAATAATGGTTAAAAAAATGATTTTTTTTCCACCCCAGGTTACCCTTCTCTCTGCAGGATAAACATATATCCTCATAAAGATTTATTTCTCACAGTTCAAGTAATTTTAGATTTTTGAAATGTTGTAGTACTGTTAGGAATTCTAGAGTTTAGGTAGTTGGGGGTTTTCATGCACAAATTTACAAAATAATGAAATAACAAAAACCTGCTTTGCTTAAATGGCATGTTCACTTGTCTTTTCCGTTTTGTAAAATGAAAATAGGCCACTTCAGAAACTGATTATTTATATTATTGTTAATGGTTAATTATTAGAGGTTGTGTGGCACCAGAGACTTAGCATAAAACAGCTGTTTTCTTGAACGTGGGATTATGTTTTTTCCACATTAAATAATGCAATATTTAAAAAGAAAAGGTCAGACAATCTTTATTCTTAAATTTAAGGTTTTAATACTTAATACATACCTTTTAAAGCCCCCCTGTCTGTGATCTACAACTGTCTAGTGCTGTTCTAAATAAACAACAAATAACAGAAAGTGTGCTTTGATGTCTCCACTTTAACTACGTGATAACTAATACAGAAGGCGCAGTGACATTAAAATGACAAATATTATGAACCTCCATGACTTCAAGTGTCCTGTCAGATGATGACGTACAGAACATACATGGTTTGGTTTTTCTTATTGGTGCAAATACCTTACATTTATATCCTTCATGTGTTTAGTACCAAGCAACTTCTAATAGCTGCAGTCACCTACTGGTATGACTTTTGTGAAAAATGACAACCGATAAGTGTCACCTAGTGTAGGCTAATAGAAAAAACTAGGCATCTCCAAAGGGAAGACAAGACCAGGAGGACTGAAATAAACTATTTCTAACATAACGGTAAAATAAATTTCACCCTTGTGTTGAATTCACTTAATTTTTTAGCAGAAAGTCTCCAATCTCTGTTAGTTTTTGAAGCCCCGCTCTCTCATGAATTGTCTCCACCTGGCAAAAGCTGCGCTAGTAAAGACTTTTGTCTTCTCCCGGTTATTATGTCTTTTTCTTTTCGTAAATACTTTCTCTTTCTTCCCATTGGGAAATAGATGGCCCTCCATTTCAACCAAAAACAACAGGTAGAATGGAATGGAAATTATTATTATTTTAGATGAGCAAAACACCTCTCTTGAAATGTATTAAAAGAATAAAATAATTTAAAAAATTTTCGGTGTGCTAACTTTAGTTGTTATTACAATGATTCATGTATTATGAGTTATTGGTTCTTTAACCTGCTGTCCACCTTTGTGAGGATTAAAGTGTCATATTATAGAGGTATTAGTGGTCCTTAAGCTTATTCACTTTTTCCCAAAATAACAATATCAGCTCCAATTTTATCATGACTTTATAGACCAACATAAAGTAAGAAATAATAGAAGTGGTGTGTAACTGATACAGTACATTATTTCTTTTTTACAAATCACAACTGATAACTTTTGCATTCATTTCTGATCAGTCCTTGTTATGCTAATACTCATAAAGAAGATCTAGTGCAATGTTTTTTCAAAGCTCTTTTGACCCCACTTCTGTTTTAATCCTATTCTAATTTTGTTCCAACTGCTAAAAATGTTTCTAAAATCTTTTTGCTTCACTTTTTGCACTTTATATGGATAAATGCGAACACTGTTTCAGCTTTGTTGGGTTTGCATGATTTGTTGCATGTATTTATTGTTACCACGCTTTTGGTTTTCTCAGTGTGGTGCTGGTAGTGTTTGTACAAGGCGTGGGTGGAGATCACTGCTGTGTTTTGGCAGATGGCTCTGTAAAACTTTGTACCATATGTGGGTATGATTCTGTACTAAGGGGGATGAGAACCTTTGTAGTAAATCAAATGCAAAACTGAATTTGACTAGTGATGAGGCTGTTCACTTTAGCCAAAATGAAGCCTTGATTTTGATTATGTGTGATTAATTTTTTACAGATTTTATCTGGGATGTTGTTTTTGATAATGTAGTGACCTAAGAAAAACACATGCACTGTCCTGCATGCTGCATATTAACCAAATAGGAGAGGACTGGGAGTGTCAGAGGAACATACAGATAAAGCTAAATAATAGCTAATGAGCCAGCACTAGTAATGTTAGCCTGGCTCAATTTGTTTACTCCATTCAGAGTTACAATGTATTCCCAAAGAGATTGAGATTGAGATAGATCTACCACAAGAACTTTAAGCAAAGTGAAATGTCATGATGTGCTCTCTATGGCTCGTTTGGCACATTAATATGAACTGACTCTATGTATCTGTCGTTGGCACATGAATGCAGAAGGCTCATGAGGTAGACCACCAGCACTCAGGCTCCCGAGGAAATCCGGAGTATGTGGACCGTGTAAAGCTGCTGGAAAAGGAAGTGAGCTACTACAAAGATGAGGCAGGCAAGGCTCAGTCAGAGGTGGAGAGGCTGCTGGACATACTGCGAGAGGTGGAGACAGAGAAAAACGACAAGGACAAAAAGATTGCTGAGCTGGAAAGGTGAGTCATTTTCCGAATGAAGAAATAAAAATGCATTTTCTGTAAAAAAATCTTATTGACTATGTATCAAGAAAATTTAGCACTCATCACAGATGGCTTAAAACACCACTGTATAACTTTTGGCCAAAGTATTAGCTGACTTTGGATATATAATAAATAATTTTCTAGTCAGCATACAGCGCTTGGCACGAATTGATGCTCTGTGAGAGCTGCCCTTCTCAAAACCTCCCCTATGTAACTAGAAAGAGTCTAATCCATTTTTTCACTGGAAAATGTATTTTATTAGAATTAGTATTTTTCTACATTAAATTTTAAGATCGATTATAGAGGAAGTTATCCTTCTAAGTATGATAGTAGCCTGTGGCCTCTGCTTTAATCAAACAAACAGTGCTGTCCATGGTGCTGTGACTGAACCTTAACACCAGCAACATAATGCTATGTAAAAAAGAGTTTCCCTGCCAAAAACCAAGAGCACACATTTTCAGTTTGAGAGCAGGACTTACTCTACTTGCACTCAAAACTTGTAATGCTCACATTCAAAACGTCTGCTTTTTCTCAAACATATTTTCTCCTCCATCAAATATTTGTTTATGCTCTCAGATCTAATACCTCTTGCACACATATTTTCTCCCCTTGTTTCCTTCCTTCTTCCCGTGCATAAACCAGTCTCGACTCAAGTCTGAGATATGCTCCCAAACGCGTCGGCTCTGAATGAGGCTTTGTTCTTACAAGGCAGTCCCAAATGTGGCCTTTGCTAAACCTGGAAATTACACGTCCAGCAATCATAGTGGTGAAATGTTACACCGTGTTGCTCTAATAATTATTTTTAATTATAAACTTACAGTATTCACCAAAACCATAGTATGTCTTTATTTAAATAGTTATGTGTTGTCGTTTTCTACATTATTTTTATTTTTCTACTTATCTTTTTTTATATATACACGGCTGTTAGTTCTGTTCACTCTTCCTCCTCAAACTTTTGTTTTTGCATAATGTTTTGTGTTTCACATCCTTGCTACAATTCTTATTCTCAACTTATTACTTGTCACGCAGAGGAGTTTGTTTTTACTGGTCCTGTATGTTTTTATAATCCCATCATAGCCTATTTAGTTCCTCTCCTTTTACATTCCAGCCATTTGCTCAAGGATAACAATTACACTGCAAACATTTCTCATCAAATGTGTTTAATATTAATTTGAGTAGGTTAATATAATATACAGATAGATTAATTATTTCTATTATGACATTAAGGTAATTAGATAATATGGAATTGAAATGAGACAATCCAACAGTTTTTTTTTTTTATTTTAAATGTAAATTGTCTTGTTCCATTGTGTGTGATACATTTACTAATTTTGAAAAAAAGCCTGTTTAGGCTTTGAGTGGCCATTTACCTATCAGCACCAGTCAAGCATAAAATGGGTAGATATTGCCACCAGTTGATTTTTACTGTGGAATTTAAGTGGAATGGTTTAATTCATTTTTTGAAAAAAATTCAATGTCTTCCTGTCATAAAATGTACAAACTGTGATTTAATCCCTTTCAATAAATATTTTTTTTTGGTCTTGTTCTACAGTAATTCCAGGCATATCTTGTTTTAGTTTAGTCCAAGAAGTGGATCAGCTTCAGAAATATTTAAATGTACCTTTCTCTTGCACTGGACAAACGTTCCTCTTATCTTATGGCATATATCATTTAGTTTAGATGTTAAGCTAGTTCTTATATATAATGACCAGTACCCATTGAGTCAACTTTTGCAAAGTTTAATCAATCTAATTGACTGAGATTTCTTGTCCTTTTTTACCATCCTTACCCACTTTTCTCATCCTGTATTCCCTCTGTCTTTCATTCCCTTCTTTACTCCACCACTGGTCAACCTTTACCTCTTTTAATTTCCTCTTTATTTTTTCTCAAATTTTATTCTGTATTTTCAACATCTCCTTCTTCTCCTTTGCAACTATGCCCCCCTTGTTGAATAATTCTTTAAAAGCCCCCCATCCACTGCCCCACGCCACACCCCTCGTTCTGGTAGCAGAGGGCCCCCTGACCCGCTCCCCTCTGTGTCTGCTGCCCCTCAGCAGATAGGGGGCATGGTGTGGGATTTCCTGGGAAAGTGAGTGCTCTGCCCTGGCACTTAAGCTGAACTCGGCTGCCTGATTTAAGATCTTGGACTGCAACTGCTGCAACTGCATCTGGTTTCACCCATGTGCCTGTTTCTGCCTGTTTTCCATAGGATACACATATTTGTGTATTATAGTTTTTGCTTATAGTTTACATTTTCTCTATTAGATCTGATACTGTGTATCCTTTTTGTTTTCTTTTTTCTCATTGACCCTCTATAATTGCTCTATAAATCATTTTATCTGCTTGGGTGTTACAGAGCATGTGTTTGTTTGAGGTGTGCATGATATATAAAATGGTTCTTGTTTGTTTCCATAATTTATCTATCACTAACCATGCATTTTCCCGTGGAAACGTAAGAGGCTGTCTCTAATCTATTCTTAGTTTCCCCTTAAGGAACTTGTATTTTTCTAGATATTTTTTAATCTTTGGAAAGGTCGATCTTGATCAATTGCTCTTCAAGCATTAAGTGGTCATTAACGTTTTTGCTTTTCCATTAACTGCAGTTACTTTTTGATAATTTCAGTTCCAGATTCACAAGATAATCAGAAACAAACCTGAATCTTCTGAATCTGTCTGGCTTCTTGCAAAGTTCCTAAGGATCCAGTTTAAGATTAAATATTTACACAGTTGTCTTATAATGTCTTCTTATGTGGAGACACAACTCCAGTTCTTTCATTGAGATTAAGGCCTATTTTATGCCTGCAGTTTTTAAAGGTCAGAGTTCAGTCAGGCCTGAGGAGAGTTCCTCTGCCTCACCCAATCATACTCCTCTTTTTTTATTTAATTGTATTTTGGTGAGCAGTAAAAAAATACTTTTTATTTTCATTTCATATTCATATATATTCATAGAAACTATCATCTTATTAAAAAGGGAATGAGTTTTTAGAATTATAGATTTTACAACATTTCCAGTATTTGTGGCTTTGATCTGGTTATTGGAATCGTTAAATATACCAGATGTGATACATACAGTAGACTTTGAGCACTATACAGAAAATTATAAATCCTTTATGCCACAAAGGATATAAACCAACTTCAAAGTGGATAATAATAGACAACCTTTTGGCATACCTGTAAAAATCTAAAAGTGAAGTGCAAAAACATACAATGAGGAAGAATTAAATGCCAACCACCTTAATTTCCTTAAGAACAACGGTTGTTGTCTGTTACTAAAAAGTAAATGACAAACCTTTGAAAAGAGCAAAAAACTGTTATAAAAGTATAAAAGAAACTGTGGCTCCTTGGAGCCAATCTAAAAAGACTGATGATTGGCAATATTTCCACAGGAATCTGCATATTTTATATCTTGTATGTTCAGAAAGATTCATGTTGTGGTCTTCCATTGAGAAGAAAATGGTACTTTATTTCTGTGTTTTATTTTCAATTAATTATGAACATTCAAGTAAAATTTTTCATATCCAGGATCCCACATTTTACCATTTATGGCACCAGCAGTTGTCCATATAAAATCCTTATGTTTATTCTGTTTTATTAATTTTATTATCGTGCCTTGCAAAAGTATTCAGTTCAAACACAAAGAGCATCTCTAGAAACTAAATTATTGAATTTGTGAAGTCCTGTATTTATCAAATATAAAATAATATGCAATAACAGTAACTTAGTAACAGAAAACGTAATCAAAAATAACCTCAGCTAAAGTCGAATAAAAATTATCTTTAAAAACTTTTCAGAATCTGCAAAGGTATTTGTGGAGCAAGGTTAAATATTTTCAAGCATTAAAATTAGATGTACCAACACATGTATGCCAGCTTCGGTAACAAAAACTTCTCAAAAATTATGTGAATAATGAACAAAACGTTGCCTGAATGCATGAGGCCTTGTATGCCTTGTGTAATACCGAGAAAAACGACCACACTGGCGAAGACATGTTTGCTTATTTATAGTCAGGCAATAACAGAGCACAAAATCCACAGGTTACGTCCTGCTTTGGGCATACTCTGCCTGTATGAAATACCACCAAAAGTAATTAATTTATCGCCTATTTTTTCTGAAATTTTTATCTATCGGGCAGTTAACAAATTCCACCATATCTGCAGATATTTTAACCGTCCGATAGATATTCTAAATCCCTAACTCTAACCGCTTGCTTCTGAAAGGAAACATTCACCACACCATGAGGCTTCTGCCACCATGTTTCACCATTAGGAAAGTGCACTATGGTGATGCAGTGTTAGTTTTAGGCACATGTAGCATTTTTAAAGATTGACAAAAGTTACATTTTTGGTCTAGCATAAGTATATCCTCAGTATAGCAGTTTCTTCCATGTCTTCTGTATGCCTTAACAAGACTTCTAGGGAGCTCATTTGAGCTTTCATACTGTATAACATTGGCCTCCGAGCCACACTTTGGCGAGGGCGATACAAATCGTTCTGTGTACACACCTCCTACAGTGTAAGGATACCATAGAGAAGAAATATCTTTATTTTTATTATCTTTATCTTTATTATTATATTTATAGTTGGGAAATTCAAGCATTACAGTGGTTAAAAAAAGTTTAGGCCTTATTTCCAGAAGGTATTCGTGTCTCAAAACAGGTGCAAACGTGTTTGTGTGCACAGAGCAGCTCTTCAAAGAAGTAGCAAAGTCATTTGCGGTTGCAATTCAGCAGCCTGTGGGTGAATTTTTTTGTGTGTATCCCGTCATCAGTATGCACATCATATTCTAATGACCACTCTGTGCAAATCCATGGGTGGAGGATATGCAAATGTAAACATGTACTAGGTGCAGTTTCCAGATTGGAAACTTGACTAAAGCCACAGCTTTTGAATCATTTGTAACTTGTGAAAGTGATCTGCAAATGGACGCAAAAATATCTGCAGTCGTTGTTGCCACAAAGGAGGCATTGGCAGTGTGCCAGACAATGGAGTGATATTCGGTGTGCATGGAAAAATATTTGGACCATCAAAAAGAATTGTAGAATAATATAAATAAAGGAAAGACATAGACACAGGTTGGCACAAATTAATTCAGCGGGTTGGCAAACACTCTTTATATCAAATAAAAAAAAAAGACTGAACTTGAAGCAGTTCTAAAGATGGAATAAGCATAAACTAGCTATAACGCTACCAAGCCTCTCTGTATAATAGATCTCAGAAATTATGTTATATATTTATAATTTTTTATTTTAACTTCTCCAGAAACTTGTATTTGACCTGTCTTGTGTGTTCCTTAGTCCATATGATGCAATTTTTTCACTTATGTTCTCTAACAAATTTTTGAGGCCTAAAAAAACAGCTGTACTTGCACAGAAATTAATCTTCATACACAGATTCAGCTCAGTAATTTTGTATATAGTATAATATATGTTATGATATATTATAATATATAATTAAAAAAATAGAATAAAATAAAAACAAGTATTTGTGTATTTTATCTTACTTCAGTGATATTTAACACTTTTTCTTGGTTTTTCCCTACTATATTCCACCAAAATATGGAGAGCATTTAAATAAATCAACCAAATGAGAAGTTAAGGCTACGTTCATAATGCAGCCTGAAGTGACCCAAATCGGATTTTTTTTGCCCATATGCGACCTGTATCTGATCTTTTCATGACAGTCTGAACAACACAGATTAGATTTTTTCCAATGCGACCCAGGCCATTTGGCTAAGTGGTTCTGAATCCGATACGTATCTGATCTTTTCAAATGCAACCCGTGTCTGAACGGCCAGGTCGCATTCATCCGACCTGAACGTCATTAATACCCGACAAAGGTCACTACTCTGCATCTTGCTATGCAGAAGCGGGAAGTTAAACAACAACCATGGCAGACAATAATGCGGAAAGCAGTCTTTTTTAAACCATCTTGAAAAGATTGAGTTTTTAAGGCTGGGACAGATGCTAGATGCGCTCCAGCACTACTATCCACGTTTACTTCCACAAACACAGAGCATGCTTGCTTGTGATGTCATTGCGTTCTCTACTGCACACGTGGGACACTTAAGCTGTATGAATGCAGTTCACACAGGAGATCACATACAAGTCACATATATTTGGAAATTTGAACGGCAATGTAAAAAAAATCGGTTTACACAAAAAAATCTGAATTGAGTATCAATGCCTGCAGTGTGAACGTAGCATAAGAGGCCTGAATACTTTTGCAAGGCACTTTATGCATTGACTGAGACTTGTTGTGAGACTTTGTTATGATTGCTTCAGCTGCTTTAACCTTCACTGGAGTAGATCTCAGGCTGTCCCTACATGTGTTCCATGCTGAAACAAGGTGGACTGCAGCACAGTCACTCATACCCACACAATTTCTGATTATATCTGTTTGTTGCCTGTTGGTGCTTTTTATTTAAAAAAAAATCTGTCTCCAGGTGTTAGGATTCCCACTTTATGCAACATTTCCAACCTTTTCATTTTACCCATCTGTCTGCCTCCATTCCCGTCTTTCTTTCTGTTACACTTGCACCTTTTGATTGACGTATTTATCAAGAAAAAAGATCACATCTTCTCTCTTTCCTAGTTCCTTCCCCCGTTGGTCCCAGCTGCCCTGCCTACCTAAACCTAACACAACTGACAGAAATCCTCAGCAAATTGCCCTGCATGACTAAAGCTGCAGTAATTGAAATCTGTGTAGCCTGGAGTAAGCCCTAAAGTTTGCTTTGTTAATGAATCCTCTGCATTTTTAGCTAATTCTCTGGAGACGTATGTCACCCACTAAATCAAACTGCCGTTAGCTTTCCTTCCTTCCCTGCCCCCCTTTCACACCATCCTCTTTTGCCCTGCTAATATTTTGCTCATCTGACTGCATGTCTGCCACTCCCTGGCCTGGCAGCAGATGCACAGTGCTCCATGTTCTATAGAGAAAGTGCATCCTGCTATATTCAGTCTGTTGCAGGCATATTTGTAATCTCTAATTTTGTTTGGATGATTTAAGTACAGTTTTTTTTTTCTTTTTTACGGATTTACCCTTTGGTTCTAAAACTTCACTACTTTATTTATTTTTTTTTTTTACTTTTCTTCTGTATGTGTGTTTTTTTTTTTCCTGCTTCCAATGTTTCCCTCACCTGTTCTTCACCCTATTTTCTTCTTCCTCTAAATCTACCTATCTGCAGTTTAGCTCCCAGGTAAGACAATTCCCTGTCCCCTTGTTCGCCATCTCTAAAGATGTTGATCCACAAACTCCTGCTCAGAAACCTTTTACTACCCTCAACACTGACGCAATGTTCTTTTCATGTGGGATTCTCCTGCGTTGTTACAGATCTCATGACTATTGCTTATTTTTTTAGGTTGGATTTGATTATTTATTGTGTTATAGAGAAATTTTGAAACTGTATGATATTACAGGCAAGGAGGCAAGGATCAGACCAAGAAGGGTTCCAACATCAAACTGGGACTACAAGGGGACAAAAAAGGCTTAGGACAAGATCCTCGTAAAGACAGCTCCTTAGAAGGTGGTCATCACTTAAAGGTTAAGATTTAATTATTTTTTCAGAAATAAGTAGCTTTGATTATGCATGCATAGAGAACGATGGTATCATTGATTTAATTACATTAATATCATTTTTTTAGGGGAAAATTATTATCTAAAAAATAAATTCTTTGTCATGATGGGTAAACAGAGAGGCCCAAGATGCAGAACACTGACGACTCAGAGGGAAAGTTTAACAAGTTTATTGTTGCACAAGCATGAGTTGAATGAACAGTAGACTGGTTCTGGTCTGGGACTGGTTCACTGGAGTCTGTGAGAGAGACAGTTGTGTTAGCGAAAGCTTGGCTGGGATTGATCTTGGTTGTGTTCAGGTTTGTACCTTGAAGTGCGCAGAAGAGGCTTTGGGAGCGGAACTGTTGGGTCCGGAGATGATTTGGTTCTGCAGAGTCCGTAAGCTGTTTCAGCGTCTTACTTCTAGAGATGAGTTTGACCTTGGCTTGAGTTTCCAGCTCGGTATCCAGAGCTGCTTTGAAATCCAGAGAGTGAGTCTTCAGGTTTGGCTCGGAGGGCAGGCTCGGCAGATTAAGCTCTTCCAGAGCTTTACAGGAGAAAAAACAGGAAACCTGGAAGCAGAGACAAAAAGGGTTAGAACCCAAACAGGACTCAGGAGTAACAAGGTTCTCAGAGGATCTATGGCTTAGGTGCTAACCAACTGATTAAGACACTGCGGCGTCGAGGCAAGGTCTGAAGACAGCTTAAGTAGTCTGGTCCTCCAGATGAGATGATCAGAAGCAGGTGCGTCGACAGCTCAGCTGAGAGGAACCAGGGCGGACTCTGCTGGAGAAAGTTGCCATTTCTCCAGCTCCCAACATTCTGGATGACTTGTGATTACTATAGGCTATGTGTACAGAATACGTTTTTCATTGATTTACAAATAGCTCTAATCAGCAAAAACTAGAATGGATATATTTGATCTGCTTTTGATTGAATGAATGTCTTTATATGGGTTACTGAAAAAATAGCTGTCAGTACTTCCCTGGCATGGTTTTTTTCTTTTTTGCTTAATTAGCAGAGTTTATGTATACTGGTTGGTTTGCTGAGAAACATAGTCCACATACATGAAAAACATAGTCTATAAATAGTTTAATAGATTAGCCTATCATAGGCCAGAAACTGTTGGATACGTATATCTCTTTCCTCTGTTAAGCTACTTTTCCAGCACCAACAAAGATCACCCCAACCTAGAATGTGATACAGTGAATAAATATTTGTTGCAGACCGTGACGTTAATATCATATTTATCCTGCTGAACCATCCACTAGTAGGGTTGGATTGCAAGCATGTATTTTTTTTTTAAATGATAAAACACATAACAAGCTTCTGAAGAGGTCCAGTCTTCAATGTCATTAAACATTTGGGGAAAGGCTAGAAGTAAGGTCAAATAGAAAAAAACCCCCACTATAAATGAACTGTGCCAGCCTTGTTGATGGATATCTAAAGATTTGAGTGTTTTTCTTTTCTAGAAATTGCTGGTTACTTTTATTTAAATTATTGGGAAAAATATGTTGTGTGTCCCTTTGTGGGTTTGAGAAATTATTTGTATGTTGAAACCTCGAAAAAAAATTGAAAATGGCTGTTTTCCGTTTTGGCTAATGTAATGCTTGTCTGCCAGCTGGAGGAGCTGATGAGCACACTGGAAAGGACAAGGCAGGAGCTGGATGCCACCAAGCAGCGTCTCTCCTCCACACAGCAGTCTTTGCAGGAGAGGGACACCCATCTGACCAACATGAGACAGGAGCGCCGGAAGCAGCTTGAGGAAATCCTTGAAATGAAGTCAGTATTGCTGCTAATCGAATAAGATACCGTAACCATAAAATATATTGTTCTACTGAAGCAGTCAGAAAAGTGTTTAGTGTGCTCTTTAAGGCTGCAGAAAAATAATACAGATAAAGCATCTTCCAGTAAACTAAGTCGAATGAAGCAGAATGATAAAAAGGGGGCCCCTATGTCCTCCAGAAGTCTAAGCCTATAGCAGCATAACTATAGAGATAGCTCAGGATAACCTGAGCCCCTCTAACTATAAGCTTTATCAAAAAGGAAAGTTTTAAGCCTAGCCTTAAAAGTAGACAGGGTTTCTGCCTCACAGACTAAAACTGGTAGTTGGTTCGACAGGAGAGGAGCCTGATAACTAAAAGATCTGCCTCCCATTCTATTTTTTAGAAATTCTAGGAACCACTAGTAAACCTGCAGATTAAGAGCGAAGTGCTCTGTTAGGAACATAAGGAACAATCATATCTCTGATATAAGATGGAGCTTGGCTATTTAGGGCTTTATATGTGAGAAAGAGGGTTTTAAATTATATTCTTGATTTAACAAGAAGCCAGTGAAGAGAAGCCAGGATTGGAGAGATATGATCTCTCTTTTTAATTTTCATCAGAACTCTGGCTGCAGCATTTTGGATCAACTCAAGGCTTTTAACTACAGCTTGTGGACTTCCTGATAGTAAAGAATTACAATAGTCCAGCCTTGAAGTAACAAATGCATGGACTAGTTTCTCACTATCACCCCTGGACAGCATATTTCTAATTTGTGCAATATTGCGCAGATGAAAGAAGGAATTTTAGAAACCTCTTTTACATTTTAAGATTTAAATGACAGGTCCTGATCAAAAATAACACCAAGATTTTTTACTTTATTATCTGAAATCAGTTTAATTTCATCCAAATTAACTGCCTGACTAATCAGCTTATTTTTCAAAGACTCTGGTCCAAAGACTATAACTTCTGTTTTGTCTGCATTCTGGAGCAAAAAGTTAAGAGTCATCCAGGTTTTTATGTCTTCGGGAAATGCCTTTAATCTATGTAATGGGTTAGCTTCATCTGGATTTATAGACATATATAGCTAATTATCATCAGCATAACAGTGAAAATTAATCCCATGCTGTCTAATAATTCTACCGATTGGGGGCATATATATATAGTAAATAGGATTGGTCCTAGCATTGATCCCTGTGGTATTCCACGGGTAACCCTGGAGAATGAGGAAGATTTGTCATTAACATGAACAAACTGAAATTGATCATATAGATAAGATTTAAACCAGTCTAGTGCTATTCCTTTAATTCCTAGAAAATATTCAAGTCTTTCTAAAAGAATATTATGATCGACTGTATCAAATGCAGCACGATATAACAGGACAAGTACAGAGACAAGTCCATTATCTGAGGCCATGAGAATATCATTAGTGACTTTCACCAGAGCTGTTTCAGTGCTATGATGAGCTCTAAAGCCAGACTGAAACTCTTCAAAAAGTTCTTTATAATGTAAGTGGTCGCCCACTTGTTTGGTTACTACTTTCTCTAGAATTTAAGAAAGGAAGATTGGATATAGGTCTATAATTGAGTTACTGTTCATTTACTGTAGATATTTTGTAGGTTTAAATTAAAATGTTAATAATTAAATATTTTTCATTATATAATTAAAAGATATAGAATATAAAATATTTTTAGTATCATTAAATGCAGTCATTTTGTTTTGTTAAGCAGTTAATTTATCGTATTTGATGTAGCTGGTATATGAAAACAAAAATCAACAGCAGATATGTTTTATTTTTCTTAAGGGGCTTTTTCTTTTTGGTTTACTAGACTTTGATGAATTCAGACCTCCAACCTTTACACAATTGTGTTTTTCAAGGGTGAATAACTCATAGTTAAATTGTGTTTAAGTGTAAGACTTATTTAGCTACGGCTTTACTTAACAAGGCTCAATTACATCAGAAGCTGTTTCACCCTTTTTTTAGCTTGTTAGGTTTTTTGACAATGATTTCCATGCATTCCAGTTTTTCTATGCTACATTTATTTATTATTATTGCTATATTTATTATTATTATATTTATATTTATTATTTATTTTTTATATTTTTCCAGGCAACAAGCTCTTTTGGCAGCCATCAGTGAGAAAGATGCTAATATTGCATTACTGGAACTGTCTGCGTCCAATAAAAAGAAGACCCAGGAGGAGGTGCTGGCCCTGAAAAGAGAGCGGGACAAACTAATGCATCAACTTAAACAACATGTTAGTAGCACTGCAAAGCTTATTTCAAACATTGTTAACATATGGATCAACTTGCTAAACAAGCTTGTTTGAGAGCAAACTTGGTTCGGTCTTCAGTGTTACACTGATGTACTGAAATGAGAAATCCCAACCAATATTCATTAGATATATTAGAGGTCATTATAACACTACTTAGATCCATGATTACAGTGTGTATCTAAACTGATGTAAGTGCGCACACTGGAACATTTGTGTCTATCCTTTCCTTCCTAAAAGATAAATTAGGCTTTCTTAGCAATGCTTGCATAACACAATACAACTGAGAAATTTGATTGCCTTTTGTTTTTTTTTTTAAATAACAGTCCCAATCATCAGTATATTTCTTGAAATTTTATATGCTAAATTAAGACAAAGAAGCACATATTTGTAGTTTGGAGCAACAACGATATGTAGTTCCTTACATTTACATTTACTTACAAATAGACATCTAAAAAATTCTGACAAATTTTTATGTGACTGAGTTTAAGTTATTTCTGAATGAAGAATGGGGAATAATACCAATTTATATATGTGCAAAGTTGGTAGCATATTAAACTAAAAGAATATTAGCCTTTAGAGCAGCCAAAGGTAATTTTACTAAGTTGCAACTCTATAGGTTGCATACAAAGTGCCACCAGCTTTTATTTTCAATTGCTATACATTATTTTTCATTTCTTTGTACCACTTTATGTTAGTCATTCACCTAAATCTCAGAAAGTGGCATAAAAGTCTGTGGCTGTGAACTGCGCCATCATAGGTAGTCTGCGAGGCTCTGAGCCAACTTCAAGTGAGAGAGGTCTTGCTCTTTGATAGATGTAGGTATCGTGATGCATAAATGATATTTACTTGATTAATTGTTTCAACCTTTCGCTGCTCCACAGCTGGAATTTTTAATAGTGTATATTCATATATATATCCTCTTAGTTAAAAAATTGTAAGTAATTAATCTCGTTGTCTCCCATTTCATCTGGGACTGGGTCGTTTGGGCAGCAGTCTCAGCAGAGACTTTGCTCTCTCCAGAAACCTCCTCCAGCTCTGCTGGGGGAAGCCTGAGGCGTTTTCAGACCAGTTGAGAGACATACACCCTCCTGGTGGGACATGCATGCAATACCTCCCTAGGGAAGCGTTCAGGGGGGCGTTGAAAAACATGTCTGAACCACCACAGCTGACTCCTCTCAATGTGGAGGAGTGGTGGCTCTAATCCGAGCGTCGCCTGTGTGACTGAGGTCCTTACCCTAACGGAGAGCCCAGACACCCTGCGGAGAAAGCTCATTTCAGCCACTTGTATCCAGGCTCTTGTTCCTTCATTGCAACAGTGCATCAAGTAGCTTTACATTACATCAACTCAGTCTCGTTAATTTTGGTATCTAGATGTCTCGTACACAAGTAGCTTCAAACTCTGTTCATTTTTATTAGACCTATAGACAACCTAATCACTGAACACTAACTCCTAAGTATGAAATCTAAAGATTGTTCATAATGTGCAGAAACATACACTAAAAACGTTTTGGTTTTTTTTCGTTCCTCAGAACCTGATCCATGCTTGCAAAATCAGTTGACTTCTCCCATATTGGCTTTCATTGTTCCATCCATAATTATACAGCAACAATATCAAAAAGCTAGATTTGTTTTTTTACATTTTTAGGTGTCCTTGATAAAAATATTTAAATATTTAAATTGCAGTAGTGTGGCCCCACAGTATCACACGGCCCTTTGTGATTGCACAATTTGCACAGCTTATGGCTGTAACGTTAAATTATGTTAAATTTTTACTTCTCTAGCTGTTGTAAGGCATTATCAACGCACCACAGTAGGCCTAGATTCATATTGTTCTATCTACAGTGGTATGCTAACATAAGGTCATGCTAAAATTATCAATAAATTTCAAAGCACCAAATTGATCTTTGAATTTTTAAGCGTGTAATTCCTCTGAGAACTGCTGAATCACAAAATAGTTATTTCCTACGATCTGGTTTTAATTTATCATAAATCAGTTTTGAATGCTGAGAGTTGTGTTTTTAAGTGCATTTATAATAAAATGTGTTAAATCCTTTTAAGCCTAGTAAGTAATAATAACACCAATACTAGTGATTTCAGGGAAATGGGGAGCAGTAAAGACAAACAGTCTCATTTGGAAACCCACATTTTTTAAAATCAGTTTATTATTAGTAATATTTGCTAAAGTTAACTTTGACCTAGAGGCCAGATTGTGGCTCATTTTACTAAAAGATAAATTTGAAACCAACAGGTGGCATTTTGAAAAATATAATATATTTTTTTTCACAGACACAAAGCAGAATGAAGCTGATAGCTGACAACTATGATGACGACCAGTATCACCCACATGGCCCTCACCACCAGCCACAGCCTCCACACGCCCAGCCTCAACCACAGCCACAGTACCCCCACCCTCCCCACTCTCAGCAGTCTCCTTATCAACATTCTCCACACCTGCAGCACCCACAGCACCTGCAGCACCCACAGCACGCACAAGCCCCGATACAGCATCCGCATCCACAGCAACCACAGCCCCAGTACCCTCAGCACCCACAACACCCACAACACCAACAGCACCCTCAGCATCCTCAACATCCTCAACCAATTCCTCAACACCAACAGCATCCACGCCCCCCACAGCCACAGCACCCTCACCAACAGCACCCCCAGCATGTGCCACAGCACCCACATGGACATCCTGCTCCACAGCATCCTCATCCCCAGCACCCACATGGCCCTCCCCCACAGGGACAACACCCTCAGCATCCCCACCCTCAGCATCCCCAACATCCACACTCTGCTCAGCATCCTCGTCATCCATCACCCCACCACCGTGGAGGGCCACCCAGAGGACCCCCACATGCTGATCACCGTCCCTCTCCAGATCAGGTCAGTAAGTCTTTTCAGTTTTCTGAAACACAGAATGTTTACACAAAAAACTGTCCATTGCAATTAAAGACTTCTTAGTTAAGATTAAGGCTAGTTTAATTCCCAGCTGGAAAAAAAATATCCATCCTGTGTTCACACCAACCAAGTAGCCTTTGCTACTTCATCTTTGATGTTTATTCACTTTAAGGTCTAATGCACACTGAGGGAATAAAAAGGTGCCTGATTCAGGTCTAATATGAGATTGGAGAAGCCTACCTTTTCTCTTTGCCGGTATTTTGTACAATGGCGGTTGAAATTGAAAGAGTGGCTTTGCTTTACTTACTAATAAAGGTCGCTTGCAATGCTATTTTCATCTCAACGACCCAGTTTGATGAGCTGCCATCCTGTATTGGTGTCAGCAATCCTACGAGGACGTCAACGTCACATAGCTGAGCCTCTCTCTGATCAGTTGTTGTGGCAGCAAAGGTTCAGACTTCCAACTCAAGTGTCAGTTGCTTGTGAAGCACCTTTACAGTAAATTCTCATAGCTTGCTTGTCGTGGGAAAAAAGAATTCAACTATTCAGTCTAGTTAAATAAAGGAAGATCGATAGATTTCTTTCAGTCAGCATTTTATTTATCTTTGCAAAGAGAGAACCGGGCATCATAAAGCCTTTATTGCATGGTAATCAACCCTGTTTTGATTTAGCCAGAGTTTGTCTTCCTACTTACAATGATGGAAATGCTGAAGGTTGTGTCAGATTCAAAACACATCTCTATCCAAAGCAAAAAAAAAAAAAAATAGCAAAGACAAAGAAAAACAAGAACAAGAGCCTCATATTATGGCCAAACAATCCCTAATAGGATAAACAGCTCCCTCTCTCTTAGGCATGTTGTGGCCTTTGAGCTCTGAGGCCGAATGAATAAAACTCAGCACTCATAATATGTATATATTATGAGATTTTTTTCCCCACCACAGAGCTGGTGCAGTTGCTCGAAATTGGCTGCAGCACCATATAATGTGTTTTGCTGCATATCATGGTTTTTGCTAAATGACATTTCACCAAATACTTTGTGCTTTTGATTTATACACTATTTTAAAATCCATGTATTCATTTAATTTCACAGACAAAACCCTCTTTTTTGTTGGTCTGTTATATGAAGCCCTACTACAGCAGATCTGTGTTTTTCCCCTGTAAAGTGGCAACATGTGAAAAAGTGCAAGGCATACTCATACTTTTGCAATACACTGTATAAAACCAGATAAAATTTAAAAGCATTTCTAACAAAACTACTGGATTTTGCTCCTTAACTGAGAATCATACTGTAGTCAGTTTGTGTCATTAACATCAAAGTCAGCCAGACCACCCCTGTGGTAAATTAATCTGGGTTCTTATTTTCTCTTCCTTGCATTACAGGATGATGAGGAGGGCATTTGGGCATAGCTGGAACAACCAAAGCTCTAATGTTGATTTTAGGGGTAAGGTAACTTCTTTATCAAGCAGTTTACATTTCATACACAAAACACTAAACAATATATACAATCATTCAGTTTTTGTAATATTTTTGTTTGTTTAGGAGATGCATTCGCTACTGGAGGAGCATGGCCATCCTAAGATGTTGAAACACCACCCAAATGAACATTCACCACCATTATTGAATCTTAACTTCTGAACAGTGGGGCCTTTATTTATTTTATTTTATTACTTTTTCTTTGTTTTTTTCTGAGGAACAAGAGGAGGTACTCAGGTTTTCAGTTCCTGCAAGGAGACCGGCAGCTGAACAGGTAATTACATTAGGGTTCAGTGGTTACTAGTAGCAACCAAATTAAGTGATTTTGACACATTCTTTCCCACAACCTATTTTAGTATCCTGGAAATTCAGAGGCCCCTCTTCAATCCTCTCTGACTTTAAGTTCATACTATGTATCTTCAGTTTGCCTGTTCTATCAGCTTTATTGTCTTTCTCTAACATCACTTTTTTGTTTTATGCTTATTCTACAGGAGACTATTCTGTTACATTTCTTACTTTATCTCTCCATCCATTATATGTAGCCTACTTGTGAAATATGCTAAAAAAAAAAAAAGTGTTGCACTAATTGATTGATGATGATTGGACGATACTTAGACGTGAAATCAATCTTTTCCATTACTTTTATCTACCACTGCAAAGCATGACATCACCCACTACTACTATGCTCTAAACTTAGATTTATACTTAAAAAAACGTTATTTCAGAAGTTTTTATTATCCACAGCTACTGATTAATATCTTTCATTAAGATAAAATTTAAATATTAAAGGTTTCATGTGATCATATAAAAACTGACACGATCAGTTGAAAAAAAATAAGAATCTGTATGGGTCAAAATTTGAATCAGCATGTCAGGGTTTAAGGATCGGGAAACTGTGATCGGCCAGAAACCTGAACTAAGTGCACCTCTAAAATGAACAGGTCCACACCCTAATATATCCACTTCGGAACTTCAGTGTTGGTAGAATTTCTTTTAGGAGGATGCTGTATAGTTTCCATTTTTAGTTAAATACAATCTAAGCAATCATATCCAAGGAGGTAAACTGTGGTCTTACCTGACCTCACTTATAATCTCTTGGTATTTTGCTTGCTTGTCTAAAATAAATAAATAAATAAATAAAATTAGGATAATCCTAAATAACCAGTTATTATGCTTTTTTTCTCAAGAGTGGAGTCTTGTGCGATAAGTGTGTTTAGTGACATGAAGCTAGAACAACAAGCTCTTCAAAACTCTTCTGCTTATTGTATTGACCTATTTTTTCTGAAATCTTTGGAGGAGAATCATGACTAGAGCGCAAGGATTTTGCTGAAAATCAAAATTCCAATTATTTTCTACCAGTATTGTGAATGCACTAACTATAAGCATAAAGGCGTTTCATTTCAAAGGATGCTTGTCCAGCATCCATTTTTGCAGGACTTAGTGTAAACTTTGTGTGTAAAAGTCCTTACTTCTATTTGCATGCCTGGGTTTGCATTTTAACTTCAACTCTCTTTTCTCCTCTTTGTGGCAACAAACCCACTTAAAGCGTCTTACCACCACTTAAAGGACTAGAATGACAAACTTTAGTATCTTATTCTAGTTAATTGCAATGTGACCAAAATGTAGTGCATCTGTAGATTGAGAATTGTGTTTCATTAAATTGCCATTATATTGTAAATCCAATTCAATGTCCAGCCCTAATCTTGACTGGTTTATTGTAAAATTATGATACTTCCCCTAAATTTGTATATTTAATATATTTTATCATTATATATATATATATATATATATATATATATATATATATATATATATATATATATATATATATATATATATATATATATATATATATATAAAGTTAGAACTGTAAATTTAGTCATTTTTACTATTTTTCAAGGCTGCACTTTTAAAAAGATGAAATTGTCCAGTGAGCTGACATTTAGTTTTGTTTTACACTTGTGTAAATAAAATGACAAATAAAATCTGTCTAAAAGTCTAAATGTGTTCTCTGGAACATTCAGATGTCTACTATTATATCTCTATCCATAATGACATCGGTATATATTGCAACAGCTGGGTTATACAGGTTTTAAGAGTTGTAAAGGTAACTGCTTGCATTTGCAGAGCATGAGATGCTGCAGAAGTGGTATCTTCCTAATGAAGGCCATCAACATAGGCCATTAATATGGACTAAACCAGCTGATAAAGATTTGATATGATAGGGTGCATGTTATCTTTCTGACAGACTTCAGCTATGTCATAACATTCTCTGCATTTTGTGCTTCCTGTCCTTCATGTTTTTCCCACCATTGTGCCACCTCTAGAGAGCAGGATTTATTGACTGCATAGTTTTATTTGCCTTGTATCTAGATTGCTTTAGTTCAGTGGTCTCCAACCCTGGTCCTCAAGATCTACTGTCCTACAGATTTTAGATGCATCCCTGCTTCAACACAGCTGAATCAAATGATTGATTACCTTTTCAAGCCATTAATTTGATTCAGCTGTGTTGAAGCAGGGATGCATCTAAAATCTGTAGGACAGTAGATCTTGAGGACCAGGGTTGGAGACCACTGCTTTAGTTGATACCACCATATTGTGATATAACGACATTGACATATTCAGTGCTAATTTGTTGTTTTCCAACCATATTTTGCTTTGTGTTCCTCACAAGGTGAGGTGAGGCCTTCGCTTTGTGTGAACAGGAAGACCATCCTCCAAATGATGTGCCAATGGAAGCACTGAGGACAAATTACTGGTTTAACAGACATGGCTACCATGGCAATCCTGCAGTAGCGGTGTCAGAGAAGTCACCTCACCTGTCCATCACCTGCTGAATGACCCCTTTTTTCTCTCATCAAACCATGTTGATTTTAAAAATTGTCTTGCTGCCTCTTTAACCTAAAGCTCTGACCGGCTCGTAGGCCTGACTCTCAGTTTCGATCTGACCCCTCAGCTTATCCCTAAAAACCCTAAGAGTGTCTTCTGTTGTCTATTTCATAGACAACAGTTATTTGAGAACTGGTCACACATTAGGCATTTCTTCCTCTAATGATGATGTCTACATTGACAAGCTTATTAACACATTTGAGTCACTTTAGATTTTCTGTTGCAATTCCTCGTTAGCACAAGGAAGAACTTATGGAGCACCTTGAGGGACTGTGCAAACCACTGGTTTTAGGATCAAGATTAAGCTTCAAGGTAGTGGCTCCTATCAGCATTTTTTTCTCCACATTACCTCATTTCAGTTATAAATAGTAAAGAGAAAATAATCAGTCTATGCAGATATCAACATAGAGATAGTGCATTTTTATTTTTCCATGTATATTTAAATAAATTCCAATTGTATTAGACCAATCAGAGCTGCCAAGAAAAGCGGTCAGAAGATATTCATTGGATTCTTTTGATTTTTTTGAGACTATGCACCTCCTCTGTGTTGACAGGAACTTTCACTTATGGTGCTTCTGCTGGTGCTCAAACTAAATGGTGTCAGAAGATCTAAATAGAGCATCTTTTTGTCCTTTTACATTAGAGGGACTTGCTCCCACAATGGGCTTCATAAACAACAGTACAAAACTGCTTTGTATATTATATGTACAGGTTAAAACGTGGGGCTTTGTGAACAACGATCAAACATTTTCTCAAGAAATATGACTACTAAAAGCCTCCGAATAGACTGTGAAGCGAAGTAGATGTTTTCTCTTCAGATAAAAGTGATTCCAGTAACACCCCAGCTTCACTATAAGTCCTCTCCCTTCTTTCATATTCTTCCAGCAGTAGCCTGTATGATCTCCCCACATAGTGACTTGTTTTCTCCTTCTCAACAAGGTGGTCTGTGCCTCGTCGAATCTGTATACATAAGATAGATATGCATATATTATACATATAGAGATAAATCTATAGAGTGTGTCTATATGTGGTCAGAAAAATATTTCAAACTAAAAAGATATACTACATTTTTTTTATGGTTATTTTTATAACTGGCTGGAAGTCAGAGATATTTCATTTAGTTGTGAGATTGTCCTCACATTGTTATGCTGTGAATAAACCCTTCAGCAGCAATTTAACATTCCCTGTCTGGAAATACAGACCAGCTCAGTAAAAGAAATGATTATTCCATAAATTTCAGAACTTCACTTTAGGGGGAATTCTACCCAAATTTATCTAATGGTCTAGAAAAACTGTCAATATTACATTCCTTTAAAGGGATAGTTGGGAGTTTTTTTAAATGGTTTCTGTGGAATTGATATCAACAGTTGGACACTAAACTGTAATTTACAGTATAGCTGACTGAATAAGGTTAGTGTTGGAGCAGGACGTTATTTCAAATAAGAGCCATGATCACAACTCGTCTGACTGGTCCAGTTTCCCAGCTGTTTGTTCTGGCTTATCAATTACTTTTATCAAAAACTTTTCTGCAGTGTGTGTAAATGCCATCTAATTAACTCTTACATAATAACAATTTTATAATAAACGTTGTTTTCCACAGAAGTATGTTATTATGTTTGCAGCAGGGTGTGTTTCTCTGAGTTTTTTTTTCAATGATGGCATTTAATTTTTAATAGAAGAGGTAATACAGAAAAAAAATATATAGTTAAAATACTTTTTTTAAATAATCTATGAACAATTTACAGAGATTGAATTGACTTGGTTTATAATTTTACACATTGTGTGGGTGTCGAATAAGATTTGTTTTTCAGGGGGGTACCTAAATGTAGAATTACTGTCATACACAATATGCTTTTTGCTTTTTCTCAACCTACCTAAAAAATAATTTTCCCATAAAGTCAGAACATTTAGGGAAAAGCCCTAAAGTGCAAAATATTTGATCGCCCCCTGCTTTCAACCCCTGCGTTAATTCTGAAATGTAGTTTTATATAAATGCTTAGAAAATAAGTAATAAATTTTGAGATTGGAGTGATTAACTTAACTTGTTACTACAAGTTAATTATGTTTTTTTTTTCTTTTTTTTTTTTTCTTTCAATTACTTTGCACAAAGAATCAGTGTGGTTTAGACAGCTTTTGTTTACCTCAATACAGCTTCAGAAACTCATTTGACAAAATATTATTTAGGTCCACTTTTCCTTATTTGATAAGATTTTTTTCACAACCTGAGACATTTATGAAAGGCAAAAAAAACACAAAAACAGGTCATCTGTAAAAGTAAATTAGCAATGTATTATCCGACTGCTGATAACAATTGCCTGGAATTCTATTTAGACAATTCCCAACAATCGCTTTAACATTAAATCAGCTCAGTTGAAGACTTTAACCTGTGGTAACAATTTTAAGTAAATTTTTTTTATTATTATTTTGGGCTGTAGCTCTCACGGGTAGCAGTTAGATTATTTCTGCTGCACTCAGCAGGCAAGAGGCTTGCACTTGTAAATGAGGACAGTATCCTCCAAAAAGAGGTTTCAGTGACTCTGTCTGGATGCATTTCTCCTTTGTGTATTTGTTGTTGTCATGTAAACTGAAGTGGTGATGTATGTGTGACCATAACAACTGATTTAGGTAGAAAAACCATCAGGTTGTTACAGTATTATGAGAAAGTGAAGCTGACTGTTACTAATGCCCTCCTCCTTCCTTGACCCTACCGGTGTCTGTGTTGGTTGTTGTAAACAAACATGTCTCCATCTCCTCACACCAAGGTGATTCACTAATAATTTTTTACGCCTATGATTCCCACTGAAGCAGCTCCTGTAACTGAACAAGAACCAACAGATTACAGACTATGTGGTTGTTTGTTTACAAATGTTGATTAAAAAGGCCTTTTTTTATTGTTGGGAAAGAGCGCAGACAGACAGAGGAGCATAAATCCTCTTACTTCACCATCAGGGGTGGAGTACTAATCCTCCATTTTCAGGTCCTTATCTACTGAATACTTGAAGTAGGGAGTTTTCCTACCATGATATAGCATACATAATTTAAATAGTCGACAACATGGAATATTTTAATTGTGCCCATGCATGCTGATTTTTACATGATGTGCCAATTGAAGGTGATGATGTACGTTTAATCTGCTGTACTCTATGCAGTGATTGCTCTATTGTCGTGTCAAAAAAAAAATATTGAAAGAAATTACTAAAAGCGAAAAAGACATCGAACTTGAAGGTTGGGGATTGCTTTCTGTATTTAGGCAATTCTTTATCTGTGCCTAGAAACAGCTGTATAAATTCACTAGTCATATTTAAAAGGCCTTCAAAAGAGCTACAGAGAGCCAAGCATACTTTTATCTTTCTTTGCTAAAAACAAGTTTCTCTTTGTTGTTATTTTGTTGCTGGATATTTTTGATTGAACAGATCACTGTGATTAATGCCAGAAATGTCTTTATTTTACAAAGCAAGCATCAAGTTTTTAATTTTTTAATCATATTTTTTTTGTATTTAAGTTAAGCTTTATTTTTGCTATGATTTAGGCTTGTTTAGGAATACCAGTTTGAGACAGTACCATTTGTATAGGTAAATGTTTTGAGCTGTACAGTGACAGATCTAGGAACAATTTAATGTGAGTCGGGCATGCTGAATGATCACTTGTGTGAATGTGAGCTGCTACAGCTCAGTCCTCATTCATTACTTGCATCCGCATTGTGCATTGTGACATCGTGTTGGAGAGTGATGTGTGTCTCACTTACTGTGTCCCCTTAGTAGACAGCCTGTGCAGTTTTGTGAGAGCGCAGCATGTTTCTTTTCAGGTAAGGGCGTGTTGCTGGTGTAATTGCAATCAGAAAAAGAGGGCAATGCGTGTGGGGTGTTTGTGTGTGAGTGCTGATAACAGGGTGTGTGTTATAAATCAAAAAGATCAATTTATTTAAAAGAGAGAATTTTATCAGTCTGTTTCAGAAAAGATGTGGGCAAGCTTTGAAAGACGCATGGATAATATGTATTGTTTTGTTTGCTTTTTTTAACAATAGGAGGCTGTCCTTAGTGCCCCGGCCCGGTTTGCTATTGTCTGTGCTGTACCAGAATAATAATAGTGAGTGTTGGCCAGCTTGTTTATATCCATCAAATAAAGTTGACTTTCTTTCTGTCTTTGTTGGTGATTTCCTACTTGGTTTGCCTCATTGTATATAGCCATTGCAAATCGGTTCATTTTATTTTGCCAGTTCAGTGTTTTGACATTCTCTAGAGATTTAAGAAAATAAAAATGTTAATGTTTTTTATTTTTATATTACCACCTTTTTCCATAAATTGCTGTTATTATTTTACAGGCCAAAACTATTATGTAATATAATTATTTAAAAAATGTATTTAGTTTCCTGCTGGATTTCTATACAAAAAGAGACACACTTTTCCTTTCATTAAACTGCCTTAGTTAGAAAAAAACTAATTCAAGTTGTTGGCTATGAAATCAGTATAAATCATGTGTAACATGGTTACAAATTGTATAAAGGTAATTGTAGTTGTCATTCCACCAGGATTTATGCTGGGTATTAAAAAGTCATGAAGCCATTAGTTTATTAAAGTGATCTCAAAAAGTTTTTTAATAGGTCTTAATCTTCTCACGTCCATGTAACACTACCTCAAATGCACAATTAAATTCTCTTGCGACACTAAATAGTGCTTTCTTAATGCAATTACAACTAAGAACAGGCAGTCAGCTGATCAGCGTTTGTGTCATTGGCAAGTCCATAAGACTCGATGGTCCAGCAATCCTTGCATGATCAAATGTAGACCGTAATTTAAACGAGACAGAATTAACTTACAGAGCAAAACTACAGCACAAAAAGCAGGAAGAACCAACTTGGCAAAGCTTTTAACAAAACAATGCATTCATATTATGAGAAGAGTGATTGCTGTCATGGGAACAAGTGGTTGGCCTACATATTTACTAAATAAATGGTAGGGTCAACTTATGTGAATGGCAAAATGCCATTAAATACAAGGGGGACAAGCTTAATTTTAATAACAAAACTAAATATGATCAAATCAACTCTAAAAGTTGAAAAAAAAAACTAACTTACAGTAGCAACAATTCAAAATGTCCCTTCCCAGTCAGATTCCAGCCACTGGCCTTCTCATGGGCGTGTACAGTATATTTTTTTACTTTGACTCAACCCTTTCACAGAATTACAGGGTCTGAGCAGAAGATAACGCTTCTCTTTAGATCTTAATGTCCACAAATCATGACAGAAAGAATATTTTAGATCCTTAAAAAGGAATTGTTTAGGACTAGCCAAGCGTCCATCAAGGAAAGTGGAGAAATTATGAATGGCCACTACTGTAGGTGTTACAGGGAAAGCATGATGAAAACAATAAGAGCAATAAGATTACCAAACTAAAACAAGAACCACCTTCTCACACAAAACCTGATAAACGAGTAAAGAGAACAAATTATCGGATGATAATTTGATGATACTCAGATTTGAGGATGATACTCAGATTTTGGAGCAGAACCCACATATGCATTTGGATTGCATTAAATTTTCTGCAGTAAAGTGCTGGCACCAGAATATCATGACAATGTCTTGTAACATGTGGGCCACTGGTTCAAACCCCAGCTCAATCTGTCTTTGCTGTTGTGTTTTGGGCAAGACATATCACTACACTGCCTACTGATGGTGATCCAAGGGCCTGGTGATGTCTGTTTACAGCAGCCTCGCTTCTGTCAGTGTGCCCCTGGGTGCCTGTGTAGCTTTCCACCATCAGTGGGTGAATGACTAGATGTAATGTAAAGAGCTTTGGAGTCACCTTACCTGAAAGGTACCATATAAATGCAGACAATTTACCTATCAAATCAAGATAATTCAGTTTCTAGTAGTTGAGGAGGATTTAGATGTGAGGGCACCTTTGAGTTTCAAAAACAAGTTCTACTTTTAATACAGTCTAAATATGAGATCAAGAAACTATTCTATCATTTGTAAATGACATAGATTCAATATGACTATTATTGAACCATACTTCATGTTCAGAGGGGAGTGGCGGACTAGTGTTCAGTGAATAGAGCTTGGAATCCTGAGGTTATGGGTTTGAGCCCCAATCCCACAGACTGCCACTCTTGGTCCCAAGGGGATGGGTTAAATGCAGAGCTCAATTTCTCCAATGTGAGATCAATAAAGTTCAAAATGTAATTAAATATTTAAAATTGCCATGTCATATTTCAGGGGAACGGAGTATTTTCTTTCCTGCTGTTTCAACATCAGAATTCCATTTAAAAGTTGCATAACAGTCATGAAACAAAGGTACACTCTCTTTAAATATGTTATTTCCAGGAATTTGGTGTGTAGCTAATTTTTACACAAATTTATCTACATCAGCTTAAATTTGTCATCTGATAATATCTCTCTACTTTATGCATGGTAGAGGTTCAACATTGATGACAAACCCCCAGAGTTAACACCCAGCCACCATGTGCATATGGACCCCTCAGTATTTCGAGTCTAAAGTGGGCTTTTTAGAATATTATCACAGTTATTTTTGCTCAACGGATTAGAAATACCCTTTAAAATGAACTATTTTAACCTTTAGAGTCCAATTCATTATTGTAATCTTTAATTTATTGTTATCTTTAAGTGAAAAAAATCATAAAAAATGAAAATATAGGCTTGAAGACAATTTATTTACTGTAAATAATGTGTTTTACACAGGGAATTCATATATTTGATCTATTGAAGTGGGGTTTATTTAGTGTCTGAAAAGAAGGTTATGAAGAGTCTAGGCTATAAAGTACAGAAGATCAATCAAATCATCAGTACCAATACTTTTTAGAATATTAAAATACGCGTTGGCATTGCAGGCTTCCCTGACTCTTTCCAGTCTTACAGTAAGCCTTCAATTATAAATACATTACTTGTAAACAATAAACAAAGCAAAAGTTCAACAAGATAATATAAAACAGTAGCCTTTGGCACAACATGGAAACTGGATAAAACATTTCAAATAAACTCAAAGAACAAGTATATGACTACTGGATAGTGCATCACTTAAAATAGCAAAATAAAGACAAATATTAATTTACAGAAAAACTGATACTAAAGCAACATTCACAGTCAATAAAAAGCGTATTATGACTGTTTACCTTCTTGGACGGATTCACCTTTTAGACATGATCTATTTGAAGGTAAACTGCCACCAAACTACCCATCAGAGCGGGGCCTCTGATCAGCAGCCGTATTTCTTATCACCGCCCCCCTGGATTGCCTTAAAAATATCTAGTATTAGTACCTAATCCACTCAGGGTTAGGGTGCTCATTTTAAACATGTAAGTTAAGTTTGTGGCGCACTTCTCAACTTTTACAATTGTATTAAAATATGTGCTTTTCTACAAATAACTGGCCAATGCCAGTAATTTGAAAGATTTATCAATTGCTTAAACTGATTTGGAGTTTAAAAATTGTAATTAATTTAAGATAGCCAAAGTCTAAATTGGTTTGGGAATCTGTCAGACTAGCCATTACTTTGATCAACCAGTCTGGATTTATAACAAAACAAGACTTTTTCAATACAAGTATCTACTTTAAATTTGTCATCAGACCCTTGCATATAGAGTTCTAAGCTGTAATGTAATTTAGAAAAGATTAGCACTTAAAGATTCTTCTTTTATCTCATATTCAGTCCAGATGACAATCTCCTTCATGCCCACCCTGTTCTGTAGCAATATTTACATTCTTTTAGGCTCTCAAATATTTGTTTAAAATCATTATTTGTAAATGTTTAGCATTATGGTCTTCATATTAATCCGTTTTGAAGTCTCCCCCTTCCAACCTTTCTGTGTCTTTTACCTTGCCTCCATGTTTGTCTCTACCACAGTCAGCTCAGCTGCGAGTGATTGGCTCTGAGACGGGAGCCAAAATAAAGGGAGACCTTGAAGCAACTCTGGAAGCCTCCTGTCACTGCTGTGAGTCTGTCTCTGAGGAGAGTCAACTTTCACCAGAACAAAGCGATCAGCCGCCGTGCCCAGCCTCTTGTGGGCTTGAATGATGAACAGCGAAGCTGTAAATAGATCAGAATAAGTCGACCTTGTCTGTTGTTGATCCCCTACTTCTCTCTCTTGGTTCAGGAGGGTCCACTCTTCTGTTTTTTCAAGGGCTTTCTGGTTTAGAACAAGCAGAATTCGACCACCCATAGTGTCCAGCTTCTGCAGTTGGGAGTAGAGCCATGGCAAAGGTCCCATTGTGCATTGATCCCTCCTGCACCACTGGTCCACAGACACACTGAACCCTTGGCTGCAGAGCTGAGTACCCAGCTGACAAACTGATTCTGAAACTGATTTATCCACGTCTGGGGGGCTGAGCAGCACCACATGCCCCTTTTTGCCAACTTGAAGATGAAAAGAAAACCAAATTCAGAAATGTCTTGAATTATTATAAATGTAAAGTTTTACATGTAAAAAAACTTACTCTTGACAAATCCACCGTGTCGCCAGCTCCATGCCCATTCTATAAAAGTCAGAGATGTCACAGTAAATATACCTGGCAGTTTAGCAGATTGACAATTTATTTTTATTGTTTGTATCATATTTGACGCTTCAGAAAGTGTGATGCGGAGATTTCTAATAAACATTATGTGGTTGATGATGAGACTTTCAGACTGAAAGTAGGTTTTGTATAATTTGCAATAATAAACCAGTCAATGTTTTATAAGACATAGTAAACTATTATACTGCTGATAAGTTAGACCATCTTTACGTTTTTCTGGACATTATTTTTTGCAATATTTTAAAATAAAGAGTAACCCTAAATAACCAAAGAGTTTCCTTATAACATGAGAGGTTAAAAGAAAATGGAAACTTACTTTTTACATAATCACGAAGAAAATAAATCATTAGTCCAGTTAGAGAAACAAGAAGCATAACACCAACAACCAGGAGGGTCCAGCGGAATCTACCAGCTGCAAAAAATACAACCCCCCCAAAAAATGATTATGAAACACTTAAAATTTTATTTTCTGAGAAAAAAAATGTATCCTTTCAAACTGCATAAAAAGTATGACAACATCTATAACACCTAACCATTTCCAACTTACTGTCAAAAGCACAGAATGGACCAAATTCCTGCTGTGCTCCTTTTATTTTCACCTGGAGATATTAATAAAAGAATTGTGACATTATCAGCTGTTTGTTGTACACAGATATATGAATGAAGAACTAGTGAAAACATTTTACCATCACACACTGAGATATCCATTCATCAACATTTTCAAATGCACCTTGTGTTTCCTAAATGAGACAGAAAGGACACCTATCACTGATCCTGTACACATTTATACCAATCCAGACTTTTGCATTACCAGATTACCAACTTTTCTAAAAATTTGAAGTTTTACAGAGCATTCAGTTAAATAAACATGACCCTTGCAACAATATATGTAGAATAATATAAAAAAAATAGGTACTAAAAGTAGTTTATCAACTCCATAACAATGGTAGAGATAAAATAACTTAATCATGACTGCATTTGGGAGAGCATCATTTGTATTTCAAAGAAAGACAAACATATTCAGATAATTACAGAACAGTAGTTAGGCCCTTCTTACCCAAACGTCCTTGCTGTTCTGTCTCCATTTGCTCACAGCATTAATGGCCTGCCTTTCCTTATTTCCCCCCTTGCAGATGCTTGCTTTATAACAGAGCGACACTTCACCAGTCAGCCTGCAGGGGGCAGTAAGGTTCCATAAAAGTACTGAGCTCCCGTCGAATATTTTACTCAGACGCACATTCACAGATATATTCTTCCACATCAAGTGTTTTAATTCAGATGGCAATCCTTAAAACAAGAAGAAGTAAATAGATTGTATACATTACAGATTACTTATCCGCCATTGTTGTTGCAGGAATGAGACACATTTCAATGCAATTTATGTTACCTGTTTTGTTAAAGGGGCACGTTTGAGTGCGCCAAGGTCCCAGATCATCTTCATCCCATGCCTAATCATCACAAATATGTTTCATCATAAATGAAACAACAAACAACCAAAAAAATTGGAATTTGTTTTTTCTAAAGAGAAAAGTGTGATAACCTGTATGCACATGCACGGGGCAATGGAGGACAGATGAATGATGGTCTGGGTCAGCCTCTATTTAAAAAAGAACAAAATGATGCAAATTAAAGTTGTTGGTGTTGACATGGTTACAACAGGAATGCAGAATGTATTGGTAATTTGTTAACAACTATTAAAATACTTTAAAATAGCCTACATTCTGGGGTATTGAAAAGGATCAACTGCAAAGCAGCTATACTTTATAATAACAAATACCATACATCCAGCCTGACTAAACCTGAGCTTTCACACTAGGGGTCACCCTGAAAGTCTTATAGCTGTAATACTAAACAAAGGTTTCACAATGTGTCGAATTAGGGGGTTAAAAAATATGCACACCGCACCTTTCAGATTTTATTCACAAAAAAAAAAAAGAAAAAAAAAAAAAAGCTATGTATCCATGTTTTTCCTTCCTCATGACAGTTGTGTAATAGGCTACTTTGTGTTGATCTATTTAGAGAAATTATGAATAAAATACAATCAGGTTTGTAGTATCACACAATGTAAAAAGGTAGAAGGGGTAATGCTAATTCTGAAGGTACTGTAGATAATGAATTAGATAAAGCAGAAATAATATACATTTCTATGCAGCTCAATATCAGATTTCAGACTGTTGAACTGTTTAAAAAAACTCAAAATCATGTAACAAATTCTGCATCACACTGATAACACCAAAGTGCTTATTTGTACCATATATATATTCTCTGAACTTCCATATCAATGCATTTTTTCAACATGTTTTTTTTCTCCCACCCTGTTTGCTTTTGATCACTGATGCACTTTTGTATAGAATCTGTGTATACAAAATGACAATCAAAGTTGTCTAAGTCTATAATACATATTGCAGCATTAGACGTTCTAATCAGACAGCTGTTATTGGCTGAAAGGTAAACAATTCTCCTAAACCTTTCACCTTTTGTCATTTGTCGAAGACTTTGTATAAAGCCACTGATGTGAGTGTATTTGGAAAAAAAAAACATGAATTATTAAAAACAATCATTAATTTAGTTAAATCTAGCTAAAGATATATTTTCAGAAATTAGTTGGTCTTTTTAACTAGTAGTTATTGTCGTTTGCAAGGAGCTGAAAAACTTACTTTAGAAACTACTTCAATAGCTTCATAATCATCAGTCAGAGCTTTACTGTACCACAAAACTCCTTCTTGTTCAGCAGTTTTTTAAAAGAACAATTCCCTAATCTAACAACAAATGATTTCACACCCATGCAACTAACATAAAACAACAATTACTGACTTATTTTGCAAAGACAGTAAAGATGCTTTTGAGTTGTCTTTGCGAGTTTACAAATAAAATTCTCATATTTTATGCTTAACACTATGGTGGCTCAAGAGTTTATCAGATTGATCTTGTTTTATCATGTGATAATAGATCACTATCTAATCTAGAAGAAATGAACAGAGAAGGCAACTTTAAAATGTGTGCATGTCTAAAACAGAAATATGTAGCATAAAAGTTTTAACTTTGTTTTTTTTATATTCTTCTTATTGTGAATTGATACATATTTGCTTGTATATATTCTTGAGAATATGTAAGCTAATATTCCTTAAACATTAAATTTTCTCTCATTGCATTTCTCTGATTAACTTATCCTTTTCTCTCAAGGGGCAGTTTCTCAGGAGTAGCACTAACCCGGCAGTGTCCGTTCTCCTCGTATTTGACACACAGAGAGGGAGGGGACTTGTTGTTGCCCTCAATCTGCAGCTCAATGTGATTTTCCTTTAAAACATGATTGATGAGGAATTTCTGAACTGAAAAAAAGGAAAAATAACTATTGTCATATTTTCTAAAGATATACTGTACACAGAGATATATCACACAAAAATCCACAATTGCCCAAGGTATTTGCTTTTCTTTTTTGCTTACCTGGACACACAGGTATATATTTCTGCCTAAGCTTCTGGGAACACACTGCGAACAGACAGGAATTTGTATGATGTAGATGCACATGTAGTGACCTGCTGCTTAAAAGGGATAACTTGGTTTCGTGTTATGCAACTGAGACTTCTCAGTGAAGCAATGCCCTGGCAGGCATTGCTACAGACTGCAACAGATAAATCTGATGTTTCTGCTACACCTTGATGTAAGCTGAGATAGAACTGCAATTAAAGCACAAATTACCTTTTTCCTCTGAAGGAGCAACAACTTCTTTCTTTGGGGAATTTAATTTGTTGGGATAAACAGATAATTTGCTGCTAAAATGGAATTCATCTGTGATCACCATTGAAATCTGTTAAGATAAGATGGTGAAACATGTTTGAAATTATGTACCTGGGTGTGATCAAACACTTAGCAGGATTACAAAGTTCATGGAAATTTATGGTACAGTACCTTGCTCTTGTTCTGGTGAGTAAGAATTGGGTAATTAACAGTAAACTCCACCTTCTTGCATATTGGCACAGTGCTGGCTGCTTGCTGGTAGCATATTGTCACAGACGCTGTAAAAACAGAGCATGAAGTTATACTTGGACTGAATCAGCATTGGAATGATTGATATATTCAAATAAAGCTTGTGTAAAACTTGCATCACTTTTAAAGGTTTACTTGAGCACAGTGTAGGACAGAGAGAGTGTCCTTTTATGCAACTTACTGCCTCTGACCTACAAAACAAAACTCAAGCCAGCTGAGCTTTATTCCTCTGCTATGTTTTTACCTATGAAATTATACATAGACTAGATCATTTGGCTGAGATTGAGAACTGGATGTCTTCAGGATCTTTTTGTTTTATTTTGTTGTCTGATTCAAGACATTGTAAGCATTTTTCAATACTCCTTTTTTCAAATAAGAGACATACATTGTTTCTTTCTTACTTGGAATATAAATGTTCTTGGCTTATCCTTAGCAATGTGTCTCACTTACATGCTCAGTTTAAGAAAAGATGCATTAATAAAAAAAATGACTTACTTAGATTTTGATTTTTTGCAGTGTAAGTGATCTCAGAAAACGGTTATCTTAAAACTTGGGTGGGGTCTTTGACAATTGCCCTCTCTGGTAAAGGTGTGTAAAGAAACTTAAAAAATAACTGTCTTTTAAAGAGATTTGGGGACCACTTCTTTTTGCAGCTTGATGACAGTGAGATTTCTATAGTTTTGTTGGATCTCTCTGGCCATCCTAATGACTGTGGTTGAGATAAAATTGAGTTCTCTAATTGAAAATATCAGCCTCTGAATCATATAAAGCCAAAATTTGTTTTGCAACACGGTAATTCAGTGGCTCTCCATCCTGGTCCTTTCCTGCTGCTGTCCTTAAAGTTTAAGATGTATTTATGCTCCTGGAAACGTATTCAAAACATTGTATAATCTTCTCTGCAGGCTCTTAGGTCTCCTTCCTTTAGCTGAAGATTTTTCCAGTTTTTTTTTTTCTGATCTGGAGCTTGAATTGTTTTTACTTAGCAGTTTTGACTTTTTTGCAATCATTATCTTCATTCATATTAGCAAACTGCATACAGCCAACTTAGCTAGCCTTAAATCTGTTGCAGTCTGTTGAGGAAAGAGTTCATCCAACTTTCTGAAGAATCATTAAAAGTAGCCTATGCATACCTTTCACATCCACATGCCTGTGTAAATATTTTTTCGTTGTGAACAATGATTAAACCGTGAAAGGCAAACTTGAACAGGATGCCAATATGTCCATCCCTTCAGTGATGAAGAAAAGTTCAGACCTGACTGGCAGAGCCACTTTTAATTGTAATACTAACACTTTGCTCTTGCGTGTAAATTGTGGAAAGCAGCTGTTATCTGGCAGATATATCAAAGGTAAGAGTGTCTCCAGAATTTGTTCTCTACTTGATCAATTTCAATTTTCTTCTGCGTTGATTTATTGATGACTGTTTCTAGAAGTGGCAGGGAGTTGAGGTGATGTGAGTTAAATGTGTTTAAAAAAGTAGAAAGTGTGTAAGAGAATATTTTTTTTGTATAATTGGGACAATAAAATAGATGTGAAACAAATAATAGCAATAATGTTGTTGGTGTGCAGTTGTCTATTGGATCTTTGAAAAACTATTTAAAAACTAGTATAGCACACATTAATATTGATGAAATTTGGAAATGCAGAAGATAATATGATATTGTTAATATTATGATTAAAGAGAATGGTGTAACTTGACTCAAAATCATATATAGGTCATTACTGTTACTATTACAACAACAAAGATAAATATGCTTGCAGCTTAGAAAAAAAAGAACTGGATTTAAAAAAATCTTACACTTTTCATTCCTTGTGTTCTCACTGTATTCTTCCTCATCATCGCCAGAGTGGCTTTCATTTTCCACCTCCGTAGGAATGCTGACCTCTGTGTCTATGACAAGACAAAGCGTACAATTTCCTCTGGCCTTACAGCAGAGCTTGAAAGATGGTTCAAACTGAATATCCACAGTGTCCCCTGGATTATACACACCATCCTTGATGGTGCAGTCAGAGAATGCCTTAAAAGCAGAAAGTTCAGAAGAAGGGACATTTTATGTTTTTTTTTTTTTAGAAAAGAATTAAACAGACAGCAAATATTTTTTGTTCTGTCTACAACACTCCCAAGCTTCAACAAACTGGCGGATGGCCATATCTCACAATCAGTTTTTCATTTAATTTCATCAATTTAACATGTGACCTCCGCCAAGGGAAATTAAAAGTCAACACTGCAAAGCTTACAGTAGAAGGAAATTAAAAGCTGCAAGGCATTAAAGTAAAAACAGTATTTCATCCCACTGAAATGTAATTTTGAGCGCAACCAAGCAGTATATCATACAATACCTGTTGGCAAATGACTGCATCGCTGTGATGTTCTATGATCTCCAAGCCAGAGGATGAAGAGCACAGAATGAAGTAAATGCACCAAACGGGCCATTTGAGAAGAAACATTGTTCATCAGATCTACAGGAGTTCTACAGTATATTTCTACACAGAATCCTTTCCAGCCGCCTCGGGAGGAAGGTGCATTGTTGCTCTCTTTGTGATGTTCTTTTTTTTTTTTTTTTTTTTTTTTTTTTTGGTGTGTGTTTTAGAAATTAACTTGGTGCTATCACGACAGAAGTTGCTATGGAAGCAGCCAACTGAGACAAACAGAGAGAGGCTGTTTCCTGGGTTTTTTCCTCTGTTTATGGCCTGGTAAAAAGAGAAATATATTAGGCTACAATTATTTTTGAGGGACACTCAAAAGTATACAGATGAGATTAGCTTTCTTTCCTACAATAACTTTTAAATTTAGGAAGTTTGTAATTCATCCGTTAAGTTTATTTAAAGATACAGAACCTAAACAGGTCTTCCCAAAAGTTAGCAGGATTGATTGGGAAAAACAAAAGAAAGATTTAAGCAATAAACATGTTTCACTACCACTTATAATCAAATCAAAAATCTTATTTAAATTATTTCTTGATTACTTACTGTGTTGAGGAATCTATGACTGTTAAAGCGTCACCAAGCTTTTTATTTCCACTATCCGTCAAAGCGTATCACACCTTGTAAAAGTAGGCAGCGAGTTAATGACTCATAAAAAATCTGCACAACAGAGCACGTCAGTGCCCTGACTCAGTATATGCCCCACCTCATTTCTCTCTCACCTCTCTCCCTCAGCTCTCTGTTCCTCTACCTGTCTCTGATTGAGCCTCACATAATCCTGAAACTTCCTGTTTGGACTCTATATAAATACAGAGTAACTGCAACAAATGACACAGGTTAAAGTACAAAAGTCTCTTTTTTATAGTAAAGAGAAAAAAAAAAAAAATAAGCTCCTACCTGTACCTTCTCTGTCACGACAGAGGCACTCAGATAACTTGCTTCCCATAGGTGGATTGTGTGAGCAGTGGATGGTGTATACTCTTGTCTTTGTATAAACTGTTTCCTGACAAACAAGTTTCTCATCCTGATTCTTAAGAGGCAACATACCTTTGGCCCCATATAACTGTATGGGGCGGTTCATTCAGTGTGGAGTGTGTCGAAGGTTACACTGTGGTGCATGTCTGCAGGAGAAGCTTAACTGGTTTGACCACTTTAAGTTAGAAGACAACCCTTTTTCTCCTCTCAGGAATGGTGGACAAGGAAACTAATGATGTGTCATGTAGATTATAATAATGTAATAGTGTGCATGTTTCTAGACATTTGAATTGTGGGGGATGTGGGTTGATCTGACCAGGATTTTCAAATTACCAGATTTATAAATAACAAATGTTATTTCCATCTTAAAAATAAGATCTTTGAAATAAAAAATAACAACTTCTCTTCACCAGACTCTGCTATTTGTCCAACACCTTTCTGAAGATTTTAATGAAGGGTTTCCTATTCCTCTACCTTGACTGCAAAATAGTCCAAATATTTTTTTCTAACTCTCTCATGTCAGACCACGAATTGAAAATAGTTTTAGATTTTCACCAGTCATTTTTATTCAAGTTCCTGCTTCTGAATGTTTTTTTTTAAGGTGTTTTATTGAGACCTTATGTATGAATGTGTGCATAGATGTTTGCTGATTCTGTATGTCTCTGTGTTTCTCTGGAATGGAGTCTGCAGAGAAGTCCTGTATGGCACTGTTAAAGCATCCAAACATTAAAATATCTTTAAGTAAGGGAATTTGAGTGGCTGGCCTTACTGCAGTAATTAAGAACAAACGAGACATTAAGCTGCCTTCACTTTTATTTTTTGCCTTCAGCATAGATTGCTTGCTTGCTAATTGTGGTTAAGAGTTACATTTCATGCATTCTTTGTAGATTACACTGTTCAACACTGATAAAGGCTATCTTAACAGCAAACTGTAGGACACTAGCTCCAAATTACACAAAAGCTTTCACACTGCCTGTGTTGTTGACTTTATCAAGGGTTGCAATATTAATCAAGGTTGTAGTTAAACTTCTGTTTTTTTTCTTTCAATGGGATTAGTTTAAGATGTTTCATTAATATACTTAAAAAAACATAGTGCCACTTACTTTAAATGTTTCTTTTATTTTGATACATGCAAATATGAGGAATAAGAAAATCATCCAGGGTCGTCCTTGCAGGCTAGTATCAACCAGAAACAGTATAGCATATAATAAAGGGACCACAAGAATGGCAAACAGCTAAATGTATTTCAACAATCAACAAAAGCAAAATAGGATTTTAAGAGCACCCTTCCACAGCAATTACCCCTTGACTCAAAATCAGACAAGGTGCAAGCACAATGGTATCAAAAATAGACACAAAAGAGAAAAAATATACGGTAGTTAAGTCTGACTTGTCATTCTTCGTGCAGGATAGCCCATGATAACCCGCTTTCTTATAACATTTATATTGGTAGCTGGATCAGTGGGAATAATGGTTTCTGTTAGGTTGTGTGGAGGTGTGAGGAGAACCCGAATACAGAGACGGAAGGAGGCAGAGAGGAGTTTTTGCTGATTTAATGCCAATCCAAGGCAACAGAAGCAAAGTCCAAACACAAAATACAGAGAAACAGGAGATGTCATGGAAAACACATACAAAGGCAAGAAATGATGAGGAACCAGCAATAAGAGACTGTACAAGAGGGGTATAAATAGGAGACTGAAGAAAAACTGGGGATAATAAGCAGACAAGGAGCAAGTGTGGATGGAAGAATCTAGAAGAGAGCTAAGGTAAGGAGACTGACACAAGGGGGCAAAAGAGGGTAAACAAGAAATAAACTCAAATATAAACAGAAAACAACACTCTGGACTCGTGGAGCAAGTGGCTGAGAGGAGGATGCTGTCCAAACTTACATCCATCATGGACAACACCTCTCACCCCCTGCACCAGACTGTAGAGGAGCTGAGCAGCTCCTTTAGTCAGAGACTTAGACACCCTGTCTGTAAGAAGGAGCGCTACCGCAGGTCATTCATTCCTGCTGCCACCAGACTCTATAATAATGCACTATAACCACAATAACTCCTGTAAAAACCACTGTGCAGCTACATTATAGTTTCTTTTAATTTATTGCCTGTGCAATATTCTTTGCAATATGCTGAATGTGCAATATTTCTACACCTGTATATAAGCCATCCGGATTGTACATACTTTTATTTCTCATTTTTTTATTTCTTATTTTTATTTTGTTCTTCATTGTGTGCGATACATGTACAATTGCACCTTAATCCTATTTATCTTGATATACTGTATATACCTGGATATACTGTATATATATTGCTTATTCTTAATGCACCTTTTTCCTCCCTGTTTGCACCTTCTGTAACTTCTATGCCAATATGTGACGAGTGAATTTCTCCGCTGTGAGATCAATAAAGCTCATCTAATCTAACACAAAATGGAAATAAAAATAATGAAAATTCAAAAAGGAAACTTAAACAGAATCAAAGTATGACAGTTTCAAAGTAAACTGAAAAATGGTCTGATAGGGAAACATCAATTACAGAAACATAAAAAAATGTGCTGATGACCAAGGGTCCATTTCATGAAGCAGGTTTACCGAAAACTCTAAGTTGTGTAAACCTGACAACAGGGAAACTGACCTCTCTGGTTCACAGGAGAATTGCCCCAACCTCTGTTTCAGTCACCATAGTAACATTATCCCCAATGCTAACCTGGTCAGTAGCAAGTTTTCTTCAGTAATCTTAAAAAAAAAAAAAAAAAAAAAAAAAAAAAAAATATATATATATATATATATATATATATATATATATATATATATATATATATATATATATATATATATATATATATATATATATATATATATATATATATATATATATATATATATATATACATATACATTTTGATTTTGATCAGGAGTGTATATATATTATTAAAGGTCATATTAAAGATCTTTAATACACATGAAGAACTACTGAAATTATTTTTAGATTACAGATGAATAGATTCATTAAATCTGCAGTGGAAAAGGAATCAGTTTAGGTTTAGGATTCACTTAATAATAACTACCTAATGAGCCTACTGGCAAATCCTGAGGGCATTCCATGGGACTGATAGCCACTTATAATGGCCTTTAGGGAAATAATCCCGTAATATTTTCACGGCAACAACAGCTATGGCAAGATGTTTTGATGTGTAGTAGTTTTACTGAATATTTATTCCTGATATCTGAAAAAAAAATGTCTTTGTATAAATGACCATTTCAAACAAAATGACAATAACAAAATTCTCCACATCTAGAATAAACATTCTGGATTTCTATAAAATAATTTCAGATCTCCATAGCCTAATATTACTGGTCAGGATTTGCATTATTTCAACTATGAGGAAATGTATTTCAGATATCATAAACACATATTCAGTCAAGCTGATAAATGTCATAATGGCCTCAAAATGTGTAAACATTTCTAGATATATAAAACTTACATTTTCTTACAAGTATATATATATATATATATGTATATATATATATATATATATATGTATATATATATATATATATATATATATATATATATATATATATATATATATATATATATATATATATATATATATATATATATATATATATATATATATATATATATATATAGGCCTATATATATATACTGTATATATATTCTTTTCACTTTCTAAAATCCAGTTTCTGCTATAAAAATGTAATCTAGAAAATATATAAATACAGTTAGGTCTAGGAGTGGGATTTTGCTAAGAATCATCAGAGAGGCGTGCTTTTAATAAATGTGAAAACATAGCCCACTTCATATAAACGTAAACATTAACTGGAAGAAACTATTTTCTCCTTTGCCACCTTCATCTCCTTTGTAGCTGTAGCATTGTTCCTCTGTCTTTTAAATACATTCTCTTTTTTATTTTATTTATTTTTTTATTTCTGCATTAAGTTCCCAGTTCCTGTTGCCTGTTGTCAATGGTGACTCGTTCAATCGGTGCTCCACTGATAATGGCTTTTATACTTGTTGCACACGCGCTTAACTCTGAGTGGACCTAGTTAGTATTGATTGAACTAATTGATAGCAGCCATTATGAAACAAACACCCAGAGTTCCCAACTTTTGGCTAGATCAATTTAGAGTTGTGGATTTCTATCTGAATTTGTTACACCTGCAGGTCCAAAATAAGCCCTCAATTATTTGTTGTCTGTTTAACATGTTGAGTCAAACCAAAACCGAAAGTGTGTCACATAGTTCTTACTGTATGCACCACTGTCTTCAGCGTTGTCAACATGTACATTAAAGTCCCCCACAATAATGAAGTAGCACTGTTCAACACAGATCACAGAAAAAAGTTCATCAAAATCATTAAAGTTTGTTATGGACTTTAGAGACCCGCAAACATTCACAAACATTCACTCTTTGTTGGAACACGGCATTGTTCTTGGGAAGCCAGATATTTAAAAGATTCAAAGTAACCTAGGATCACTTTTCAACACTTTAGTGAATCATTAAAGAGTAACAAGTGCTCCCCCTTTTGTAAACAGCCTGTTCTGATGGAAAAACCTGTAATTGGGAGGTTTGCTCTACAATAAAATCTGCATCTCATAATTTCAATCTAGCCATGTCTCCATTATAAACATAAAACCAAGATGTTGCTGAATATTAGGCAATTGATTACAATTATTTTCCTAAAAAAGATCTTATGTTAATTAAAGGCAGTTTAAATACCTTGGTTGATATAGTCTCTTTAGGTGGTTAAGCTCCACATTAGATTGATTTTTTTTTCTCAAATTGGATGGCTTACTACTACATACATCTTCCCTTTGAGGCCCCAGTTTTCATGGAGAGAATCAGCTCTGTTTAATCACCAAACATCTGTCTGATCAGTTTGTTTGATCACAATCCTCCTGCCACTAGAGGGTGCTACTGCTGCTGTTGATGAGACCTATGGTATTCACTTCCTGTTCTTTTTTACTTTAAAACAGAAGTAGTGGGGACACATGTATTTTTTAAATATAACACTCATATATAGGTTCAACATGTTTACTAGCAGCTCATCTATATGTTTCCTGCACTTTCTCATGAATCTCTGCAATCCCTCTCCTGACAAAATATAAACTTGCATGACATGAAGATTAAAAATCCATGTAGATTAAATAAGCATAACAAGTATTATGAGCTTAGATATATAAAAAAATCACAGTCATAAATTTTATTTTTTCCTTTTTTGATCTTAATAATAATATATAACCATAATACATTTTATTTATCAGCACTTTCAACAAAACAAATATGCTTAACAAGGTTATAATAAGCTTAAAAAAATTGGTGGAGGATCAGGAGTGGGTGGTCTAAACTCAGGAAAGCAGCCCTCATCTTGAGCTGCAATGTTCCGCTTGGTCCTAGTGCTCAACAAGTGTCAGTGTACTGTAGCGTAAAATTGTTTTTGGACAGTAAAAAGTGCAAGGGACCCAAACTGACATTTGACCAATTATGTCCATGGTGGGGGACTATATTGATCTAACACTGTACCAGAGAGGAGTGCATTTGGAAGTTTTAGAACGTTTTTTGGTTTTCACCTATAGAAGAAATGGAACCCAACTTTCACAGTTCATAGGGATTTTTTTATGTTTTCATTAATGTTTTTATTCCATCCAATTGAAGAACCCAACAACATATAGAGCGGACAGTTCCAAAGGAGCCAGTCAGTCTGCTGGTGCCAATCCTGTTTAGAAAAAACATTGGTGTCAGAATCTGAGATGGGTGAGACTTGCAAATGCAGAGTGTCAAATCAGACTATGAAGACATGGGACACTTTGTAAAACAAAGAATAATAGAAATTTGAATACAGTTAGACTTTAAAACAACTGATAAAACTGGCTTTATGTTTTCACTTGTACATAGTGAATCTTATCCTTGTTCTTATCTGGTCATTTTATCTTTTCAAGTATTGTTCTTACTTACTGTGATTGTTTGAACTGTTGATTATGATGTAAGTAATAAAAAACTGTTTGTACACACAAACCGGGCTTCTAAGTTGATTCTGATCAGCTCTCTTTTTGGTCATCAGTAGATTTCACACTCTATATTTTCCATTATTTAGATAGTAATTAATAGAGATTATTATATTGCTGACAACCTAATTATTTCTATTAAGTAGTTCAAATACAATTATTGACTGATTAAAGTAGTAATCACTTACTTATGAAAATATTTTTATCTTGAAATATATGAATTTCAGTCTGCAAAGTATTCAGTAAGAAGTCAGAGGTTTAGATTAAGCATTAACCTTCAGATTAATTATTGATAGCATTAGCTCTGGGTTAATATTTATTTTATATGAAACTCACAGACTGTCTTATTTATAGATATCAATATTAAGTCATATCTGTTCACGGTGCTTATCGGTTTGAAACTCCATTACACTGCACGGCATTATATATTTTCAAAGATGTGCCTTTAATCTGAAGGAACAGATACAGTATGTATAAAAGAGAGTCATGGTGCCATCTACAGGAGGGTAAAAACAAGACAACATAATAATAAAAACAATGCTTTGTGTTAATCACAATGTATTTAGTTAGTGTTTATGTTTCTAGAAGTAGCAGTAAATTTAAATTTAGTAACTTTTAGTAACAAAATTACTTAGATGATTGAAGATAGCTTTGAATATAGTGTGAGTAGCCGCATTTCCTTTTTTCTGTACCTTATGTAATAATAATAAAGTTCTAATATGAGGTACATAAAAGCAAGGTAAATAAAATGCAGTTTTCACCTAGATCTAGAAATTATTGTTGACTTTAGTGAGTGTCCTGGTAACTCCCAAAAGTGGGATAAAAAAAATGTGTAAAATAAAACTCTCTTGAAAAATGAAGTAGACCTAATAATCTAAAAAAGAGCTGATTTTTCTTAAAATTACACTTCACTATAAGAAAGTCAGCAATTAATGTGGCTGGATTAACAACTTCAAAACAGTCTAAAAAATATTTCTCCAAAGAAGGGGATTGAAAAAAATATATATATATTTTTAGCAAATGTGAAATGACTGTCTTTATTTTGGTTGCCAGCGATTTTTGTAACTCTCCTATATGTTAATATATTTATTAATATGCCCTATTAGTGAAAAGTCGAATTAAGTGACTTCACAAACTCAATTCTGGAAGTAGAACTGTTAGGAATCCAGTCTATGTGGGTTGTGTTTTTGTTTGTCTTCCCTCCACCACCAGGTGGCGCCTGGTTCTTATTGATCCTCTCACACACCTGCGGATGGTTGCCTCATTATCTGAGGACTGTTAAGCTACTGACTGCCACTACCTTGGCGCCAGAGTGTTTGCCTGGTCTCTCTGGTTTTCTGCATGTGGGTCAGATCTTTGAATAAAATCATGACAAGAATCCAGTATATAGCCAGAATTTATGGCGCAACAGTGTATGGATATGGCTTATCAGGCAATATCTGGTAAACTAAGGAAGCGTGCAAAGCAGGTGCTGCCTACAAACACCAGAAACATACTGAAATAAAACATATACACAAAAGCATCTATCTATCTATCTATCTATCTATCTATCTATCTATCTATCTATCTATCTATCTATCTATCTATCTATCTATCTATCTATCTATCTATCTATCTATCTATCTATCTATCTATCTATCTATCTATCTATCTATCTATCTATCTATCTATCTATCTATCTATCTATCTATCTATCTATCTATCTATCTATCTATCTATCTATCTATCTATCTATCTATCTATCTATCTATCTATCTATCTATCTATCTATCTATCTATCTATCTATCTATCTATCTATCTATCTATCTATCTATCTATCTATCTATCTATCTATCTATCTATCTATCTATCTATCTGTACATCAAGGACAAGGCTCCAACAGATATATATATATATATATATATATATATATAAAAACTAAAAAAACTGTTTTCTCACCCCTCGTGGGGTGGTATGTGTCATCCTCAAGCTCGGGTCCTCTACCAGAGGCCTGGGAGTTTGAGGGTTCTGCGCAGCATCTTAGCTGTTCCTAGGACTGCGCTCTTCTGGACAGAGACCTCTGATGTTTTACCTGGGATCTGCTGTAGCCACTCTCCCAGGAGGTCACAGCCCCCAGTGCTCCAATTACCACTAGCACCACTGCTGCTCTTACTTTCCACATCTTTTCTAGCTCCTCTTTCAGCCCTTGGTATTTCTCAAGCTTCTCGTGTTCTTTCTTCTTGATGTTGCTGTCGCTTGGGATTGCCACATCTATCACTACTGCCTTCTTCTGCTGTTTGTCGATCAACACGATGTCTGGTTGGTTAGCCATCACATATATATATATATATATATATATATATATATATATATATATATTTAACTTGAACTTTAGTTGTAATTAATGGAAAATCTTTCACAATTGAGGGTAAAACCAATTTAATGTTCTTGGTTGAATAATCATAACTATAACCTGTTACTTACCAGGATTTTAGTGGCTGGACAAAAAGCAGAGGAAAGCTGTTGAGGTTGACATAGCAATACCAAGTGACTTCAACATCAGGAAAAAGTATCATGAAAAACTATAGAAACACCGGGGGCTCAGAGAAGGGCTGGAGAAAACCCAGAAGGTCAAGGCATCAGTGGTGCCTGTGATCATTGGGGCACTCAGGGCAGTGACCCCCAAACTTGAGGAGTGAGTACAGCAGATCCCTGGAAATACATCAGGCATCTCGGTTCAGTAAAGTGCAGTTCTAGGAACAGCAAAGATACTGTGCAGAACTCTCAAGCTGCCAGGCCACTGGTAGAGGAAAAACTCCCCCTTTTTCCAAACAAACCAACCCTGTTATGTGTATAACCTTTTGACAAATTCAATCCTGTGGATTTTGGTAATTTATTAGAAGAATATCACTGACACAGTTGAACTCTTGGTGCACATGCTTTATTACAGAAATGGCTATTGCACAGAAAATCTGTGCTGTTGCATTTTTTAATTAAATTTTTCATGCTCTTTTATCAGTAGTGATTAGGCAGGGTTTGAGTAAAATGTTATTTTTCGGAAACTTTAAGTTGTATGACAGAAAGCAAGAACAAATCACTAGCCAACAAAATTAAGGGTCCCCAAAAATAAACCACAATCTCTGCATTAATTTATTAATAAACAATCAGAATTTAGCAATCACTGACCAGCTATTAAATTGTCGTGCATGATCTACATGTTTGGTATTGCACCTCAACATAGGTGGGTTTAGCTTTACAACTTTCAGTTGTGTTGTATTGTAATCTTTCCTTAACCCAATTTGAAGGTAGCTTCCACTTAAAGTAGAGAATTAATGTAATCATTCAAGGTTCTCTCCAGGGCAAGATCAGCTGACAAAAGCCAGCATTGCACTGTCAAAGGATTGGTAATACTGTAGTCAGCTGCAGTGGAACTGCAAAAGAAATACATTGTTAAACAACCTTTTCCTTAAAGCTGTAAATTCATAAAAAAGGATAGGTCAAAACATTTACCTGGAAACAGAAATCTCTCTGTTTTTGATCTTCAGTTTTGCATCAGATTGTTGTTGAACCTCCTCATAATCTCTTGGCTTTAAAGCTAAATCAAAATGACACATGTAACATTAAGAGGTTTATATGAATGATCATAACCTATTACAGATATCCTAGAAGCGACAACAATACACATTTTCTAAATGTTCATAGACTGAAGAAAAAAAAAAGAAATTTTACTGACCTAAAATCCCTTCGGTGTTGTTGGCAAATGGCTTCTGCCGCAAAACAGGCCACAAAAATTTGTTGCCATTCTTCTCATGAACATAGATGACTAAACGCACGTCCTCTACTGCAACATCAATTTCTTTGTCACGCTGGATTACTGTAAAGCTAGAAAAAAAAAGTTCACAAATTTGAAATAAACTTCAAAAACAGTTAATTACCAACACACTTATGCTGCTGGGTATAAAGTTACATGCATATACTTTTCTAAGAGGCATTTATTATGCTTTTTTTTATCATGGCAGGTGCAACAAAAATACCTATAAAGATGATGTTCATTAGGTCCTGTACTTTCAAGTTAGCGTAATTCAGAAGCTATATAAAATGAGTATGAAATGAATATGAAATTAAGTTCTTCTGTTTTCAGGAGGATGAATGAATAAAAAAAAAAGAGGGTCACCTTCCAACTGTGATGGGATCCTGTCCAATGTAGCGCGTTGTTGACTGACCCTGTTGAATGTTGATTACCTCTGTATTAACCTCAACATGCTCGTCAGCATTGAGGTGAATAGCAATCGTACTAAAGCCTCCATTTGTAATTGAATCCAGCTGACCATTTACATACAGCTCTAATTCCAACGATATCAAATAAAGATTATTTCAACAGGGAAACATATGAGACTTTCATTGAGAGGCATTTTTGGTTTAAATTGCCCAAACAGAATTGTTACTGACCCTTGTTGGGGTGGTGAAGAAGTTTAAGAATGACAGCTCCAATGACATCAAAGCAAAGTGGAAGAGATGTATTTTCAGTCTTCAGCAACAATCTGTGAGAAACAGGAACTAGCAACAGACAAGTTTGTGTAAAAGCTCTAATTTTGTGGAAAGCCCCAACATAAAAAAATCTCAACATGCCTGTAAAAGCCTGAACATATCCTGTATTACTACACAGGCCTAAGCAGAGACTGAGTACTTGAATTATCCCTAGAGATTATGAAAAGTCATACTGTGCATCAATTAGATTACGGATACACTTATCATTACATTTCTCTTTTATGTTATCACTTTTTTCTCAGAATTTTGAGATTAAAGTTAGAATTCTGACTTTTCCTATGAAAGAGGATTAGAGGTGTTGGATGTTTTGGTAAGTAGCTACACTCCTTTACTTTAAGGTCATTCAAACAAACCTTCTTTTTGAGGAAAACTGTCTATTTTGAGTGTAAAAGCCTCCCTGTATTTTTCTTTACCTTTTTGTAGCTAGGGCAATCTTTTGTCTAACCAGAACAGAAAGCACACTGGCTATAAAAACTGCATTTGTTCTCCTTTGCAAGGATGAATAAGCACTGCTTAAATGAAGAACACCAATCTCATTTCTTGTTAATATATTACTTAGACCTTTTTTTGATGACAACATACTACTTGGATAGTTTCTCTATGAAGAGGGAAAGAAGAGAGAGACCATGATTTCCGGCCAATTATATGAGAATACACCTCCCCATTAACTAGGAGTCAGAGAGCAGAAGGTTACAGGCTACTTAATTGTCTGAACTATCCAATTGAAAAGGGTCTGTCCCCAGGACCTGGGAGGTTGAGAAGCAACCCTCCCCTTACCTCTACGCCTATACCTAAGAATACGGTGGACTGTGTAAACCAGGTCCCCATCAATGAATCTTGCAGGTGGAGGTGACCTAGAATTGGGCACAAACCTGGAGGTTTTTACAGGTCTAACCCAAGATACATGAAAGGTGGGGTGGATCCTTAAACAACGAGGGAGGTGGAGGTGGACAGCCACCAGTTTCACCACCTTGGCAATAGGGAATAGCCCAACAAAGCGCAGAACCAGCTTCTTGCTGTGGACCTTAAGAGGCAGATCCTTAGTGGAAAACCAAACTCTGTAACCCACCATGTAAGTGGGTGCCGCAACCCTCTGGCGGTTGGCAGCCTTAGCTTGACCAACCAGGGCTTTAGAGATGGCCCTCCTGGCTCATCTCCAAGCCCACTGGCACCTAAGAGCAGAAAGGTGGATGGAATAAAACCTGACATGATGAACACCTGTGGCTGAAAACGAAACACAACATAAAACGGAGAAAGTTCAGTGGTGCTAGAGGGAGCTGAGTTAATGGCATGTTCGACCCAGGGGATTTGGCTGGCCCACTTGGTGGGATCAGCCTCACAGAGGATGCAGATCTTAGTTTCAACCTCCTGGTTGGCCCTCTCTGTCAGACCATCCGTTTGGGGGTGAAAACCTGATAAGAGACTGACAGAGACCCCTAACAAAGAACAGAACTCCCTTCAGAACCGGGAGATAAACTGGGGACCCCTGTCAGAGACAATGTCAGTGGGGAGACCATGGAGCCGGAAAAACCTTATGGTCCAGGACCTCCCCCATTTCCTTAGCTGGGAAGTTTTTTGGCAGAGGGACCAAATGCACCGTCTTAGAGAATGATAGTGAGGATGACAATGTTACCATCAGAGAAAGGCAACCCTTTAACAAAGTTCATGGCAATCTGGGACCAAGACAGGGATGGAATGGGCAAAGACTGGAGAAAAGCAGAGGAAGGCATTTTGGATGATTTGGATTGGTTACACTGAGGGCAGGCTGCCACAATCTCTCGCACATCTACAGACAGAGAAGGCCACCAAAACTGAGAATGAACAATGTGAATAGTCTTAGTAATACCAGGATAACAGAACAAAATAATTACAGAACTCAATGACATTTCCTCTCAGAGCATTAGGAACAAAACAGACGATCAGACCAACAATCACTGGGAAGGTTGGTTGAGAAGGTCTAACCTCCCGCTCAATGTTAACCACGGAGACAGCACACCTCAGAGATTCAGGCAAGACACTCTCCTCAGCCCCACTGAGACAATCCCTGTCCACCTTAAACACCCTGGACAAAGCATTGGGTTTGCTATTCTTAGACCCAGGGCTGTAAGACAGAGAGAAATGGAATCTACCAAAAAGCAGTGCCCACCTAGCATGTCTAGGATTAAGTCTCTTGGCTGACTTAAGGTACTCCAGATTTGTATAGTCTGTCCAAACCAGAAACGGAATACTGGAACCCTCCAGCCACTGTCTCCACTACTCAAAAGCCAGTTTGACTGCCAGCAACTCTATATCCCCGACATCATAGTTCTGCTCAGCTGCTGACAGTTTCTTGGAAAAGAAAGCACAAAGGTGGATCCTCTCATCCTCAGCCTCCCGACTGAGCACCGCCCTGACACCGGTACTAGAAGCATCTACCTTGACAAAAACCTGCATCTTGGGGTCGGGGACACCAGAACTGGAGACAAGGTGAAGGCGGCCCTGGGCCTCTGAAAACCTTGATCCACCAGACTGGACGAGCAAAACTTGAGCTTGGATGATGTGACGGCATGAAGGGGCGCTGCCACCTGACTGTAGTTCCTAATGAACCGGTGGTAAAAATGGGCAAATCCGAAAAACCTCTAAGCTGCTTCCGACCAATTGGTGACACCCCACACCTCCAAGGGATCCATGGAGTTCTGGTCAGGGGAGACAACAAAGCCCATGAAAGAGATAGTGCTCACGTGAAACTCACACCTCTCTGCCTTGACGAATAACTGGTTCTGAAGAAGGCGAAGCAACACTGATCACTGATCAAGTCTGAAGAGTAAATGAAAATGTCATTAATGTTAACGAAGAGAAGAAAAAAAACCCATGTCCCTAAGACCCTCACAACCATGTTCTGAAAAACCACTGGTGCATTTGTGAGCCCAAAAGGCATCACCAGATATTCATAGTGACCATTCGGGGTGTTGAAAGCGGTCCTCTACGCATCACCCTCCCTAAACCCACCAGGTGATATGCATTGTGGAGATCCAGCTTGGTGAAATCCCTGAGCTCCCTAAATCTGATTAAATGCTGAGTTAATCAGTTTAATGAACTGATTGAACACCTGTCAAAGATCATGGTACTCCTCGGGGACCTTAGTAAGATCCTGATAAAACTCTGGATCAACAGAGTACCCCAAAATTTTGGACTTAGCCGATCATAAACAAGAACCCGAACAAACAATGGACCAACCCAAATTTCAACCCTTTGCTAGTCAATATGCGGGTTGTGCTTAGTTAGCCAGATAGAACCCAATATAACAGGAATCTGAGGTGAATCATTGATAAGAAAAACTAAAAGTTCAACATGGTTCCCTCCCCACCAACAGCTCAACAAGTTTAGTCATAAGAGATTTCTGGTTGAGCTGATGTCCATCTAAGGCTAGTCACAGGAAAGAGTCACAGGAAGCAGAACTTCTGGGGAGGCAGAAAGCCTGGCCCGGCTCAGCAGGATCCTCCCCCTTCCTAGAGAGCCTGATCCTCTTACCTCTTCCCTGCTTCAATAACCCCACTGAATCATCTCTGCTGGGTACAATGAGGCTAAAGACATGGACCAGCTCCTCAGAAATCCTCATAGGATTTGCACAGAGAGGAGTTATTCTGCCATTCCAATGTTCCCCATAAGTTTGCCCTGCCCGCTAACAGCGAGATAAGCCAGCTTTGCCCGATCAGATGGAAATGAGGAGGGCTACAGCTCGAAGTGGATTTCACATCGAGTTAGAAAAGCTCTGCACTGCTCCGTATTAGCCATATGCAATTATGGAGTACGCAGACGTGGTACTTGACAGTCAGAGACAGCAGGCAGAGGCATAGACTTTGGCATGGCTATGTGGGAAAGATCAGAGGCAGCTGAAGTTGTCTAAAGCTTGCGGTGGGTGGAGCTCCGAGAGCTCCAGGTGATTAGCAGAACTGATGATAACCGACGCCAAGAAGCAACAGTGGGAATATCGAGAGCCGAAGTCAAAGAAGAACCAAGAGCTGACAAGAAAGGGAATCCAAGCCGAGGTCAGAAATACAGTCCAAGTTCGGTAAGCCGGTAGAATCCAGGAATTAGTCTAGAAGAGATCAAACTAACAGAGTGGATGAGTCAAAGCAACACGCAAGATCCACAAGACAGAAAACAGGTCACAATCAAATAAAATCGTACCAGAACAATAATCAGAATGCTAGAGTTACTCTCACCAAACAGCTTGAATAATGTGGCACTGGTGACTGGAAAACAAGCAGCATATATAGGAGCTGGAAACCGGTGGATCAGACAAACAGTAATGAGAAACTGAGCGGATTTAAACAGGTGAATGGAATGAGAAATCAAGCCAGCCACCAGTGCCAGGATCATGAGAGTAGCAGCAGTATGATTGCAAAAGCAGTGACAGGCTAAACCGTTATGAAGTTGCAGTGACAATACAAATGGATTAGTCAATGTAAGCCACACTGTCCGAATACTTTAGTTTTGGCACGATTGTAACCTTTGTACTCGAAACTGTATCTGCACTTCAAGCAAGGCACTCATTATTGAGGGTGTGTAGAGTGTGGTGCAAGTATTGGAACTGGGCCTATGTTTGTTGAAGGGAGTGTAGGTGTTTACTTACATGTGAGCACATGTAAATTAGCATGAGTCAGAAACCTTGTTGGTACTCCTTGGTAAAATGGAAAGGGAGGCACTTCTATAGGTAGATACACCCTAACAAGTTCAATAAAATATACAAAATTTAACTATGCTGACTCACATTCGCCCGACGATAGACTGGCAACCTGTCTAGGGTGTACCCTGCCTTTCTCCCGTAGACAGCTGGAGATAGGCACCAGCACCTCTCCCGCACCAGTAGTGATAAATGTGACTGAAAATGGACGGATGGATGGACGACTCACTTTCCTCAAACTGACAGGTTTCTCTCTCACATTGGTAGATTAGGAAGGTTAATAGGTTTTACAACCCCTTTTCCGCAGCAATTACACTCATTTAAGTCAATTGTAAAAGGTATAATTTCAGTCACATTTTGACAACTTTCACCGGAATGCACTGGTGAGAACCTTGCTGTGATGTCAATCTGGTAATTTCATCCGTACTCTAATTTATCCCCCTTTAACCAAATAATCCATTTAATCTCAAACTGCTATTTACTCTAAACAAAGAATACTGTAACCATTTATTTAACTGCTAATTCATTTAAATCTTTTCTTTGTTGTTTTTTTTTTAGTTTCACTGCTTTTAGCTTTAGTTTAGTCAGTGTATTTGATGAAGTATAAAGAAAAAAAATTATAAAAAGTGCTTTATTTGATTTAGGCCTGTTGGCTATTATGAGATGAAGCAGATGAACACAAAATAATTGTCAGTGATATTCTTCTGCCACAAAAGGCAAGACAAAGAGACAAAGACAAATGCTGATGAAGGTTCTCAGTCATCCAGGTCATAGTCATTCCGTAAAAATTCAAAAAATATCCACTGGACTTGGCTTTCAAGATTTGAAGACGTTTCACCGCCTCTCCAGGAAGCTTTCTCAATTCAAATGTCTGGATCCGCAGTGAGTTTGAGTCTTATATGGACAAGGCCCTGTATTGCTTGGAAACATGCAAATGGTAACCGATGAATGGCTCGTTTAGTTCCATCATTAGCCTGTAATATCTGAACCTGTCTATGATTCTAGGGGTCGGTCGTTAAAGGGGGGATTGCCATTAAGGGGGGGATTGTCTCCTGTAATACCTGAAACCTGTCTATGATTGTTAAAGGTCGGTCGTTAAGGAGGTATTGTTCACCGGCTGGAGCGGGTAGGTCGCTACCCGCACCAGCACCTACCCGCTCCAGCCGGTGAACAATACCTCCTTAACGACCGACCCCTAGAATCATAGACAGGTTCAGATATAACAGGCTAACGATGGAACTAAACGAGTCATTCATCGGTTACCATTTGCATGTTTCCAAGCAATACAGGGCCTTGTCCATATAAGACTCAAACTCACTGCGGATCCAGACATTTGAATTGAGAAAGCTTCCTGGAGAGGTGGCGAAACGTCTTCAAATCTTGAAAACCAAGTCCAGTGGATATTTTTTGAATTTTTACGGAACAAAGACAAATGTAGATAGAAAGACAGAGAGACAGATGGTCCAACATAAGCTGCAACATAAGCTATGAAAAGCAAACACATTTATAAAATTTTGTTGGAATAGAGATTGTAATTTGTTGTTTCAATACTTTACCAGATGTTGTCATGCCCACTGTCCTTTGTAAAATGTCCACACTGTGTGTCGTCGAACTGTCTATGTTGACTGTAAAGAAAAAAGTTTCACTTTTCTGTCACAGATACATGGTCTATATTAAAAACATTTCAATATGAGTTAAAAGTAACCTAAATAAAACCAAAAAACAGTTTTCAAATTATGACTTCATAAAAAAAGACAATTGAAAAACAATGTTTAACCTTAATTTATATAAAATACATTTTAACCTGAAGAGACTCACAAAGAAATGTTGCAATTGGAAAATATTCTTATATCATATATCATATTCATTAAAATATATCTATCTAAGGAAAATGAGCTGATTGCGTGGACTCTTTGACTCTCTGCTATCCCTCACACTAAACATGCATGCAGCAACAGTGGAGAGGAAATCTCCCTTTTAACAGGAAGAAACCTCTAGCAGAACCAGGCTCAGTGTGGGCGGCCATCTGCAGAGGCCGACTGGGATTCAAGGAGACAGAAGCAGATGAAGACATAAACAAAATAAGTTATTTGGCGCTCAGGCCCAGACAGAAGACTTTGATGCTGTGAATCAACAAAAGCTTGGATGGGTAACTGAGAAAAGTGCTAGATCAGGCTTCCCCTGGGGCCCGGACACTGGTAGTGAAATAAGCCAGGGGGTAAGTGGGACTAAGAGTGAGGGAGGAGATGGTTCGGAGGTGGGTGAAAGCGTGCTTGCGTGTGGAGGATAGAAGCTGGGGCAGGAGCTAAATGAAGGGGATCTCGCAAGATGATTGGTTTTGGAGAAGGTGCAGCCCTTGAGTTGATTGGCTGGAGCTGAAGGGGACATTGCAGGTGGTTCGGGTGAAGGTGATCAGAGTCTTCCAGATTGTGATTTTCTACACACAGGGTTTATACAAAATTAAATTTTGTTTAGTACAGCTCTCAAGACACACAGTCTAATGGCAGTAGGGAAGAAGCTGTTTTTGAATCTGCTGGACCTGCATTGGATGCTTTGAAGCCTCTTCCCTAAGGGCAGCAGGGAGAACAGTCCATAGTGGGAATGTGAGGGGTCATTTATGATGTAACGGGTTCGGGACACGCACATCTGAATAAAATTTCTTTTATGGAGGGAAGAGGAGCCCTGATGATCCTCTCTGCAGTTCTCACTACTCTCCTGACCTTCTTCCAGTCTGCGGCTTTGCAGCCTCCACACCACCCAGTGAGTCAGTTGGTCAGGGCTCAGTGTTGGTGCTTCTACAGAAGGTTGTGAGGATGGGGGGGCAGATGGGCTCTCCTCATCCTCTGCAGGAAGTACATGCGCTTTTGTGCCCTTTTGACCATTGAGGTACCTGTCCAGGTAAGATTGTCTGTGGTGTGCGCCCACAGGAATTTGGTCCTGCTGACCAGCTCTACAGCTGAGCTGTTGATGAATGGTGGAGCGTGGTTAGGCCGATTCTTCCTCAAGTCAACGATGATCTCCTTCGTTTTTTCCACATTCAGGACCAGGTTGTTGTCTCTGCACCAGCCCACCAGCTGCTCCACCTCCTCTCTGTAGTCCTGCTTGTTGTTGTCTCTGATGAGGCTCACCACTGTGGTGTCGTATGCGAACTTCACAATGTATTTGGTGGTTAACCTGGGGATGCAGTTGTGTGTCATTGGAGTGAGCAGCAGTGGGCTCAGGACACAGCCCTTAGAGGAGCCCGTGCATGTGTGTTTGTATTTTCAAGCTATGCCAGGAGGGTGTTGGGGCATGGGATCATTTGACTTTTGAAAATCTAATACCAAAAACATTCAGCAGATAGCAAAAGTGCATCTATATCTAGTGTGAATGAGAGGTCGTGTTCGGGGAGGAAAGCACAAGCCCTTATTTTTAACTCGCATACAGACAGTGGTACATTGGCTGTTGCCGTAGCTACCGGCAAACGTGTAGTGTGCGTGGCCGCAGGAACAGCAGCTTGATGACCAGGGTCTAACTCATGTTTACGTAGCACCTTCCTGGACCACAGCATGCCGGAGTTTATGAACTGCATTGTGCTCCATGCAATTCCGTTCTCTCTATCGTTCTCTAGTTGCCCAAAGGAAGGCATTACTTGGATATAACAAAACCGAAATATCTTCGGAAAAGCTCCAAATGACACAAAACTCATATGGGTGAGTAGAACATGATGTAATAACGTAAAATCAAGGGAGCAATGTAAAAAAAATGGTGTTCCCCTTTAATAAGCGTTCCCTCTCAGGAGTGGGTCCATGCTTATGCATGTGCATTTCTTTTTAAGTGGAGAGGGTGGGTCTTTTCAAAAATTCATGAAAATCCTCCATTATATCTTTAATATGAACTGGTTCTAAAGGCGATCACTCTTTTCAACATGAATACTCTCTGGAGGTCTAAAACGCCTATGTCATTCATGTCTGTCTGAGGGTCTGTTGGGGCAATGAGCAAAGTTTCGTCTCCTCTCAACGTTTTCTTGCTCATAGTTTTTCATGTGCTTATTTAAACTGCATTTAACCAGCTTTTCACAAACCATACATGTTTGTTTTCATTTATGTTATTTTTTTGCTCCGATGGTCTCTCTATCTCTCCTGGGTCTGAGAAGCGCTGTTGTTCGTATGTGTAGTGAGAGCTGAGCTGAGCCTGTGTGCTGAGCCGGGGACGAGAGGCGAGGGGGGAGGAGCAAAGCGCTGGAATTACACAGCAGCAGACTGCTGAATCTGCTGCACTTAGTGCGCGCAGGAGAGAATAAATAGTATCTAGTTAAGTGAATATTGTTCAATATCAATACCAGTGTTGGTATCGATAGTATCGATCCTAGGATCGATCCACCCACCTCTACTGCACATTTTGAGTATGTTTGGCTCAACCTGCTGCTGTGAAGCAGGATTCTCCACCATGAACAGAAACGAAAATAAATATTGATCCAGGCTCAAAATTAGCATCTTGATAAGTGCTTGAGAATGGCTTTGTCTCCATTCAAACCCAGGTTCAAAGCCTTGCAGTGGAGCCTAAAGCCCACTTATCTCATTAAGCCAGAAAAAAAAAAAAAAAACAAAAAAAAAAAAGTCCGTTCAGGTGATTTATAAAATATGTGAATCAGGAAATTGTCTATATACCAAACTGAACGTTTTCTATATGCAAGGCTTATTTCCAAACTAAGGTTGGATCTAAAGACAGAAAAAGTGTCTATGAAGGGTTTTACTTTTCACAATTCAAAATTACAAACAAGATTTGCTGTCAAAAAAATCAGAGTTAAGGACTGAATTCCTTACAAGAAAGCCTTTCACAAAGCTGTTCATGTTGGGGTGATCTATATAACTTACAGAACAGTGCAGATAATGCAATAAAAGTGCAGATAAAGCATAAATGGAGAGAATGACATGGTTTAGTAAGAATTTAATAATGTCACTAAAGTTTCTTTTACTTTAAATCTTTTAAAAATAAACAGAGGTGTCAAGTAAAAAAAGTACAAATACTCTTTACTGTAATTAAGTACACTTTTTAGGTATCTATACTTTACTTCACTACTTATTTTTCTTCCTACTTCTGACTTCTACTCATTTCATTTTCACACAAGTATCTGTACTTTCTATTCCTTACATTTTTAAAACAAACGTTACTCTTGGCTTCGGTTTAATGTTATAAAACATAATTTCACGTCATGTGTGCCATCCAGTGCAGATCATTGGTGCCATCTACATCTAATGAAAAATAGTGTAATTGGATGAGTTCAGGGGCGGATCTATAGGGGTGGCTACGGGAGCAATTGACTCCCCCGAAATCTGATTGGCTACCCCAACTGCCACCCCAGCTGATTGACGGCACCGCTAAAACAGTTGCACGTCTGAAGTCTTTGACTGCGATGTTCTTCCTGTACAGTAGATGGCGCAATGCAGCATGCGCTATGCAGCCCCTTTCCAGTCGTGAATCTAGGGTGAAAGAAGAAGAACTAAAGCGGCTGTGGAGCCACCGAGTGCAACAAGCATAACATTAGTTAACAAACAACATTCTTTGGGAAAAGGCTGTGCGCTCTCGAGATGGATTTTATTCTCGTTTGGACCGACTGACTTATATCGGTGAGTAGGTTGCACAACCACAGATTATATTCATAAAAGAAGCTCAATAACTAAGAGTTTGATAAGTTCAGTCAATGAGGATCATCCTCTGTTCAATTGATGTCTGTTTCATAAATCAGAATGTTAAGGACAAGCCCTTGCTTTTCACGAAGGGCCGCTAGAAGCTAGTCTGGCTGTAAACAGACAGGTGCAGGTGGGTGATATTGATGGGTTTCAGTGTCAATTTCTGTGATTTCATGCCCACATCTGCTAAAAATACTGCTGACGAGAACAGAAACTATTTCATTTTTTTTAATGTCCGTGTCTAGAACCTTCTGAATTATGAAACCAGCAATATCTTTGATCAGAACCGTTTGCCCATGTCATGAAGGGCATTACTAGTCGTAGATAATTCACGACCGATGTAGTTAGCCAGTAAAGTTATGGCAGGCTGAAACCTTAATTGAATGGATAGATTGCAGTCACTAGACATGTATTATTGTTGTGTTCTGATATTTCTAGGCTGTAAAAATGTAGTCTATATTCATTAATTTCCTTGTGCATCATTTTGGACACGAAATGTTGCATTTTGCTTTGATAAGTAACAAAACGTTTTTTTCCCGGTTGACAATGAAAAGACAGGGAGGCACGATTTATAACTACTTTAAGAGAAACAGATCAGGCTTAGAGCAGATCAGCAGCCCCGGCAGCCCTCATCCTGGGACTAGTCAGGAAAGTCCGGCAGAATCCAGCCTGTCATCATCGCCAGGTTTGAACATACAGAAGCAGTCACATGTTCAGTTATTTTAAATTATATTTAACATTATTTCAGATGTTCAGTTCAGTCATTTTAAGTTATGTTAAACATTATTATGAATGTTGGTTATTGTTGTATGTTCAGTTTTAGACAATGGTTGTTGATTTTGATCATACTATTAAATAAATATTTTTCTACTATGTAGGTGTGAGAGTGGACCAAGACGATGACAGGTCCCAACCTGGAACCATTACCGAGGAGTGTCAGGCACAACACAGCC